GGTAAATTTTTAAGAATATCTTTATAATATTTAAAATAATAATAAAGCAAAATATAAAGGTAAAAAATCCTTTTTTCTTAATTTAAAAGCATTATTAACTTATAAATTAATTAATTAAAACTTAAGCTATTTAAATTTAAAATTTAAATAAAAACTTATAAAAACTTAATAAAATGCATTAAAAAAGTTTTAATTATTAGTATTAATATGCTAAACTATTAAGTTAATAAAATAAATAAAAGTATAATTATTATTTTTATTAAAAAATATTTAAAAATTAAGGGGAAAATAATTTATAGCGGGAAAATGCTTATTTCCTTATATTTTAATATAATGCAATATATAATATAAAGCTTCTTAAAGCAAGCATTTTAAAAAAGTTAGCAAATTTTAATAATCTTTCCTTAAAAATTAATAAAAATCTTATTATATAAATTTTAATAATATTAATATTATTATTTTTAAGCTTTTCTTAATAAGCAAGGATAAATAAGAAAGTTGCATTATAAGTAATTAAAAATAATTAGCTAGATTTTAATAATTTTTCTATAGAAATTATATACTTTTCCTTTTAATAATTATTGCAAGCCTTTAGGGTTTAATTATTTTTATTAATAGTAAAATTATAATTATAATTATTAAAAAGGCAAGAAAAATACTTATATTAATTTCCTTAAGAAAATATTAAGAAATTAAATAAAAATTATTAAAAATTATAAAAATTAAAAACTTACTTAATCCTTAAACTTAATTAAATAAATAAAAATAAATAATATAATAAATAATAAATTTTTAATTTTAAAGATTATTAATTTTTAATTAAAAAGCTTTAAATATTAATTATTAAAGATTAGAAATTATAATTTTAAGTTTAAGGTACTTACTTAATATATATATTATTAATAAAAGGAAGGAAAGAAATGAAAAGTAATGATTTTAATAGGTATTTATAATTATAAAAAGGGCCCTGCAAATAAGTTTTTACTGCTTATAAATAATTTTTTTTGCTTTTAAATATAATAAGCAGAATTTAAAAAAAGGGTAGAAAGGGGGTAATATAATAAATATAATTTATTAAGGTAAGGGTTTTAGGTTTTAGCTTAAAACTTAAGGTTTTTAGCATTTTATTGCCGGAATTTGGGCAATCTAGCTTTTATACCTTTTCTTTCTCTCTCTTTATTTAATTAAGCTTAGCTACGATAGTGCTTAGCATTTGCAATACATAAACCCATTACAAAAAGTAGCGGATATTAGGAAGTAGCGGATTTTCCTAACTTCAGCCAACTTTAGCAAGCCCTAACACCCACTTAATGTAAATAATTTAATTAAATTTAGCATTAATTAATGCTAATTGCATTTAAATCCTTATTTATAATTAATTTTATTAATTTAAAGGCATTAACGTAATTATAATATTAATTTAAACTAATTAATTTTTAATGGAAAATATGCATTTAATATTATTTAATGCTAATTATACCCTTAAAAAGATAATTCGCCGCAAATTATTAATATATATATTTATATTAATTAATATTAATTAAGCTAGATTTGCTATAATATAATTAAAATTTAATTAAATAAACCCTTTTTTATCTTTCTTATAAGTTTTTATATTATGCGTAATCTTACTATAATTACCATACCATCTTTTCATTAATCCGCTGCAAACCAACTCTTTAATATTACCATTTATTTTATTAGCTAGCTGCTTCCTCTTTTATTTTTCTTAAATAAAACTTTAAGATTCTTTAATTATAAATACTTCTTTAAGCTATACTTAAGTTCTTTTAACCCTTTAATATTTAATAAGTGCTATATTAGCCTCCTTAAAAATATAAACCCAATCCTTTAAAATAATAAGTTTATATGCTATTACTTATATACTCTTTGCTATTTAATTAACAACCTTTATAATTAATATAAAGAAGCTTCCTTAATAAGCAAAAATCTTATTCTTAATAAAACTTAATTACTTAATAATTTATTAAGCATTTAATAATATTTAAAACTCCTATTTTTAAGGAAAAAAAAAGAAGAATTATATAAGAGTTTATAAGTAAATATTAAGCTTAAAAATTATAAAATTAAAGTCTTAAGGGGAAATTCCAACTCTTTTAAATGCAAACTTAATATTTTTTATTATAAAAGTCTTATTATAAGCTACCTAAAATGCAAAAAAGAACTTAAACTTAATAATATAATTAATAAAGGCTTAAATAAAAAGGTTAATTTAATTACTATATATATGCTTTAAAGGCAAATATAACGCAATATTTAATAGCTAAAGTAAGTAAGATAAATGCAATAACATGCTAATAATAATAATCTTATTATCCTTATAATATTAATTAAACTTAATTAATATATAGCTCTTATAATTATTTATAATTAATATTTCATAATTAATATTTTTCTTTAATTTAATATATTTATTAAAGTATTAAATCCATTTTAAACTAATTTCATTATTTATTTATTTATTAAAAATAAGCTTAATAACTTAATTATTTAAAAAACTTAACTTTATTGCTTAGCTAGCAAGGTAATAAGCGCCTTAAATAATTATAAATAATAAAATTTATAAGCTACTTATATTAATGCATTTAATAGCAATTACTTATTTTTAATTATTAAGCTAAACTAATTTAATCTTTTTATATTTATTAATGTATATAATAATTATTAATGCAATAATTATGCTTATTATAAAGCTAATCTTATTAAAGTTATAAAGATTATTATTAATAATTTAATACTTAGCCATTATATTGCAAAGTAATTTAAATTAATTTCCAATAATCTTTAAATCTTTATAAAGGGCCCTTTAATAATTATAAAAATAGTTAAACTTAATCTTTAAGCTAAGTTATAAATCTATAAAGCATTAAACTTAATACTTACCTATAAATTTAGCATTATGCAATGCTAATAAAAAGTTAGCTATATTTTTTATATTAAAAAGTTATAAAGAAAATCCTTAAGCATCTTACTTAATAATATATTAAATAAGCGTTTGCTCTTTAATTTAGTTAAATTTATGCTTATTAATGCATAATTCTTTATATAAGCATTATTAATTTATTTTATAGCATAATATAATTTTAAGGATGTAAAAAATGCTAGCAGCTTAAGTTATAAGCATAGGTTTTGCATTGTTTTTCTTTAAGTTTTTAATTACTTATATGGCTAAAAGGATTTTATTTTCTTTAAATAAAGAATATATTAATAATTATTGATTTTTAATATATTAAATATTTAATTAAGTGGATTAAAGCAAAATTAATGCAAAAAACTAAGACGCAATTTACATTAAAACAAGTTCCCCTTACTAAAAGTTAATTATTTTAAACTTAAATATAATTATATTAATCGCTTTAAATTAATAAAATTAATTATAAATAAGGATTTAAATGCAGTTAATACTAATTAGTACTAAATTTAATTAAATTATTTACATTAAGTAGGTGCTAAGGCTTGCTAAAGTTAGCTAAAGTTAAGAAAATCCACTACTTCCTAATATCTACCACTTCCTAATAAACCACGTTAAAATAAATATTAATAAAAACTTTTAATTCTTATATATTTTTATATTAAAAAATATAATTTCCTTTATTAAAATTTATATAAAGAAATATTTATACTTAACTTTTTAAGTTAAATAAAATTTATAAATTTATATCTTTTTTTATAACTTTAATATATTTATATATAAGGTATAAAAATAATATTTTCTTAAATTATTTTAAGTTATATTATATAATATATAAAATTTACTTTATATAATTATTATAATTTATAAATAACTCAAATAATTAAATTCTTTTTTTATATTTAATATTATATAAACTATATATGCTTTTATTTATATTATTATAAATTATATATTAAATAAAATAAAGGTAATTAAAATATTAAAGTTTTATAAAATTATAATTTATATATAATAATAAAAATAATACTTATATTAATGTTTTTAATATAAGGTTTAATATATATAATGTATACGCGGTTTTATTTTTAAAATTATAGCTATTAAATTAGTGGAGATAAATATTAGCTTTTTGGTGTGAAAAGTGGCCCGAATTAGGGGGTGGCCCAAATGTGGGCCACTAGACTTACGAAGATTTTCCTTGCGCGTGGCCGACGGCTTCGCACCGGGACCAAATCTACACTTGACGCCGGGCAAAAATCGACGTATAAATTGTAGCCCCCCCCCCTTTCCCCCTCCACTGCAAAATTGTTCCAAATTCAACAATACACCCTCTGAGGGCCACCCGAACGGGCAGCCTGCACGGCCCACATTCGCACCGCACGATCCGAAAAGTGAAGGGCATCGGGGCATATACTTGACACGATGAGAAACAGATGGATGTAAAAAGGGATTGTCATCAGAAGAAATTGATGCAAGGAAAAGAGGATAAAGTACGAGAGGTGCGAATACTCGAAGGCATAGCTTCGACGAAACGAAGAAACGCGGTCGTCAATGTACCACACCAGAGCTCCAGGGCTATGGAGGATGATCTCGGAAGCATCCGAAGCCAACAAAGCCAAACAGGGGGCACTCCTGCTCACCCCTGGCCAACCGTCAATTCTCGTTAACCTCACATCATCGTCAATGCAATGTCGTCGTTCTTAATCTCTTGCTACGATTACCTCGTCGCCTTTTTGTCTTTGTCAACGCAGACAAACTCCCGCACAGCTAGTCAGCTGCACTTTGTCAAATTGGCCATGGGCCAGCTCCATTGCCGTCTTGGCACGACGCTCGGCATCGATTGCCCGCAGGTTGTCGCAGGCTGGAATGTCTGTGTGTCAAACGGCAGTTGGTGGCGTTTCAGGTCTCCCACTTGTTTTGAATGGGCACTTCTCAACATGTGAACGTTGAACTACTTCTCTCATACATCACCATCACCATTACCATCGAGGTCGTCGCCGTCGTCGCCCATATCATCGATCAATCCGATGTCAAGTTGCTATAGCCATCGACACTCACCGCCGTCATGATGCTGTGCCAGAACAGACAGGAAGATGTCGTGAGTGCCTTCTAGCCCTTGTACTTGCTCCATGCAGGATACCAGATGAGGAGCACACTTTCCGCAACTGACAGTCAACATCAGTCATTCCTCTTGGGTGCATCGCCCGGCCTCCCATCACAATGCTTTTTCGACACCATCCTGGTGCCGTTACCGACCTGGGTCTTCATCCTCGCCCTCCCAGCCGTCGGCCTTATCCGCACCAGGGTGCCGTCCACACAGGTCCTCCACGCCAATGTCCGCCGCGCCTGGATCCGCAGCGGAACGCTAGGACTCTACTACTTTTGCGTGTTCGCTATCGTCCTAATGGAGTCTATCGAGGTTGGGCGCCTGGCTAAGGCCGACATGGGCGTCGGACTGCTGCCCTTCGTCTACGTCGCTTGTGTGCTGGCCGTGGTCACGTGCTGGACGGATGCCAGGGTAGCGGGCGCGCTGGGCTGGGAGCGAGGGTGGTGGCACGAGGCGGTTGCGCTATTCTGTGTCATGAGTGGGATCATTTCCACCGTCAAGACCATCGCCGTCGAGGCGCTGGACGGGGCCGGGCGCTTGAATACAGCGTATCCCGTGAGCGACCAGTATACGGACCTTGTCGTCCTATCGGTGCTGTATTTCGTGCTCTTGCTGGTTGTCGTGGTCATGAAATACCTGGTCAGACCGCAAGCGCCAGCCAACCACCGGCCTGAGTCTAACAACATCGATATCGAGGAGGTGGAGCTCACAATGAAGGTTTGAGTTGATCTATGCGCCAGCGGTCTCATCAGGTGGACCTCTAGACGCTTCACCAAACTCAAGGCGATGACTTTGGAATATGCCTAGAGCACCTAGTTACCCACAGCCTATTGGGAAAATTGGGCAAATTACTGCGGATTTCGAAAAAGGGAACCGTGGGCGGCTGTGGCATCAGCAACTTCGTTTTGCAATTCTGCCCTTATCATCGCTCCTTCTTCACCTCGATCTGGGTCGCCCCCCTACAAAACCACCGAACAGCCCTCCTACCTAGGTATTCACTGAACTTCGCTCTCCCGTACTGAAGCAACTTCTTCGGCATTATTTCGCGGGAGAGCGTCAATCCCAGGTATTCATCAACGTTTCTCTGAATCCAGTAGATACACTGTACACTTAGTACTCTCCTCATTCCGCCCGGACAGACAAATACTGCATCAATCTCCGTGATTGAGAGCCATGGCGCTCCAAGAACAACAGGGAGCTCCCAGCGACGAAGACCCAGTTCAACAACAAATGTAAGCCTACCTGGTATCCCCAACTTGGCTCTCAGGCATGTAACTCTCACGCGACAGTATCGTCGCGCCCGAAGACAGCACCGAGCGTCCAGGCCAGCAGCAACCCACTGGGAACAGCCACGACCAGCCAGCGTCGCTCCAAGTCCCGACTCCCACCCTTGGGCCCCTCGGTGAAGACCAACGCGAGCCTCAAAAGTCTAATGACTGTGTCTACGCCACTGGTCCCGGCACAAAGATATGTCTTCCCCCATCTGACGAGCAGACTCCCTCGAAGACGGCCCGCCCAGCAAAGGGCAAGGGCAAGTGGTGCGCCCGTTGTACAGAACTCAAGACCCAGCCTGGCAAAGATGGCCGCTCCAGGAGGAACGCGGCATACGGCTGCAAGGATTGCGCAAAGCTGAGGGGGGAGGCAGGGCCCCGTGGTAAAAGGCGAGCTAGACACTCTTCCACTCTCAGCGGCCAAGGTACCCCGCTGGCCACACAAACGCGGCTCCATCCAGGATATGCAGGGCGCCCGCAGCCGAAGTTATCGTCCTTGCCGTCCATGGCAGAGACAGAACCCAGGAGAGACTGCCCATTCTGTCCACCGCAAAGGGTGGAAGCTAGACGTCCCGTCCAAGCAAAGGCAGGAACGAAATCGCGGTTTTGATCCCGGCACGGAATCGGACGACTCCGACAATCCCCCGAAGCCCAACATCGACAACCCCCTCGTGGACCGCTTTGGGACGCAGAAAGACCCTTCCTTATCCAATCGCCAGATCCAGTCCATCCAGGCAATCCAGGGGTTCGGCCAGCCACGGACCACGTATCCTCCGCAACCGCCTCTTCACCAGAGTTCCGTCGTGTCTGGGGCTAGGCATGCCTCATTCCCCCCAGCCCGGACTGCGACGTCGACCCTGAACACGAGGAGCCCGTCCCAGGTCGTAGGCCTGCCCGACCAGCCGTCGCTGTACGAGGATCACCCCCGGCCCATGGATACGCCACGGATGTACGACTTCACGTCCTCGCTGGCGACGAACAATGCCAGCGGGCCTCAGCAGCAACGATCTGGAGGAAGGCCCGGCGTCTTTTCCCTCTTCCCCCCAGTGCCGTCCCCGTCCTCCGGGGGACCGAGCTATCCCAACGCAATCCAGGGCAACGCGAGCTTTTCCAGCGCCTTCACGTACCCGGACCCGATGGAGTGCGAGCTATATAGTACATCCAGCCATTTCGACGACGCATTTGACCGTACGGAGTTGTTCAAGGAGGGCGAGGCCTTGTTGGAGTCTGATTCCACCGGTGGACCGAGCCGTGGTCCCACGGCCGTGCCCACTGGGCGATTTCACAACACCTTCGAGGCCCCCTCTCCGGCGCAGCTCGACCTCTCCGGCATGCCCGGGCCCGCGAACCCGGCGCCTGCGAATCCGCCCGTGTGCCAGCGCCCGGCCGGCCTCCAGCCCGGGTCAATCGACCCACTGCTCTCGGGGGCAACGCAATAGTCCTGCGCATCCCCAGGTCCAGCTCGCAGCTTCCCGAGTGCTACGGTTGTCGGCCAGGACAATCGCGAGCCGAGCACGACGACTGTAGACCAGGACGATTACGGTGTGAGGATGCAGTTAGAGTACTTTCGCGAGTTACGCCGAAGACTGTCGGAGAGGCCATGACAATTGATATCACTCCGAGCTGCAATGCGACGCATCGAGCATGGGCATCACAATCAATGAGCAGGCATCATGCCATAGAGGGGGCTAGAACGGGACTGGCCACGTTCGATGAGCACCTGGTTTCGACGAGCACATGACGGTTTGAACAGTACACGGTGGTGCGATTCCAACACGGTCCTTCCTGAGTTGGCGTTTTTCTTCGATAAATTCATTAATACAAGGACTATTCGGCCTCGCGGCCCCTAAAACGAGATCTCGTTATTGTTACATTCCGTCATCCCCTCCGCTCCAGGGCAGCGAGTGGCCCGATGCTTGCTATCCGTGATCAATTTTGAATGCGTTGTCGTCTCAACCACCATTGCTTTGTGTGCAGTTGGTGACCCCGTCTTGCGCCCCGTCCGTGCCTCACATGTCCAGGCTCCCGATATTTGTCTTGCTGGCGTGCTCCGAGGCGCCGGCCGTCCTCACCTTGCCGCGGGGCAGGCCGGACGCGCGGGGGAAGAACTGCCGCCGGACCGTGGCGCGGTCGCTGCCCTTCTTGCGGTCTTGGTTGAGTGGATGGTCTGTTGATGTTGGCGCTGTGATGGACTCCATCTTTGTGTATGTGTGTGTTTTCTTGGTTGGGTGAGCGATCGGTGGTAGACACAGAAGCAGCTTGTTGGGATGCAGGTGAGAGATATCGGATTATGAGGAGTGATCTTGGTGCTGGCTAAGACTTATGCGATTTATATAATGGCAAAAGGTGTGGTGGTGGTAGTCACAGAATGGAAGTTGTTTCCAAGAAGCGTGACTGACTGTTCTTGATGGAAGTATGCCCAACTCGGGAAACGAAGGTGGATGACGAGCATTCTTATAAGAGCGAACGGCCCCGACATGTCTCAGTGGTAAAGTCAAACAAGAGACCGGTGAGATTGAACCCGGCTGGGCCCTCGCGATGGACAACTCGAACCCGCGCGTGGGTGGGATTGACGCAAGTTTGAGCCTCAGTCGCGGCGGTGTCACTAACACCACCGCCCCGTAGGGCTCAATCCTGCGCGGGGTGGTGCATCATGCGTGTGAGAAAGAGAGAGATGCCTGCCTGCGTGTGCCTTGCCCCCCCCCCCCCGGGGCCGCGGTGGCGATCGGTCAATCATGATGCCCACGCGCACACGTTACACAAAGGACCCACGTCCTCGTCTTACCTCGCTACCGCCTGAGGATCCCGGCGCTGATGTAAGCTGCAACCCCCAGCCGCAGCAGAGGAGGATCGGAAAGACAGACAGATGTCTTAGGCAGACCGCTGGTTTGTGTCCCCATCAATCAGGCAGCAGAGACGTTTGCCTTGTTTGCCGGCACGCGTTCATATTCCATATGGAGAGGGCGGAAGAGGGGGTCCCTGCGGGTGGTGTGAGGTGGTCGTCACCGTACGTGTGCCGCCTGGGCGGTGTATGTGCTGGGGCCTTGTGGGCTTGATCCATTGCCGCTGACTAAGGATCATATCAGGCAAAAGAGAGACAGCGCCGCGTACGTATAGATCTACGCGGTGATCGCCCCGTATTGGAGAGTAGATGGGCTGGATGGAAGGGCCGTGGAACACCCAGTGGAAGGCAGCCTGCCCGCAGCCTGCATTAGCACGTCTCGCCTGTGCAGCACCGCCAAGATACCAACAATGCAGTCATGGCACGAGGCGATGCCGGGGAGCTCATGCGGTATCACCGGCGGGTGCTCTCGGTCGCCCTCGACTGGACTGGGCTCGGCCAGAGGAGTGCATGTGCTTACACGCCGGTGAACAAGCTGCGTGGGGGGGACTGGTCGCCAGCATGCCAGGCATGCACGGTGGCAGACACGTGCCGTACGAGCAGGGCAAACGCAGAAGAGCGGCGTCGGCCCGTCTCTCGCCATGCCGGCACCTATCCCGCGCAGGGCAGCAGCGGCACGCATGCGCGCGAGGGGCGGGCGGCCTCGGCGGCCCTCTGCTGTTGCTCGGCGTGGTGAAGGCGTTCGCCTCGTCACCGGAGGGCATACGACGCGCTCTCTCTGGCGATGGGGGTTGGCGATTGGGCTGTAGTTGAGGCAGAGTGGCAGATGGCCTCGGGCTTGCTTTGCTGTTCGGTGAGTGACGCCGATCTGTGACGAACGAGCTGTCGTGATGCTGTCCGCGCGGCCATGGCCAAGCAAGGTATGAGCTGCAAGGTTCGATGGCAGGTCATCTGCTTGGCCGCACTCTACGCGCGGGCACTCGCGCCGATAGCCAGATGTCGCTGTGACTGTGGTTGATACTCGAGTAGAGTGGCTTGTCGAGGAGTAACTGTGTCGTGGACCGTTTCCAATAGCCTGAACGTTCCGTTTCGAGGCCGGCTGCCTTGTTTTCCCACCCCAACTCTCTCGTATGCTGCTGAAGGGTGGTTGACAGTGATGAGTTGTCCCGGCATCGCCTTGGGCAGATGACCAGAGTGTCCCGACTTGTTCATGCAGGGCAGGGGCCAGGTGTCAGTCATCCGTGGCGGAGGGACGAATAGACGCCGTCCAGGGGATGGCGGGATGGGAGCTAGGCACTGCTGGGGACGGGCTGGTGGTGGGCGAGGAACGGAGCGACGGGAACGGTGGGGCAGCCTTGGAGGACTGGTGTGTGGGTCGGCAGTGGAGCTCCCATCAGCAGCAGCCCCTCTGAAGCCTGGGGGATCCCTGGGGCGGGCCTTCCTCCTGATTGAGGGCACTTGAGCTTTCCACAGTTCTGACCCACGGTCAAGCGTCCTCCGCCACACGACATGTGATGTCCTTTGCACGGGAGCTACCCAGCTAGAGCCTTAACAAGGCCGTTATTATCTCTATTTGCCTTCCTTTTTCAATCGCTCGATGTTTTTGTTGTCCAATGAGAAAAATCACTCGAATTTATCTCTTTGCCTTTTGGGTGTCTCCAAGTAAAAATCCCGCGCGGCGTGGCTGAACTGGTCTGAATGGCTGCATCGGCCCTCACCTTCGCGACATCTCTAGCCTGAACGCCACGCGACCGGCGTCGACTGATGTCGGTGACGTATTTGTCACCGACGTTCCTTTTTTGCTTTTGCTCCGAGCTGAGAATGGCGAATTGAGCACTACTGAGGAGAATTACATTACAACGTCGAATTCATGGTGATTTCTCGATGGTCGGACGTGGTGACTCAGACACCCCGAGAGACAGACAAGCGCGGGCTATCCGGACTTACTGCTGCGGTGCCCCCCACGGTGCCAGCCAATAGTCAATAAGCTCAGGAATCCCACTTCGCCGGGTCTCGTGGAACGTATCACGGTTGGTGTGCTGCATTGCAGATCGAAGGCATCTTGCCCCTGCGCCGACGGGCATGACCAGACTCGTGGGAGCTTCAATGGTCAGGAGTTGGTTGCCATCTACTGAGGGACCATTTACATGGCCCTAGACAAGCTTCTCGCAGATTATTTTTTAATGCCAAAGGGATTTTCATTTTATCGAATTTATCTGAGGGCTTCTTCCCCTCCTCCTTGGCAGTGTGGTGTGGTCATCCTCCCGGGGTGGTGACTACCTCTGGCTGCGCGTCTACGCCTCGAGTCCAACACCAGGCCTCAGGTCCGCACGTGGGATCCCCTCCCCATCGACTCAATTCCTCGAGATCGCTCGTAGCCCCACTCCCGACACGACACATCGTTCCCCGGGTGTCTCACTTGCTGGCAGTTCGAGGGCCTTTAGCTTCCATTGTCACTGCTCACTGTCTCAGACAGCATGACTTCATCCCCACAGGGCCAGGGCAGCACAAGACCTGGTTGCCACTCTTGCGACACGTCGCGAGAGCCTCATTCGATATCTTCAGCAGATGTCTGAGATTAGCTGCCTCATGTACCTTGACTTCGAGCAAGTACTGCCCGACGAAGATGTTAGCCAGCCTGCCAGACGCAGATGGGTGGTGGCGGTGGTGACCCAAGATCAAGATGATGTGTTATCTCGACATCAACTCGCAGTTCCTTGCTGCTAGGTCAAGATCAACATCCGCGATGACCTGAATTCAATCCGGCCCACCGATTCCTGGCTCCTTATCACATCACGCACCGTGGTCGGGCATTCACCGTGTAACACGGGTAAGCCGCCCAATATTGACAAATACGCGTCGGCCAGTGCTTTCTGTCAGGAGGTGACACTCATATTACCCATCACCTTCCTTCCATGTCACTCCGAGGCTACCCTAGCAGCACTGATTGGTATCTGCCGTGACTTCGACTGGACGGTCCATTCATGGGGGAAAGGAATCTTGAACGGTGACATCAACGACGCGTCGTGGGATGAGTGACGTGTCTGCGTTGCCGCCGAGGTTGGCGTCAAGATCTCCTAAACCAACAACACCGGTGTGGGAGCAATCAGTCACGGCGCCTATGTACATGGCCGGTCCTCGCATCACCCCACGTCCCCGGGAGACCGAGAATGGCCCGCCCTCCCTGCGCCACAATGGAAGGGGATGAAGAGTTGGTGTGGTTGGTCTATATCGCCTTCCTTGAATTCTCTTCCAAGCGAGACCCAGTCAATGAAATACGCGCTTGCCTGTTGCCACCATTTCAGGCCGGCGCGGATGGCATCGCCCTGATTTTGTGTTGCGTGCTCATCATCCAACCGACTGGCTCAGCTTCTCTTACTTGTGGCGACCTGTCTATCTTGTGACGCTGTTTGTCACTGGGAACAGTCTTTTAGTATCTTGATGGCCATCCCTCGTGTTTAAGTCGCTTCCAGGCTGGTAACGCCCCCACGTCGTGAAAGATGAACGTCTTTTTATTTCTTATGATTGTCCATGAATATACGATTACTTACGTGAGGCTACTAAAGTCCGAGTCTTATGAGGATGTTTGCCTTTATTATTCGGTATTTTCGTGCGCTATTTCCTAGGATAAACAGATTGTATACTCTCGAGCATGGCAGAGTGAGATCATGTAGACTCCCAGATCATTTCGTTTATAAGTCCGGATGTGATCGACTACCTTGTGATAACCTTTGGTCTTCGGAGCATAGGGGTACCGACCTGCCCAGAATTAGAATTGGTCCATGCAGCTCACGTTACACAGAAGGAGTGGAAGATCAAGCCATCAGAAATAAAGCCGGCTGCGCAGAACATCGGAAGTTGAAGACCGGTCACCTTGGTCTCGGCTACAAAAGCACAGGGAGGAGCACGACATCTGATAAATGTACAATTATGATATCTCGATTTGACGCAGAATATCCCCGAGCTCTAGTTAAAGTGACTCTTCCTTGGCGTGATCGGCAGCCGAGGCCAGGGCCGAGCAGACTGAGAGGACTGGGCATCCATGCTATACCGCGGCCGCTCAACATCATCCAGTGGTACTCTGTGCCAGTGGTTCCTGTACACGTGCTCGTCATCCGGCTTCTCGTGGTATGATGGATTCGATAGCGATAACGGGCGGAAAGCAGCAGCGCTTTTTTCTTTGGCACGACCTTTCGTCTCATCTGAGAGGATATTAGTAACAAACTCGCTGATGGGGCTGAGAGAAGAATTATTCGAAAAGAAAAAAAAAAAGAAGAAAAAAATGAAACACTCACAAAGATAAACAGTAATCAGCTCGAGCGCCACGGGCGCCCAAGTGACAAGCGACAAGACCTGCCCGAACGTCCACTCCGTGTCCTGGTCCGACTCGCCGCCTTCTGCTTGACCGCCTCCCTGTACGCGGTGAACAGGAACAGGAACGTCCACATGAACAGACCGCAGACGGCGCCGTCGAGCAGCCGGAGGTACGGCTGCGACGCCTCCCACCTGCGGCGCCACGGCCCCGCGCCCGAGTAGTCGACCCGCCCGTTCTTGAGCTTCTCGAGGCTGCTGCGGCGGAAGGTCGCGGTGGCGTGGTAGAGCCAGCGGAGGCAGTTGAGGGCGAGGAAGACGTGGCCGGCCGTGGTCATGGACGCGAGGATGCTGCGCATCTTGTGCGAGTCGCACTTTGCCAGCCAGATGTCCTCGCTGACCATGGTGTCCTGGTTCCAGAGGTACTTGAAGTAGGCGCCGTAGACGTAGCGGTAGAGGACCTCGACGGTCAGGGCGAAGATGATGACGAGGAACCACAGGAAGAGGCGGATCCGCTTGCGGCGCAGGCCCGGGGACAGCGACTGTAGCGCCAGGGCCGGGAAGATGGAGAAGGAGGACATGAAGTTGGCGTTGAGGAGGCCGTAGAAGGCGTGCGGCTCGTTCGGGTGGACTATTGGTGCTGCCCAGCGCGTGATGGAGGCGACGTTGACGGATATGGCGAAGAGGAGGACGGCGCTAAACACCATGTTAGAGATAAGATCCTCATAAGCTTACTTATGGCCCTATATCGTAATTATCTTGAGAAACTCACTCTTGGAAAGTGTTCAGGGACTTCCGGAAGCAGTTGATGAGGATACTATGGCCCTCCTTCTGTCCTGCGGGTATAGCTGCTCCTGAATAGTCTCTGAGGCTATCCGAAAAAAGAACGATAAAGTATAAAGTTGCGAAAACGGCCAGCATGTAGTAAGACATCATGGCCTGATGTACCACTGTGGTCAGCATGGGTAGGTAAGAGTTGGTAGGTGGACTGTGCAAGCTAAGCAGTACTCACGCCAACACCAGTGAGATCGGGATCGCCTTCCCACTGAAGCTTTGGGCAAACTTGTGCACTGCACTTTGACAACGGAAAGTTGATCATATCCATGAGAAGTGCGTTGTTGTCTCGGAAGTAATTCTTTTCATGATACCAAACTAGAAGGTTCGCGTCCGTCGGTTTGGTCCAATTCCTGGGTATCATAGACCCCAGATAGCCAATCACGATGTCAAAAGAGACACCATCCCAGAGCGAGCCTTCGTCCTCATAAAGCTGGCCATATGCAGCGAGCCATGCGGCTGCTGCAGAGCAGTTGGTAAAGTTCAGCCATGCTGCTGGTGGAGGGCTCCAGGTGGCGTTGACGACGTCACCAACAGTAATGACCATTTTCCAAAGCGTCGAATAGAATAAAATGTGCCAATAGAAAGAGCGCGGCTCCAGAGAGAAGAAAATCACGGAAGAAGAGATTGAGAGGAGATCACCCGCACCCTTACCACTGATCGCAGGCCTGGATAGATGTTAAGGTTCTGGCATTGTTGATCATGCTCATATATTTGTCGTACATGCCCCATCTAGTCTCTAATGTAGTCTCCTTAGCCGAAATATAGTATCCAACCTTGTTTCGCGCATCAACTTCGTCAGAGGCAGCCTCCGTCCCTATCCCTTTCTCTCTTCACCCCATACTTCATCTCGCTTGACCTGTCTTCGGCATTGACTGCTGCTGTTCAGGTGGGTTTGAAACACAGATCGGCCTGTGGCAGATCTCTCATCAGGGGTGCGAGTCATGCTGCGGGTAGGCCACGTGTGAATAGGCAACGGGCATACCGTGGTGAAGCAGCAGTGCGCACGTCTTGGCCAAATAAAAAGAAACAGGAAAGAGAATCCACGTCTAGGTATATAAATACGCACAGTACAGTCGTCGTAGATCTTCTCACAGCACTGCCCTTACTTTGCCCTGGGGCTTTGGCCGCAATATGCACTGCTGCGTCATGCACGCGACCAAGTTCCGCTGCTCGTCCCAGAGCCGGCCCTCTGAATACGTCCGGCCGAAGCCAGCTGCAATAGTCTTCCTCTCACGGAGGTGCCAGTTGCTCAGGTCGACATCCGGCGTGAAGAGCCGCAGAGCGAAGTCAAGCGTCGAGCAAGCCCCGGCATCGTCGAACCACAGGTGCTCATGCCACAGGGGGAGGAAGGACAGGCCGCCGTCCATCAAGAACGAGAGAGCAGCCGCCTTCTCGCCAGCCGACGTCAGGACCTCCTTCGTCTTGGCCCAATCTCCCGAACTCCTCTCTGTCAACGGAAGATCGTCCTGGTCCGTCGGATGCGTCCTCAGGAGGCCCAAAACATTCTGACCCGTCAGGCCCTCCGCGCAGGTCCTCGTCTCGAAGAACTGCTCCATCATCGAGAACATGACGGTGTTCTTCTCGGCCACGTCGCTACCGGCAAGTCCCTGAGCGACGGCTTTCTGCGCCAGCTCCCTCGCCGTGGGGCTCTCCCGCGGTCCCGCGAATGGAATCGACGGCGGCGCCGAGTATGCCATCAGCGCCGGCTCCTCGACGTGAAAGTCGGCCAACAACTCCATGCACGCGCGCAGCTGGCCGTCCGGCCGCCGCTGGCTGACCACGACGCGCCGGGTAGCAAAGGTCTTTGTGTCGCGCGTGGCGTGGACGGTGCAGAGCAGCTTCTCCGTCGTCGACGCGGGGCCGAGGAAGTGGCCCACGAGGGAGTACAGCGAGAACGACTCGGGGACGGTGGCACAGGCCGCGCGGGTGGCTATTCCTGCGGTGCACCCGCCGTAGGCAATGGGCATTGCGTTGCCCATGCGTTTGGGCAGCTCCTTGGAGATGAACTGGCCTGGTCCGGTCTGCTCGATCGCCAGCTGGTCTGCTAACGTCTCCGCCATATTTGGGAAGTAATGAACGCAACTATATGTAAGTGAATGGATGAGGAATATTAATTAGTCTAGGCTTTATTGCTCCTGTGTTGGCGTTCCCGGAATGTCAAATACGGGATGATGTGCTCTAGTCTTACCAAGCGAAGCCGAGGTGGCTTTTCGCTCGTCACCAGATACCTCGGCACAATTCCCGACATCATTCCTTCGGATCTTTACCTATTTAGCACTCAAAGCCCACTCCGGCCTCTGTCGGGTCCGAATGCCCTGGTAGCTAGTCTACTAAGCAGGCTTTTTGAGGACTAGCGTGAGTCCTGAAGCCGAAGGATAAGGAAACGTGCGCTGTCCCGTTTCAAAAGCACAGTCCCCGTTGTAGTGTCTCAACTACATAGGAGGCAAGAAGAGCTAGCATCTCCTCATGTCGAATTTGGTAGAAGGTATGACGATGGCTATAGTCTTGCTTTATCCCTTGGCTGCCATCGTCATCAGAGCAGCGGCGCGCTGACAAAAGTGGATCCAGCCAAGGCCAACTTGGACTCAGCCCAGTGTAGTGGCGAGACAAGCACGCATAGTCGGAAGAAACAGCACTGGACGCCATGGCTGGTCAAGAGTGGAAGGTGTTGGCATTACGCGAGAAAACTCGACTTTTCGTTGCACAAGGCCACCTTTAAGTAGGGCGGATTACCTTCGCCAGAAAGTAGCCAAATTTCCGGCATCAAAATGCCATTTTCTAAACACCCCGGGCCAGTCACACATCGTCGGTCAGACTCGGCAAAACCAAATACACCATTTTTTAGGCATTAATACAGAGTTACTGCGTTGAGACACGTCATGAGTAAGGTCAAGAAGTATCCGGCCCCAGACACACCAAAAGTGCGAATAATCGTGCTGGAGACGGACGAGGCTCACCCCGACACACACGCGGAGAAGGGCAGTTTTGGAGAGGTTCTGCACAGTCACTTCCAGCATGCAGGCGCCGAACACGTACCCGCACTGGGTGTTGATACGGACATGAGATTCGTGGTAGAAGACAAGGGAGGCAAGGTCCCGCAATTCGAGGAGTTTGACGATTACCAAGGGGTCTTGATCACGGGGAGCATGTACGACGCTCATGCCGATAACCCGTGGATTCTGAAGCTCACTTCTTTGATGAAGGGTGAGACAGTACTAATTTTTTGGTGGCACAAATTAGAGAGAGGCTGACCATTTGGTATAGAACTGTGGGAGCGCCGGCCAGATCTGCATCTCAGCGGCGTGTGCTTCGGCCATCAGCTGCTATGCCGAATGCTGGGAGCCGACGTCACCCCTGCCCCAACCCAGGACTGGGAGCTCGGCCATTCAAGGATTGACCTCTCTTCCGTGGGGCATCAGCTGTTCCGAACAGATGACAGCAGCGTCCACCTGCACCAGATGCATTAGGACCATGTGGTGGCACCACCTAGTCCTGAGACGTCGAATGGTCTACTCCGACCGGGTACGAGGGTGGATGTGTGGGGCCATAGTAGCCATACAAAGGTGCAAGGTGTCTATATCCAGGGGAGACTCTTCACGACGCAGGCTCATCTGGCTTTTGACGAGGACATGGTCAAGAGACAGATCCAGCTGAGGGTTGAAAGTGGCGGCATCGAGGATCTGGACCATGCAGACAGGGCAGCAGAGACGGCTCACTGGAAACATGATGGCGATGTGGTTGCTGCAGCAATCTTGAGATTTTTCCATGGTGATGATGATAGCACCGAATAGATCTGTGGCTGATTGGATACTCTGTTAGTTAATCCAATCTGTTCGAGTCGTGTCGCATGAGCTGGATTCCGACAAATGTCATTTTGTATCGACATTTTATTTGTAAAGGAGTTTGGTAGAGTGTATGGTCCTGAAACCGATTTTGATGAAATGATTTCCGATCAGGACAAGATAGTAGGGAGATGCAGACGCAATAAGTTAAGCTGCTTACGATCTGGGCGACATGTTTGTGTTGTGTTGATTTGCAATGCCATCTGTGACATGCATCCAAGCCATCATACTTTCATTAGGTAGAAAGGACACATAATCTCAATATTCTATTGCTCGTTGTCAAATTTTGGCTACTGCGAAATGAGAAGATGACATGATGTAGAGCGGTCTTAAGACGTTGGCTCCTCCTGCTGCCTAGTTTGGTCAGGACACAGGCCTCAACTTCATCAAGCCACCTGTCACGGATCTTCGATGTTCTTTTCCAGCTTAATATAACTTACAATCTGCGTTGAAGTTGAACTTTTGTGAAGTTTTGACTTCATGATCAACTTCACAGATTTCCAGTCATGGCAACGACCTATAAGACGGTCATTCTCCCTCTTTTCATCGCACTGTTGCTCCTAGGCGGACTTATTACTGCCTATCCGACTCCGACGATTTACGACAATTCATTGGCAATCAGCAATTACGTCAGGGACGCCGAGCACCAGAATTCCAGCTTCGAAACTTTTGATTCCCTTTTTGGTCATGCCGATCCTCTCAAGCTCTGGCGCTTCTATCCCAATTGCTCATTAGTTTCAATACCGGGCTTATACGAATACGATAAACATTTCGCCCCTTGGAACTGCTCCTGATGGGAGCGGTTCAATCCGTATGAACCATGCAGTCTGGGGAGGTGTATAGCAGGAAGGGTACACGAAGAGTGCGAGAAGAGTGCAAAGTACGCAGCCCACTCAGTACCTTCCTCCAGAGGAGAGAAAGGCGCCCCAGCCCCAGCCAGCCAGAATGGGCATGAGGAGATGAGGAAGAGAAGAAGATGAAGAAGAGGTTGTTTAGATTGACGTTAAGTTGGAATTTAAGAAGACTCTCTATATGCAAAAGAACGGGAGGGCAATTCTGAGTGGGCCATTTTAGACGCCGAAGCTTTGCACTCTTCCTGTAATCTGCACCCATCCCGCATGGCTTCCCTTCCGAACCTCTCCCAATAATGAGTCGTTGATTGTTTAGAACTGTTACAAAGCAGCTCCAGTAGGGGGACTGTTTCTAACTAACAGGAGTGATTCTGGTATGGTGAAAAGACGGCAAAAATACGGCTCAAATGTACCGCCGACGAGCTATATTGTTGTTGACGAGCTAGGGGCGGCTCGACAAGTCTCGACCAACAACCTCTGCAGGATGGAAAGCTTACTTCAGCTTTTCAGATCATAGACATAATTAGTGAGAGCACAACACGCACAGCGGGGTGTCTGCTGATCATCACCGACTTCATTGCTGACGCCGTGATTTCAATTACAGGCCAGGGCTTGATAAGTTCCATCAAGGTAAGAAGAAATAATCAAGTAATCAACAACAATGACAGGTAAAAGTTAGTAAATTCGAGTGCAAGTACTCACTTGGTGGATTCTTACAGCTAGAGAATAAATGATAGCACTATCCCCCTCCCCTCTGCATATAAGGCACTCGAGGCCACGAGGTAGTGGCGTAGGAATTTTCATTTGTACCACTGGCTTCTGTAAACATGCCGGCCAACCACACTCCAGACCGAATCTGGGGTCCGGGGTCGGTGCATGGCTAGCATTCGGCATCAGACACGTCAGTATCGAGAAAACCCCCCCGAAGAAAACCCTCCGAATATCTACGTGTTGAATGAAGTCTCAAAAGAATTTCAAATTTGTTTTTACAGACACTCACTCGAAATAAAATCTTTAGTGTCGACTTAATGATTTTTTTTCTTTCCCGCGGGTAAAGCTTGGCTGCAAAGATCAAACCACCAAGCAACCCGAACGCCCTCTCTCCACGCCGTAGCTTCGTGAACACACATTTATCACGCCCTTTCCACAGAAATTTCGGTCACCATTACCAACAGGGAGAATGTCGACATCACATTCCGAGCCCGCACCATGCATCTCGGAGCCTGCTGTGGTCCCGTTCAGGCCGGGCTTGAAATTTTGGGCTATCATTGTTGCCATCGGGTTTGCAGGCATGCTGACTGCACTCGAGGCAACCATCACATCCACTGCACTACCCTCAATTATCGCTGAGCTTGGTGGAGGAAGCGAGTGCATCTGGGTGATTAATGGCTATTTTCTCGCCATGTGGGTAAACATTCTTCCCCCACCCCCTTTTCCCATCGGCAACCCGCGCTGACCACTGCCCACGTCAAGGACTTCACTACAGCCGCTCGTCGGCCAACTCGCTAACGTCTTTGGTCGTCGCTGGCCTACCATAATCTCAACGGCTGCTTTCATATTTGGTAGTGGATTGTGCGGGGGCGCGACCAACATGGCTACGCTGATAGCCGGCCATTCCATCCAGGGAATAGGCGCGGGGGGCATCAACGTCCTTATCGAGGTCACCGTGTGTGACTTGGTGCCCCTCCGTCAGCGAGGCAACTATCTTGCAGCGATCTTTGGTCTCGTCGCCATCGGCACAGCTCTCGGGCCCTTCTTTGGCGGGCTCATTGTCCAGTACAGTGATTGGCGATGGACTTTCTATATCAACCTTCCTGTCGGCGGCGTGGCCCTGTTGCTGCTCTTCTTTTTCCTACATGTCAAATCCAAGAAAGAGCCGACACTTGCTATGAGCCTTGACAAGATCGACTGGGTTGGCAGCGCTCTGTTCGTTACCGCCGTCTCATCTACCCTCGTCGGCCTGGGCTGGGCCGGCGCCGTTTATCCCTGGAGCTCTTTCCGTGTCATCGTTCCGCTGGTGCTTGGACTCCTCGGCCTTGGTGCATTCCTGGTGCTTGAGATGTTCGTGGCAGAGCCGATGGTCCCATTGTGCCTCTTCTCCAATCGCACCTTGATCGGTGTGTACCTCTTGACCTTCCTACACAGCATCATCACCTTGTGGTCCATCTACTTCCTCCCAGTTTATTTTCAGGGCGTCCTGGGCGCGTCGCCGGGTGACTCGGGTCTATACCTTCTCCCTACTATTCTGATCCTCGTGCCGACGGCAGCAGGAGGTGGTGGCATCATGTCCAAGACCGGCAAATATCGTCCCACACACTACGCCGGCTTTGCCCTGATGACTATCGGCTTCGGTATCTTTAGCCTCCTGGACAAGGACTCGAGCACTGGCGAGTGGGTTGGATATCAAATCCTTGCAGGGGCTGGCGCCGGTCTCGTCATCCCCACGCTCCTGCCGGCGATCATGGCGCCGCTTTCCGAGGGCGATACTGCCTTAGCAACGGCCACCTGGGCTTTCTTGCGCAGCTTCGGGCTTACCTGGGGGACCGCGATCCCCGCAGCAATCTTCAACAATCTGGTCGCAGCTCTTTCCGGGCGCATCACAGATCCCCAGGTTGCAGAGACAGTGACCGGAGGACGAGCCTATGAGCACGCCGTCGCTTCTTTTGTGGACTCGCTGGAACCCGAGACAACGGCGCAGTTTGTAAATGTGTTGTCCGACGGGTTGAAGCGAATCTGGGAGGTCGCCATTGCATTCGCTGCTTTCGGACTTTTCCTTGTTGCTCTTGAAAAGGAGTATAAGCTGCGAGATGAACTCGAAACAGAGTACGGGATGGTTGACAAGGAAAAAGCAACGACTGATCCTGAGGCCGTTCCGACCGCGCCAAAGAACAGCTGATGTAATGACAGAAAGTTTGTGGTCTGTGGACAACACATCGCGGGACCGAAGCGGAGCAAACGTTGATGTTGTTGGGGGTGTGTATGTAGCGTTGTATTGTGGCTTGGACTCATAGACACAGAGGATATACGGATGAGGTGACTTCATGTCTAAGTGTGACGGCCGTACACTGTTACCTGTCTATAGTGAAGCGTCAGTTACAAAATGTTCGTGTATCAACCTTCATTCACAATAGACTCGTAAGGGATCACGTGCATTTTGTAATTAGAGTTATGGCAATATTGTTATATTGAACTAGTCTAATGGTGCCTCCGAAGTAGGCGCCTAAGTTACTTAAATCATGCCCGACGCGGAGAGGGACCACTTTATCTCGTGAGCTGATTGTACTGAGCGAGTCCCCGAGCTCTGCAATGCTTAATGCCATCACATCCCGACGACGCGCTGCACTTCCTGGATATTGTCACATAGGGAGGCGATGGTGGCTTTACCAGCACCGTTGGACATATCCTCCATGACCGTCTGAAACAACTTACTCACTTCCATATCGAGACTTGAGAAAAGAGTGGTGGTATGGGATTTCCCAATTCCGGTGCCGCTGCGGCGTACGACAGAGTACTCATCCGGGAGCCCCAAAAGAGCTTCCACGCTTTCCAGCTGGTGATTGATCACCTGAACCATGATCTTGATCGACAGGCCCCCTTGCATCAGGCTCGTTCCTGGTACACGCAACCCAATCGTCCTCATGGGAACTCGGAATGCATCAAGGGGCATTTCTTGCAATATGGCGCGAATGTGACCGAACAGCTTGTCGTAGAGCTCGAGCAGCTGCAACCAGGTCGCCAATATCAGCAATATGGTAGATGTGCTGGGTGAGTCGTCAATGTTGGGACGAAGGCAACGTGGAGTCAGAGATAGCGGAGTCTGGTTGCTTGTGGTCGGTACGGCTGCAGGACATCTGTTGGAGGATCGCAGCCAGCTCCGAGTTGCTTTGCAGAACCTGAGCAAGAGGGTTTTTGATCCATTCCCTGACCTTTTGCCATGCAGCTTGCCTGAACCTGAGACGGATGCCACGAATACGTTTCAACCCTGTTGAGCTGCTGGGCGACGTTCTCGCTCAATTTCGAGAGCCGGATACGGGGGGTCCGCCAGCGTCGTGGTCGTAAAATTCTGCTCCTCAACGCCCATCTCGCTGATAGGTTGCATCTCCCACCCCACTGAGTGAGTGTGATCGAAATTGGCAATAGTTTCGAGGAAGTCGCCACCAGCCACGCTTGCCCTGCGCTCCAGTTCCATCGCGTTAAGGTCCCCATCTCCCGCGTCTCCGAGCAGCTGAAGCTCAACAAGACTCGTAACACCGGGCTGACTCGGCCTTGGTGACGATGCCTGGCTTTTGCTCGATTCGTGTGGAGCAGAGGCGCAGGTCGAGGAGCTGAAAAAGTCAGGGTATGCATCGAAGCTGGCAGTCGGGGACCAGAGAGGTATATTTGCTTGTACCGGAGTTCTGTTGGAAGGTTTTGCCGACGAGAGACCAATCACACCACCGCTAACACCGGACCCGGTAGGGAGTTATTCAGCCACAGGCAAGGGGGAGATGCGTGGCCGGCCGTTGGGTCTAGAGCTGCTCGTGACACAGATGGCATGAGCGCGCAAACAGCGGCCACACGGCTCAGTGGCCGAGTTGACGCGTGGGCACCGCAGCTTCTGATCTCGGCACCGATCACAGGCCGCACGCTTGGTCACAGCGCTGTTCATGGTAGCATGTGTTCGCACAAAGCAAGTGTTAAAGATCAGACTGTGGAGGTTGATGGCGAGTGGGGCATAGGCCTTGTGTCAGTATGCTGGCGGTTATATGTTCTGTTGTTCGTTCCTGTGGCTGAGCGGCCGGCTGAATCCTTCGACTCCAGCCAACGGCACAGGCTGCAACGGTTTTACCAACTCGCAGAGCCCCGATTTCCGGGCACCTATCAGGATCTAGCACCATCAAGTCAGCGCCTCTAGGCAGGCGACCAATAAACATTTCTGATTATTGCTACACTTGATTGTGAGAAGCGAACTGGGCCTTGCTGAGCTAACACTGTTGCAAAAGCTTGAATTGGGATTTCCAAGTTAATGCAGCCACCCCAACCTACTTGATGCCCAGAGTTCGAGTCTCTTTCCTCACTGGACACATGGTTCAGGACACCTTTCGAACTTAAATGCAGGTCAGCGATAATTCGTGCAGCCATCAGTTCTGGTTTGCAAACTCTACAGAGACATTGAGCTGACTAGTTAGTCTACCACACGGTTCATCTGCCGTACTAAGTATAGAACCCACTCTTCCGCGGTGCCTACCAGTAGAGATATTGATAGCTAGTTTATAGAAATCTCTGTATAAAGTTGGTTTTGCTAGTACTATAATAGGGCATATTCTATATATATGACCGTTTTACTTAAAGATCACTTGCTGTTGTAGTGGTATATTCTTGTGAATAATAGTTAATTATAAAGACAATCCGATCCTCTAAGTTCTCAGAGTGCTACAGCAAGAAAGATACATTTTAGCACCATTCTAAGGATTCTGTTTATGGTTATGCTGGCTGGGATGCTGCTTTATCATTCATGGGTCTCTGCTTATCTACACTGGGCTGATAACTTCTCCTGCCCTGCGACTTGTGTGATACAGCCGTCGGTTCGAGAACAGGATGGTGAACCTCTGTCCTGGACTATCTCAAACTTTGTGCTCGTCTTTTACGCCTACACAATCGCATTCATCCAATTCTCCCCCACTATACGAAGTATCTGGCTTACAGGAGTCCGATCACATATAGTTGTGTCAAGGAACCACCGGACAGCCGAACCAGCATCAACCGGGACTATCTGGAGATGTGGCAAGACCGCAACGTGGGCCACTGTTCAAAGCATCAGAATATATGTTCTAACGCCAACTTGGTATATTTTGGCGTCGGAGCTCGAAAGTGTGGCTGAGCAGGTGGTATGGTTTGCTTTGGGAATTTATTGGACCCTTTCGGACGGATATCTGGGTCATTATGAGATGCATCCCGATGAGATCGTCACAGAAGACACCTGGGGATTTGGACAAATTGTTCCTGTTGTATTGATCCTCATTCCACTCCTGCAGTTCATTGGGACACTTGAAAATGACACAGGACAACGACGTCATCAGTGTCTTCCTGAGGCTATCCACTCGGGACCGTGTGCAGCAGGGTCCCGCTGATTGTACAAGACACCAGGAACGGCCGGAGTGACACAGGAGCGGTCGAAAAATATCCGAACTAAGCCAAAAGATGCAGCTAAGACGTCGCTCTACGCCGATACATTATATAGTAGGGAACCAAAAGGTAAAAATCGTTCACAACGCTCTGGACAATGCAGCGCAGCCTACCTGCCTGTGCCGTCCGTCACAGCAGCCACGGGTTGCAAGAAATGATTATTAGAGCGTAATTAAAGCCGATCTTTAAAAGTTCAATCTTAACACAAGCATCTATCACATTCTGAGCATTAAAGAGGAGTTTAAGCCCAACAACTGTTAGAGCGGTTGTTATAGTGGCATCCCCACTTTCCTTAAAGGACTGGTATGTCCCTTTGAAGATATGACCTCCATTCGGGTAGTGCCCTCTTATGCTGCCACCCGCCCGTTGTTTGCTGCAAATCCTCAATAGCACTCGCCCATTTCACAAGCTCACTTTCCGCCCAGGCGGCCTGCATGATAGCAAGCCCGAAAGGCATTCCATCGCTTGAGTGCGTGCCTGCCGGCACTGTGATCATCGGGTATCCTGCCTGCGCCGCAATCTGGTACGTCTGCCCGACGTCCGGGGGTACGAGGAGCCCGTCGAGTTTGGCCTTTCCTTCTGGGATGTCTTGGCCGCCACCTTGAAGCGCCCAGTTGATCCCTTCCCTTGTCTTCCCTTGGCAGAAAGACAGAGCCTGCCAGTAGGTTTCGTTCCTGATTCCGCCGGTGGCCAAGGAGGCTAGAAACCCGTCTTGTCCCGAGGCGAAGGCAGGAATGCCCCCTGCGTCAGGATAAGGGTAGCCGCCTTCGCTGCCGTCGTTTTCATAGTTGTATTTGACAATGTCTTCTAGACTTTTAATGTTCGTGTTTTTCAGCTCAGAAAGGTACGATTGGATGTTGTTGTAGAAATCAACCGCAACCACGGTGTACTCGCTCTCGTTGGGACGGCCTCTGGTGGTTCCCCAATCCCAGTCCCAGCCGTCATTGCTGACCAGTGTCTCGTAGTCAAGAATTTCGGTTTCATTCAAAATGGTGGCCCCGGCTGACTGTATCAGGTCCAAGATGGAGACGAGGATTTCTTGTTGCTCGGCGTCAGCATATTTCCAGAAGCTCTTCCACGGGAGGCCGAACACAGCGCCTTTGAGGCTGGAACTGTTGGTAAGGAATTGTGCATAGCCACCACTTGGGGTATTTCCATCCTGGCCCAATGTGTAGTTGTCCCGTGTGTCGACGCCGTATATCGCATCCAAGGCGTAAGTAGCGTCCCGGACAGTCCGTCCAAATGTCCCCACCGTATCTTGATGTTCGCACTCGGGAACCACACCGCTTCGTGATGTAAGACCAACCGTAGGCTTGATGCCCACGATGGCGTTCCTCTCAGCCGGGTTGATAACACTGCCGTCTGTCTCCGTCCCGAGAGAAAACGCGATCGCGTTGGCAGCGACTCCTGCCGCGCTGCCGGAACTACTTCCACCTGGATTCAGCGTCAGGTTATACGCGCTCCTGGCCTGGCCGCCGCGCGCCGAGTAGCCCTCCGAATACCTGTTACTTCTCATGTCGGCCCACTCGCTCAGCGCGGCCTTCCCGAACAGCACAGCACCCGCGTCGCGTAGCTGTTTCACTACGAACGCATCCCGTGGCACGATACTGCCTAGTAAAGCCCAGCTTCCTGCTGTTGTCTCGAGATTGTCTCTCGTGGCGATGTTATCTTTCACCGTAAACGGTATCCCGTGCAACGGGCCCCGGACCCGGCCTGCTGCGCGCTCGGCGTCCATCTGGGCCGCGATAGCAAATGCATCTGGGTTGGGCTGTAGGAGTGAGTTTATGTATGAATTCGTCTGGTACGTGCGAACGAGATAGCAAGCCACTAGCTGTTGGGAAGTAAGGCTGCCATTGGACATCGCAGCTTGCATTTCATCGATGGTCGCTTCTTCAAGACGGAAAGTACCGCAAGGGGACATCGGAAAGAGGGCTGCAGAGTCTGCATATTGCTCGAGAGGGAATAGAGGAGGGGTCAAGCTGGTGCTCGATGCATTCTGGCCCCCGTTTGAATACGCGGACACAGCCGCTAGCCAAACACACGGTAGGGTGAAGAGGTGGTCGACACGCATCTTTACGGGCGCTGCATCTTATTGAGGTGGCTGGTGGGTGGTGAGGGAGGGCGCAAAGAGGTCACACGTCGATATTCAAGGTCAAAGACGGCACTGTCGTTGCAATGCTCAACAATCATAGTCAAATGAAAAGAACTACGAGATTGATCTTGCATATGGCTAATGCGGTGTCAGCACGCCAATCTCTGAACGGCGGGCAAATGCCAAGCCCACCGGCAAGTCTTGGTGCTTGTTTATCTCGTCAGCAACCCGCTGCGTTATCATGGTCATCAAAATGTGTCTTGCACATTGGAAATAGTATTGAGTTTGGCCTTGCAACGAGAGTAGCATTGCTTGAGCTTGAGGATGCAACTTCGTCGGTTAAATTGCTCGATGCTTCATGGAGTCAAAGACACCATTGGACGGCCGGGAAGGACATGATCAAACAATTGTGCCTGCGCCGGCCCTGCACGTGGACCAAATTCGAAATCCATCGGCTGAAAATATTCGACGCTTTGAATATTGGCCATCCATCAATTTGCAAATATCCTAGGAATCGTTTTTTGGCCTGAAAAATAGATCCTACTGCCCTTACAAGCTGTCCTGACTGGATAACCAAGACTGGGTGACTCCTTGAAGCAAGGGCACGTGCGTCGAAGAAAATGGATACGCATGAAGATGGCATGTGGGCTCTCTCGGTCTCGGCTCCAACACATGGGGCCATATTTTTTGTCAACGAAGAATAGGAGAGGTGCCCGACTAAAGCCCATCCAGACTTTGGTCCGACCCACCACTCAGCTTACTCCATACTGATGATCTTTCCTCCAACAACAATTCGAATGTGTGTCAAAAGGCTGTGGGGAATCACTATGCGTTGCCCTTTCTCCGTGCCAACGCGGCCAAGCCGTGCAGTACAGACATGGTTCGGATCAACACAACCGGTAGGAGCAAAGCATGACAACTTTTCTTGAGCTGCTGCGATGTTGATTGAGACTGCAATGAGGAGTGCAATGCAAAATGCTACGATATTGAAATTGCTCTATCCTCCCGGCAGGCTTAGAGTCTTTAAATGTTTGGGATCTATTTCGCACACAATGTAACTGCACGATTGCCCGTGCTTACTGACCGCCATGACTTGACAAATCACAGATCTGCAGGAGGTCATGATTCTTTTCAGCTGACAGAAGGTTACATGGAAACCTAACCAATACGTGGTATGCCAGCGGCCCGCTGGCTGCTGGAGAGTGGAGGCCATTGAATACGGATTCGTTCCAGCAGGCTCTACAGCGCATACAGCCTGGTGTAATATTTTTCGTGAAGATGAATTCACGTTTCCAATTGGATGAGTACTGCCTCTGTTCCCTCATTGCGGTGTCGTCGCTTGTATATCGGTCTGCTGTACTTGTGGTGGTGGTCTTGCCCAATTAGGTATCGAGCTATAATTGGCGTGGAACAACAGTGTCGAGATTCCCTGGTGGTGCTGAACACTCGGCATCGACTTCTTTCCTTGAGTAGCGTTGCAACTGTCCCAAAACCTTGCGAGAACCGAGAACCAAGGGCACCAGGCTAGGAACGACTCTTTACCCGTTGAGTGGTGTGAAAGACACCGTAACGACATCATCCCGCTCCCGCTCGTATTTTCCTCGCCACAGGAACTATCGTATGGCAGCAACTGCTGGAGCGTCTGAGTAGAAATCGCATGTCTGTTCTTGTGCTTCTCAGATGCTGGGTTGAACTTTGGGTGTCTTCTACGATTGCTACCTTTCTGACCTGGCGGTGCGGCTATGAGATACGGGACAGACAATTCTTTTTACATCAGCGATGATGAAATGTTCAACCCCCTACCAGACTTTCTGCTGTGGCGGAACATTGTTGCATGCGAGGTCAGCCTCACTCGTCCGTCGCGCACCACGTAGACATCCGTAAGCCTCACGGCGCACGTTCTCTGAGTCGTAGGACAGTAATGCGTCACGACGATGCTTCATTTTCCATCTGCGCCGCCTTCAAAATAAAGCTGATCAATGTCACCACCAGGCTTAGGATGTCAAATCCGTCATGATCATGGGTGAGCTTGAGCGGAAAAGCTCACTTGGCAGAGGCCTTCCACTTGACACGAGGCTACCTCTTTCTTTTTCGGCTTCATTTCCATAGCCTTGAGATCTTGCGCATGTTTTTTTCGTCGCATTGATGGTGATAGACAGTTAACCTTCTGTGTTGGGCCCATGTACACTTCACCACATGTAACGTTATGTTGGAGGCCTTCTTCTGATTCAGGTGAACGGGGAAGTCAGACATGCCCCTGTCGTTTCATTGGCCAGGCACAGCGCACCTCGGACACGTACTGCTAAGGTAATGTCGTTGTTCTGTAGATGATGAGTGGCCGGGAACGAGTCAGGCGTGCGGCTCATCAATCTGTGGCGAGGCGGAGGAGGGTCCCGAGGGCTTAATGAGAGCTTGTGGATCACCCAGTCTAAGTCGACGACGATCACAGGTCAGGATCCTCTTTAGGGGGATGATGGAGACCATGACTTTGCGACGATGAATCTATTTTTGTAACTTGTGGTCTTACTGTACACGGGGAAGGACGGCAACACATCCCGAGGCCCTTGACACTCGGGTCTGAATGACGCAGATACTCTCACAGCTGTGGCCGGACTGCGCTAATTTGTACCAACCTCATCGACCGTTGTGTTTTTTGGTCGGAAACGTTACGTAGCGAAGGCGTTCAATCAGCGGAAAAACTCCCCTAGTCCGCTGGTTTCTCCCACCTTGCCATCCGAACTTTGACGTGACTAAGATCAACGACAATAACAGGCCGCCTGATCAGCACCTCTCCCGCATTTTCACGGCCCAATACGAGAACGTTCATTGGTGGCCCAAGCTGTGGGCATCGGAAGTACTCCAGAGGAGCTCTGGACACCCCGACACCTGAGCTGGCTCGCAGTCGGGGCCTGTAAGAACCGATCAGCGAGCGCACTTCGCCTTGTGGGGTGGGTAAACCGGGTTTCCCGATCAGCTCTGCTGTGCGGGCGATCCATCCCATGGAGCTCCGCTGTAAAGACAACACATCCACACCCGACACGGGGCAATGCCGAGATCTCGCACGGCGTCGCGCAGGAGGCCCAACGGCTCTCGCCAACACACCCAACACGGTAAAAGGGCAAGGCAGATGTCAATTTGGGGTTTCCAAGTGTGCCTCCCACCGACTCGCGCGCAAGATATTTTTGTGAAAATTGAAGCAGGACGGCTAGGGCTGAAGCCCACAGCCCAGCGGCGTCACACGTTTCAAGTGATTTTTTCGGGGATTTAACGTACCCCGTTGCCAGGATAAATACGCTCAGGGTTAGACTTGACATCACAGTTAAGCCAGAGTTAAGCTTAGTTGATCTAAAAGGAGAGGTGGGCATGGGTTGCTTGGACGAACTGTTGTTGATCGCCATCCAACATGGTACCTGCGCCTCGGAATACGAACTGGGAACCACACAAGTTGATGGCATTCCCCACACAACCACGATACCCACACCGGTGATGTACAGCCGACCTGACCGACTCCCGAGTTCACCATGATCTCAGGGGCCGAGTACCAAGTTCGCGCAGCACGTCGACGATTATATATATCGCTGAGATTCTTTGTTTCTCTCGGTCTGGATATTTGCTTCATCACTCACCACACTCATCACTCACTCTCAACCACCTCTCAACACTTTCACTACCACTCCATCCACCTAATTCCACCTTCACCCACCACCAACCTTCAAGATGTACTTCTCCAAGGCCACCATCATCGCCGTCTCGGCTTTCATCGCCCAGGGCATTGCGACCCCCATCATTGAGAGCCGCAACACCAACGTCGCCGACTGCGCCGCGGTCCGCTCCGACTGCCAGTCCGGCCCTGACGCCAACCAGGCCATCTGCGCCGCCAAGGCCGCCGACTGCTGCGACACCAAGGACAACGCCTGCCGCGTCGGCCCCGACGCCAACATGGCCACCTGCTCCGCCGAGAAGGCCGCCTGCTACGGGTCGGCCAACCTCCCCGACCCCTACGCCAGCACCAAGCGCGAGGAGCAGAACTGCGCCGTCGTCCGCTCCGACTGCCAGTCCGGCCCTGACGCCAACCAGGCCGTCTGTGCCTCTAAGGCCGCCGACTGCTGCGACACCAAGGACAACGCCTGCCGCGTCGGCCCCGACGCCAACATGGCCACCTGCTCCGCCGAGAAGGCCGCTTGCTATACCGACGCCAACCTCCCCAACCCCTACGCCAAGCGTGCCGACGCCGACGGCGAGGAGTGCGCCGCCGTCCGCTCCGACTGCCAGTCCGGCCCTGACGCCAACCAGGCCATCTGTGCCTCTAAGGCTGCCGACTGCTGCCAGGAGAAGGACAACGCTTGCCGCACTGCCCCTGACGCCAACATGTCCTCCTGCTCTGCTGAGAAGTCTGCTTGCTTCTCTGCTGCCTCTCTGCCTGACCCCTACAGCAACTAAATTGTTGCTTCAGGGTAGCCATGGGAGCAATGCTCAAGAGTAATTAATACTGAAGGGGACGATGGTGACGCTGGTGGAGCTGTGGAGTAGGCCTCTCGGAGGCATGGAGAGAGCGTGGTGTACACAAGTGTGCGACATTTGTATTCAAATTCTTGTACATAAATACAATTCAATCAGAGTGATTGCGACCCATTGAACAGTCTCCTATTGCCATGTGAAGTGCTTTGATCATAAACATTGACTGGTGGCCAGGGTGCCTAGCAGATGGCCAGATCGGCGAATAAACATGGACGCAGTCTTCGAATGGCCCGACTTCAGGCAGGAAGCATGACTCTTGTCTTCGCACTGCGATGTTTGGTGCCTTTTTGCCATGATGAAACGTCAAGGAGCCGGTTGGCCAAGGCGTGTCACACAACACGGACAAAACGTTCGACACCCGCTGGCTACTGCCGTTTGCCGCCGCAAAAGGCAAGGAACTGCGCATGGTGCTTACTTACTGGCGCAGATTATCATCTCTTGGCTCACAGATCCCAGCGCCAAGGTGCATGCCAAGCATTTCTTTTCTTTTCCATGGGAAAGCTGCAGAAGAGCCTCATACTCATCAACCGTAGGCACTATGCATACTGGACTCAATATTCTAGGTTTGTGGTGGAAATGTCCGTCGACGGGAAGCACTGAGCGGAAGCGTACGAAGACAAGCATTCTCGGGCCACTTGGCCCGGAACTTTTCAGTCGTGCATGGCCGTCAAGGATTGACCATCTCCAACCCCACGGCCGGGTGATTCGGATAGTGCTTGACTGAAATGCTTTCTCTTCCTTTTTGCTCCGAAGCCCCGGTCATAGAGACAGAGATGTTGCAGATACACTTGTATGTGACATGATAGAGTCACTTCGTACCGCAGGACGTCGCGATCGCGCCGTCTTGGTCCGTGGATTGTTGGTCTGTCGGGCAGCCTCCTGGGCATGTCCCTGGATAGGAGCAGCAACGGATGGCATCCCTTCCTGTGTGCCCTCGTGCTTTTTCTTGCCCAAAGGCTCGTGCCCTTTTGTACGGACTGTCAGGCTCGCCATTCAGGGTGGGTGCATGAGCCGATGGCGCGTTGCTTCATCCTCTGTCAGGACTCAAGTACCGGGACTAGAGCTTGTATCCCAACTAATTCGATGGTCCTCCTTGTGCTCTTATCCATGCGCAGACAGGTTGGGTGAACTCGAGGTTTTTGGGGTTCGGTTCGCTATGCCGTTTCGACCGATCGTGTTGCAGCGGCGTACATGTTGCCCGTCTCTAATTGCGTGACAGGTTGTGTCGCTACTGTGTCGGAGGAATCGCAAAGGCAGTAATATCGTACGCAGTGGACGGATCCGAGGAGCACGGCTGAAGATGGGAAGGCCGTTCTTGGGAATGCGGTGTCGATGTCAGCGTGAGGTGGCGGAGGCCGTGAGCTGTCGTTGTCGTTGAGTCACGGTTGTCGGTGGCGGCGCTTCGGCAGCGTTTCCAACCTGGGAAAGGTGGCTGGAAGCAGAAAGCTTCAGGCGGGTGTGGCCCGTGTGGAATGACTCTGAGCTGCATTGACACAGCCTTGGGACAGTACCTAGGTACCCGGGTAGCACGGGCTGGGCAGGCTAGTGCAAAACCCCTGTCTCGCCGGAATGAATCATCCTGCATCTTGAATTGACGGCAACTGACGCCATGCACCTGCAAGAGCACCTGCATCAACAGGCATCGTAGTGATAAAGCTGGAGTCGCAAACCCCCCACATCCTCCAGAGTTTCTGCAGCAAGAGATCGAGACTTCGCGACACGCAAGACGCAAACGATTGAGGCCTGTTGCAGGGCAGAACTCGCCCTTCAACCTTTCCCCCAAAGCACCCTACCTTCATAGCTCGACCGGTACATACGCCAGTACGCTCTCTCATCAAGTCGCCAACATGATTTCCACCACAAATCGCCAAGGGCCTGGACGTTCAGACCGGCAAGCCACCAGGGCTGCTGATACGGCTCGTGTTGTGCCCAAACCCGTTCCAAAGGCCCAGTCTGAGGACCCGAGGACATACCAGATCAAACAGCTGCACAAGCGCTACTCGCCCAAGGAGTCGACCGTGGAAAATGGCGCCGCAACCTCTCTGCTCTTTGACCTGCTGCCTTCAGACCCTGACTTCCCCTTTGAGCTGGACCACCTAAAGTGCCAACTCCGAATTCCCAAAAACTACCCCAAGGACTCGTCTCCTCCCACGCTGGCCATCCTGAATAAGGACATTCCGCGTGGGTTCGCCATTAATGTCGAGAAGGGATGGGACGAGCTGGTGCAGGAGAGGGGCGAGTCTACCCTTTTGGCCCTGGTGAATGCACTTGACAGGAATCTTGAGGAGTTCTTGTCCAGGAAGCAGGTCGACACTGTCAAGTTGACCATGTTTAAGGACACGAGGCATTTGGAAGAAGCAGTTTCGGGCGCTCAAGATTCGTTACCGGAGAAGGCGGCCGCCCATGTTCCCAAGCCCGCCGAGAAACCAGTTGTGCGCGCGCCATATGTCCCAGAGGAGACTTTCACCAAGGACCAAAAGGCCGAGGCCAAGGCAAGGAGGGCACAGGAGACCAGACAGATCGAAACTCGAATGGGACGTCTTCCCCACTACAAGCGATCGAGCGACGGCATCGTCTATACGCTGCCTCTCGAACCAAAACGCAGATCTGAGCTGCCTGCTGGCTTGCGAGGCGTCAATTCATTTCAGCTCATCGTCCCAGTCCTTTACCCTCTGCAGCCACTCCGCATTCTGCTTAACGATGTCGAGTCTGAGGATGCCGAGGAGGTTGAGGAGCTTTTTACGGAGAAGGCCAGAGAGAAGGCTGAAATGACACTGATGAGCCACATGAACTACCTGACACAGAACATTCATGTGCTGGTCAAGCAGGCTCTGGCAAGGAAGAAGGACACTGCACCAGCTGCACAGGTCCCTGAAAAGGCCATAAATGCAGGTTTTACTGTCGAGGAGGCTGCCAAGACTTCGACTGTCGTCGAAAACAAGGGCAATTTCCAGGTGATTCCTCGACCGCCGGAGTGGGACTACCAAGACGAAGAAAAGGGTAGCGGCGAGGAATCGTATGAGTCTACTACCTCAGAGGATGAAGACGGCGGCGTAGCTGTGACCACTCAGCCCGGCGCCTCCCCTATTCCAACACAGACGGTCGAGCGAGGCACGTCGATATCCTTCCCATCCGTCGAGCTCCTCGGTATCGAGCTATTCCAGATTTCCATCCTCGCCCTCAGCGTCAAGTGCCAGCGTTGCAAGACTATCGACGAGATTGGCGGGCTGAAACCAAACACACCAAAGACCACCGATTCCTGTCGCAAATGTGGCACCTCGTTCTCACTGACCTTCCGGCCCGAGCTCGTACACGCGTACTCGACAAGGGCCGGGTTCATCGACGCCACAGGCTGCACCGTCGCAGACATGCTTCCGTCGACCTTCGTGCCCACTTGTGCTAAGTGCTCAACGCCCACGGCGCAAGGCCTGGTCGCAGTCCGCGGCGACACCACGACCAACGTGTGCCGAGAATGCCACGCGCGCTTCACCTTCAAGATCCCAGAGGTGAAGTTTCTAGTCTATTCAGCTGCCTCCAGCGTACTCCCGCCGACATCGGGCCCTCGCCGCCGGGACGAGAAACTCGGCCTCCACGCCGGCGAGCCTCTCCCCAACAAGGGCATCTGCAAGCACTACAGGAGAAGTTACCGGTGGTTCAGGTTCAGCTGCTGCCAGAAGGTCCACTCGTGCGACAAGTGCCACGACGAGACCGAAGACCACCCGAACGAGTGGGCGAACCGCATGATATGCGGGTACTGCTCGCGGGAGCAGAACTACACCCCCGGCAGCTGCACCTTCTGCGGGAGGAACCTGGTCTCGAAGGTGCGCACGGGCTTCTGGGAGGGTGGCAAGGGGACGAGGGACAGGGTGTTTATGAGTCGGAAGGACCCGAGGAAGAAGAGACGGCCTCATGTTAAGAAGGACTGAGGGGTTTTTGGCCTGCGTCAACTTCGGGTGGTCGTGTAGATACCAATCAAAAGTCTCATGTGAACCACACTCCATCGTCACTAGTAGTTAATCCCTTGAGAATATGCATCCGTCCCAACCTATCCTCCTCCGCTATGCCTTCCGGGAGTCGAAAACATGCGTACGAAGAAGGGACTGAAGTGCAGTGGAATACGAAATAGAATGTTGTTCCATCAGTATGACTCGGTTAGTATCAATCTAGAGACACAACTTGGTCACATCGCACCAGTTTAGGCCTTGCGAGCAGTGTCGAAAGCGAACGGCCTCACTTCTCATAAGGAAGTCGAAAAGACTGGGCTTATCAAGACTCCAGGAAGCACATTCCACTTCAGTCAGCGGAACAGTCGGTACATTTGTGAGAATGGTGTGTTTTGTAGTAAAGAGCCGAATTATACATAGGAGGCTGCTAAGAAATCCAAGAATATCAGGAGGATATAGACATGCTGAGGAATTCAAGCAGGCACATTTGTACACAATCAAACAACCCGGACCGGACCTCAAGTCGTCCTACTGTGTCCGACACGCAGCAGTGTCGACCGCCACCACCTTTGCCGGCTCACTCCCCGACCCAGTCACGACAAAAGCCGTGTTCCTGCTCACGCTCCCACGGCCAAAGGCCACAGACGCCGCGCCCGCCACCGTGGGCGCGGTCGCCGCACCCAGCGCCACAACCGGGGGCGTTGAACTGCGCCCGGGCCGCGCCGGCCACCGTCCCGTTCGCCGCGGCGGAGGGCTGCAGCGCCAGCAGCGTGTTCCCGGTGTTGGTCGTGACCCACAGGGACCCGTCGTCGCGGACGTCGATGTCGTCCATCCAGCTGGCGGTGGGGACGGCGGCGATGGTCTCGACGGCCGCGCCCGGCATCGGCCCGCTGCCGTCGGGCATGATGGCGATCCGGTAGACGGTGCGCGACGCCGCGGTGGTGAAGTACAGCGCGCCGCCGCGGACCTTCATCCCGTTGAGCCCGAGCGCGTCGTCGGCGCTGCCGGCCCCGGGGACGGGCTTCATCTCGGGCAGGTCGAGCGCGGTCGTCACGGCGCCCGAGGCCGTGTCCACGCGGAAGGCGACCCCGAGCTGGCTGTCGCCCACGAGCACGGCCGAGGTCCCGGGCACGGCGGCCAGGCCGTTGAGGCGGGGCGCCATGGGCATGTCGGCGATCTTGCGGGCGGCGACCTCGAGGGGCAGCGCGGCCGGGCAGCTCGGGTCCGGGGCGACGCCCGTCTTGGGGCCCGGCTGCGCGGGGGACCCGCTCGTGCGCAGGTCCAGCTCCCACAGCGAGTTGCTGCCCAGCACGCCGTTGGCCGGGTTGCCGCTGAGGCTGATGTTGCCGGCCACGACGGCGAAGACGTCCGGCCGGTTCGCGATCTCCGTGATGCCGTGGGTCCCGTTGCTACCGGGCACCTGGAACACCGGCACCATGGTCGGGCACGAGGTCATCGGGTTCTGGATGGCGAAGACGTTGGCCTGCGGGACGGCCATTGTGACGAGGAGGTCCCCGTTGGCGCGGGTGGCGATATTCTCGAGGAACGTCTTGTCGTTTCCCGCCCCGAACTGGAAGATGGTGCGGGATTGGAGGGGCAGGCTCGGGTCGTTCTGGTTGAGGCACGAGGAGATGGGTCCCGCGGCGCCCTGGGCGGAGGCTGAGAGGGGGAGGAGAGCGGCGGCGGCCAGGCCCCAGAGGAGTGGCCGCCGCGGCGCAAGTGTGCTTGGATTAATTGACATTATAAGTGGTTAGTTAATTGGTTGATCTCAGATCATTTCACTCAAAAGAATGGTGTTTACGTTCAGATTGTGCGAGCCCAGCTCGCAGTGCCCTAGGAATGAAAGAAGGATGGTGACAACTTGGGAGAAGTGAAGGAGAGCATTGCTGTCGACGATGCAGCGTGAGCAATGCAAGGGGCAAATGAGTCTATCGCGGGCGTGTCATGTGGGAGTATCCGAGTAGACTGATAGCGTAGATAGTCTTCGTCTCATGTTTCTGGTTGTTTCATGCTAACGCCAATCGGATCGGGGTCCTCCGCAGGGCTTGTATCATCGGCTTGGCCTCGTGCCGGCATTTGGGGTTGGACCCAAGATATTGGAGATAGCTAGACCAAGTTATTAAATGACTACTTTCTCCCAACTGCGATAATAGATCGAGATGTATCGTCCATAATATACTTGGTAGCATACTAGTAGTTGATTGAACTTGCAGGCGACTCTGGTTTATGCGACATCTTACAAATCTAACAACACACGGAGTGATGTGATGGCCGTTGTCGTCTTCCAACACGCGTAGATGGAATCCGGGGTCTTGGGAAACGAAACACATCGCACTGACACACCACACCTTGCACAAAACTTCATGCCTTGTTAGCGTCAACCAGATGTCATGTCAAGGGGATGCTCTGCCTTTGAGACAACTGCGGGGCTGACGAAACAACTTGAATCGAATCCAACGACCAGGTATGCGTCTGCAATTGTTTTCCTCTCCAGCAGAAGAGGCTAATACTAGATGCGTTTAACATGAACTTACAGAATTTGCGTATATAGGAGGCCCTCGACGTATTTTGAGGCCTTACTGCCAACGCATTTGTGTAAATTCAGAATCTTGCTGGTGATTACTTTCTCTTCAAGTCTCTCCTCCCTTGTGTGCTTGAATAACTTCCGAGATGAAAGTGATCGTGATAAAGCGCCAAAAATACGCTTTGGGAGCGAAGAAGTACGCGCAAACTGCTGTGACATTGTATCACATGTACGCCCTTCTATTTTGCCTTGTCGGTCACGCAACGTTGGCTTTGGCGGCCTTGGGGCTTATTGGTCTTGGTTACATACCCAAGATCGTACCTACGTACGGAGATAGGACGTCCAATGTTGTCTGGGTCGGGCCATTCCGTTCGTGTGAGTAGCGTAGAAAAGATCGGTGCCGGAGAAGTCGGAAAGTTCGGTTCCGCGACGAATGCGGGTATTTGATGATGCCGCTCGCTCGCCGGGAATGTCATCCTCGCAGGAAACTTGCTCACAATCTGCGCGGCCAGAGCACTTGGGGGTGGAGGCAGTTCATCTAGCCAAGCCTGCAAGCGTCCAATCGTCAGCAGTGTTAGTGCCCGAAGGATTGCGGAGGACGAGGTTGGCAGTACTTCTTATTTTCCTTCGAGTACCCTTACAATTTGCAGAGTCTGTGTCGCGAGAGGCGTTCTCCACTCAACAGGATGGACTGGATATTTAAACATCATGGCTGCACCGGAAAGGAAGGACAAGGCTTGGGCGAGCACTTGGAGTAAAGCCCTTCCGTGTGTGGTCAAAGAGCAAGACTTTGTTCACTTCACCGTTGAATATCGACTTTCTTTTTAACTCATTGTCATTCCAATTCGAAAATGCGTTTCGGAAACTCATTCATTGGCGGTATCACGAGCCTGCTGGCTTTGGCCAATATGGCCATCTCCACCTCAGCTGTGGAGGGCAGAGATGGTATGTTGGAACAGATACAACCCTTGTAGGGAAGTGGACTCACCACAGTCAAACAGAGGCCACACCGCAGCTCAAGAACTGGGGCGTCGTGCTCTTCCGCGCTTTCGACGGCCAAGATATCTTCGGACCCCTAGACGCGCTGCAGCTACTGGCATTCCAGCGCCAGATGAACCTCTACCTCATCGCCGAGACCTTGGATCCCGTCACATCCGAGCCCGCATCCGCCGCGATGAACTCGAAGAACTCGAGCTTCTGGCCGATGATCCTCCCGACTCATACCTTCGCCAATGCCCCGGAACTGGATGTTCTCCTCGTGCCCGGCGGTGCGGGCGTCCGTGCCCCGGACGTGAAGAACATCACGGACTTCATTGCTGATCGTTACCCGAGTCTCGAGTATCTCATCACTGTCTGCACCGGTGCCGGCCTGGCCGCTAAGTCGGGTGTGCTGGATGGAAAGCGGGCGACCACAAACAAGTCGGCCTGGTCAACTGTCACGGCGTGGGGGCCCAACGTGGACTGGATTCGTCAAGCCCGATGGGTTGTGGATGGTAACGTTTGGACTGCAGCCGGGGTAAGTAAATGCCGGAATTCTAGATCGACTACTGAAACTCACATTGTTGGTACAGGTCACGGCTGGATTGGACTTGACCTTTGCATTCCTAACCGAGATGTTCGGGTACGAGCAGTCTCATCGCATCGCGACGCTCATGGAGTATGTACCAAACACAAACTCAAGTGACGATCCGTTTGGAGCCGCCCTGAACATCAACAGTTCGTGATGGGCATGGGTCAGGTGTGACCTGCGACAGCAACATGGGATCTGAGTATCAGCCACGCAGACTCTGAGAACCGCAAAGCCAGTTTCGAGTCTGAAAATATGGATAATAATTGGGTCTTTTCCGTCACAGGTCTGGACCAGAGCGTGAGGACAAACATTCATATTCGTCGAAGCTGGACGAACCAGAAATTGTACATACTTGCTTTAAAGCGGGCGACGGCACCGGTGGTTTGAAAATCGAGGCCATCATGGGCCACTAACAATCTTGGGAATGTTCAGCATCTCATTGAGGTACTCTCATGGAAACTAATCAACGAAGAAGAGCATGAGACTTGCGTAAATTCAAGATTCAAATGATTTATTGCTATCTAACTTTCAATATTTGACGTGCAGGCCGTCTTCTTATGCAACTTGGGGTACACTGAAGTACCCGGTGCATCCATGGCCTGTATCAGTTCCGCCACAGCAGGGTGCATTCCAGCTGCTGCTGCCTTCTTTATCCATACCTGCATTGGCAGGACGTCAAGGGACTTGCTCACCGGCTCCTCTGCCGTCCCTGTCAGTCTTCCATATTCCGACACGTTCCCATTCACCTTGTCGACGCCATTGGTTGTCAATAAGTACTCAGAGCTCTCCATGCCCACCAGGGGAATCACGATATCCCCCACCTCATGCACATACCGTATACCTCCTTGTATTACAACATCATCGTCAAAAACCTCTCGCAATATGCCCTCGCAGACACTATCGACTCGCACAAGATCCAACGCCCCACCGATATTGTTCCCGATTTGAGGGATTGCCTTCAGATCACGCACATATTGTAGCAAAGAATTGACCCAGTCCAGCCTCGAACCGCGTTATTACCGGCATCCTCGAGGGTAAAGCCCAGGGAGCCGCCAGTGAATGGGCCATCTTTATGAAGCCGGGTCGTCATACTGAGGACCACGCCGTACGTGCCGCCGCCGCCGCCGCCGAGGGCCCAGTAGAGGTCTGTGTTCTGTTCGGGTGTGGCTATGAGATGCTCTCCCCGGGCTGTGACGACCTCCCACTCCAGGACTTGGTCGGTTCCCATTCCGTACTTGCTGTTCAGGATCGAGTGGCCGCCTCCCTGCGAGTATCCCCCCGCGATCCCGACGCTGCCGCACTCGCCGCCGACTGCTCGGTAGCCTTCTGCCGCTGCGGCTTCATGTGTTTCTCCAACCAGTACACCGGCGCCTAGTTTGATCGCTGGTCCTGTGTAGGCCTTGCTCTGGTAGCTTGTGATTGTTTCCGTGGTCTTGAGATTACGCATCCATAGCGACAGAGCACCTTTGCCGGTGGACTTTCCGTTGTAGCTGATTGCAGTCAGTCTATCAGAATGCGATGTAACGCAAATATCCACGGAAAGCACCTACTCATGACCAGTATTCTTGACGACTACTGAACATGCCGCCTCGTCGTAGTTTGCGTAGGGTGTGGCGTGGCAGACGCTTGCCTGTGGGATGGTGGCGACCAGCCTCCCGCCCACGGTGGAGTTCAGGGTTTGCCAGTCTGCCGAGGAGGGCCATGTCTCGTCGCCGGGTATCCGTCTGCAGCTGGAATTACTTGTGGCGGGAACTTGAACACATAACAAAAGAACAAGAATGCATGTTGAAAGACACCTTGTCGTGCCTAGAGCGCTCGCATAAACCATGGCTGAGTGTTGAAGCACAAGTGGTTGTGATTCCGTTAATTCCGTGCTATGGGTAGAAAAAGGAGGCCAGGTACGGCGTAACCAGGAATGGCGGTCTTAAATACCCGAAGCGGCCTGTAAGTAACTTTCCTTACAGTAGATATAAAGCATCCACTCTAGATGGCTCACACTGAGTGATAGAATCAACTATTGCGAGTTCGTTTAGGAGAAAAAGTAATGTGAAGGCATCGCGATCTACACGTTGCTCATATATCTATCCCAACTCCTCACACTCCTTCCAGAGCTTATCCACTCACAAATAGGACTGCATTTTGCAGAGAAATGCCTACATCCTGTTTGGCTCCAGGCATAGCAAGCATGGGGCGAGAGACTTGTCGAAACACTTCAGTTCAATGGTTTCATGAATCATTTGTCTTTAGCGAACCTGGTACCAAGTGAAAGCACCTGCCTATTAGATGGTGGCCGACAGTATGGACGCGACTTGGGCCACGCATGTGGCTAAAAGATTAGCGAGATACAAGCATGTACGCTATGAACCCTGTTAGTGCTTAGATTTACACATGTAGATTGGCGGAGTCTCGATCATTCTACCCTGGTTATGGTTCCGAGATCTGGGTGGTATCGGGGCCGGCTGAGCTTTGGGTCGGTGGTGTGGGATTAGAATTATCGCGCTCCAACGGCTGAACTAGTGATGGTGGCGTCTAGTGGCTAGGGTGCGTCCTCGGTGTGTTGATCCACCCGGCTGATATGTCCGAAGGTTGACATGATAGCATCCAATGGGTCCTTTGCACCTCTTGGATATTTCAAAAGACACCCGCTCTGGCACAGTCTCAAGCTTGGGGCCTCCACCTTGATGTAAATCCTTCCAGGCCAGCCGGTCTAGGTTAGCCAACATGGCTCCAGGTCCCTCCTTCTCGACCTTCTTGACACACTTTTTTCCGCCCAAGCCCGAATTCACCGACAAGGAGGTCCCAGACCTGACCGGCAAGGTCTGCGTGGTGACGGGGTCCAACACGGGCATTGGCAAGCATGTTGCTCGATTCTTGTACATCAAGAATGCCAACGTCTATATGGCATGTCGTTCAGAGGAAAAGGCCCTCAAAGTTATCGAGTCCATCAGGACAGACCAGGCCTGCGTCAGGTCTAGCGGAGAGCTGGTCTTCCTGCCGCTTGACTTGAGCGATCTACCAAACACGAAGACCGCGGCCCAAACCCTCATTGAAAAGGGGCAAAAGATCCATCTCTTGTTCAACAACGCAGGAGCCATGGTCGGCCCCGGTGAGCCAATTCCAAGAACCAACCAGGGGTACGAACTCGGACTGGGCGTCAACTGCCTCGCCACCTTGCTCCTCACGCAGCTGCTCACGCCCACGCTGGCGGCCACCGCCAAGGCCGAGCCGCAGCCCAACACGGTGCGTCATCTGGCTGTCCTCGTTCGGGCTGGGCCTCTTCGCGTCCGAGGGCGTGGGCGTCCCCCTGGACAACCTCGACTTCCACGAGCCAATGGGCCACACCGAGCGGTACGGGCTCAGCAAGACCGGGTCCTGGGCCCTGGGCGTCGAGTACGCGGGGCGCCACTCCCGCCCGACGGCATCGTCAGCGTGCCCATCGATCCTGGCAACCTCCGGTCGGAGCTGCCCCGAGACCAGGGCATCGTGATCAAGATTGCTGCCACGTTGCTTGGGTATCCCGTCGTCAATGGCGCTTACACCGAGCTGTATGCTGCCTTCTCGCCGGATGTGACAGTCGACTCCGACTGGTCTCAGGAGTGGGGTGAGTATTTCGTTCTATTACCTATATCTCACACATACGGTTCCGTGCGCTTCGGCCAGATCTGCCTAATGCAACAAAGACTGAGGCTGAAGGTGGGACGGGTGGGGTCAGCAAGTTCTGGAACTGGTGTGAGGAACAAGTAAAGGAGTATCTGTAGCAAAGACTTATGTACATGCTAGTACAGACCAAATCTGCAAAGCGTCATTTATGGTTACAGAAAAAAAAGGGAGACCTTGCTAGGAGCCCGAGACCCTGTAACGCGGGGCCGGAGAACCGTTGCCTTTCGGCCCTAGATTGCGGGCAAGCGATACTAGTATCACACTACTAAACAGCAGTCTAGTGAACCATGAACCACAGGCATGGCCTATCACTGATAGACGACCACAAGCGAGTTTCCAGCAGGCGCAGGATCCGTAGGATTATCCCGAACTTGCGGAGTTGCATCCCTAGACTGGGTAGCGTGTTGATAAGCTTTCGTCACGGGAACGAACTAAAACACCATCACCTCCGGCGGCTGAGTTCAGTCATTCATTTATCAGCCTTAGGGATGTGTGGACGGCATGAGCCCGGATGCGAGAAGTGACCGCGCATAGTCTGCCTCGGCTCAGTCGAGGGACAGCTTCCCAATCGCCCAGAGGATGACACCAACGCCCCGTGTCCAGACCGCGGTGGTCCAGGTCGCCGCTGGCAGCACAGCAACTTCCAAGCTGCCACTTTTGGTGTCAGACGCTGTGCCTGTACCCTCCTTGACGTCGCCGGATCATGTTCTGGTCCGCGTGTGTGCCGTGTATGTCTTTCTGGAAAATGCTCCCTCCCGTTTGAATCCCAGTGCCCAGTCTGTCTTAGCGACTGGAGCTCAGCTCGCTCTGACATCAAAGAGTCGAACTCATTGGTCTATTTCCCTTGGCCTTGTTTAGACTTCATAAACACGTGACATTCCTTCTGACGTCGCGCAGTGCTCTCAACCCAACGGACCACAAGTTTGTCACGCATTTCACCCAGCCGGGCGCCCTAGTCGGCTGTGACTACTGTGGCATCGTTGTCGACGTCGGCACTGCAGTGGCAGCCGCTGGCCGCGTTTCACCGGGCGACCGCGTCTGTGGAGCCGTCTTTCCTTATGACAATGGAAATGATGCCGAGGGCGAGGTGAGGAGCGGGTCCTTTGCCCAGTGGCTCGTGGCTGATGCCCGCGTGCTCCTGCGTGTGCCAGAGTCGTGGGGCGATCTCGAAGGTGCAGTATTGGGTGGTGTAGGCTGGGGCACCGTCGGTCTTGCATTGTCTGGGCCGGACGCTCTAGGTCTTCCAGGTCTTCCGTCGCAGCCGGCCGATGTTGATGAGAAGGTTGGCGACAGAGAGCCGGTGTTGGTCTATGGTGGCGCGACGGCAACTGGTACCATGGGGTGTCAGCTCCTGAAACTGTAAGTTGAATCAAATTCATGCTGTCCGTTGAACTGTGGCATCCTGCGGATTGATTGACGAATTTCTTAAAGGTCTGGGTACCTCCCATTAGCAGTAACATCACCCCAATCTGCTGGACTGGCCCTCCAGTACGGTGCTGCAGCCACAGCCCTCTACACGTCTCCCACCAGCGCCGATGATATTCGCACAGGACTGACACGACCTGGGCTTCCTGTTCGCCATGTTCTGGACTGCATCACCAGCCCGGACTCAGCTGCCACGTGCTTGGCAGCCATGGCGCGGACTGGAGGGCGTTACGCATGTCTGGAGTCGATGCCTACAGCCTGGCGCACGCGGAAGGCCGTCCGTGTCAAAGAGGTGGCGGGCTACGAAGGTTTGGGGAGGCCTGTCTCGCTGGGTCCGGCTTCCACAAACATAAATGACGGTGAAGTTGATGGGTCAATTGAGGCAACATATAGCCGTGAAGCTAATCCCGTGCTCTTCGACATCACTCAGCGCTGGACGCGAGAGGTGCAGGCGCTGCTAGACAAAGGCTTATTAAAACCACATCCGGTTCGAGATGTCACTGATGGCGATGGCTGGGGAAGTCGCATTGTCAATGGTCTGGTAGAGCTGCAGAATGGCGCGGTTAGAGGGCAGAAGTTGGCTGTTCGGGTGACCCAAGACTAAGATTAGATACAGGCTAATGTCTCGTCGTCTGACACGTCGTTTTGGTCCCTATCATATCTCATAAACTTAGCTTTGTCAGTACTCGAGTCAAATTGTGAATCTGTCTTGATAATAAAATATCCAACGGGGTAAACAATAATAATTCCATTTGAAACGCTGCCTACCTGATATCTGCCCAAGAAAGCCCTCCTTCTTATACTACAGTTGGGATTTACAGTTACATACGATATAGTGAATTCTATTATCTCAGTTTTAGAAAGCTAATAAAACCCAGTGAACCTCAGACATGGGACTGCAGATGACATCTGTGGCCTCCCTGGGCCTCACAATTTGCTGACACCTATTGCAACAGTCCGAGCCACACACATGTGACTGATCACTCTGTGTTCATTATTGAATCTCTGAATGATGTAGTCCTGAAACCTCCACATCATGAAGTGGGAGGCTCAGGGCTGGGCTTGCATTCCAACGGACTCCTATTTCAGCTAATAGCTATATGATGTTAATGATCGGCTTCACAATGACCAGATACATACTCTGTGGCTTGACAAGTTCCCGCTCAAGCAGAGACAAATTTGTAATTTTCTCCCTGCATCGGAGAGGCATGATCTGAAGAGTCATTACCCCGCTCGACTGTCGTGAGGGATGGGCAGATTTCGACCACGTAGCCCAGCGCCATGTCTTCGCACAGCCGACTTCTATACACATACCTAGACGCCACTGTAACTTCATTGGATGAACAAATCGACTTGTTGGAAATGATGACCGCTGATTTCGACCAAGAGACAATTAGAACGAGCCAAGCCAGTTGATGTGTCAAGGATTACGGAGTATTGTTCAGCTGTCCTGGTGGCGGTGGCGACCGGGATGGCTCTTCACAGAGAAGAAGGGATCAGTCCATAGAGTAGACTTCATGGAGCTAGCGGAACTCATATCGGAGAGTCTAATATTCAGGGAAATCCTTAGGTATAAAAAGAGCGGGTCCGCCAGTGTCGCGTCTTTAAACAACAACATCGAAGTCGAACAGACACACCACCATTTGGCCTCTGTCTGCTACTATTACTTCTCCAATAGATCTATTTCACGACATAAGTCTTCATTTAAAATGCTCATCGAGAAGATTCTGATTATCTTGGGAGCTAAGCTCGTCGCTGGCTCTGCAGTTGGGACGTCTCCACAGGTGGTTGACCTCGACGCAGAGCTCCTGCGAGGCAACGGCTGCGCCGCTGCCGGCGTTGTCAACGGACAGTGTGGCCGTTACTATCGGGCGACCGGCTGTAAAGACCAGATTGGAGCAGTTGGCCCTGGGGTATGTCATTGTCATACTCTCAATTGTCCTCATTGTGTGCTGACAGCGTGCATAGAAGTGCAGCAGAACTTGCTACAAATCCTCCGATGGAATCCTCAGCGTCCGCGCGGTTGGCGATGGTACCTATGGCGTAAACTGTCATCTTTTCTATGATTACAACTGCCAGGAAAAGATTGGTGAGACCGGAAACGCGGTACTTGGTGGCGGGAAGTGCTATACGCCGTCGCAGGGCACGTCTGGTCACAGTTTCTTGTGCTGGTACAAGTGCTAAACAGTCGTTCAAACCAAACTATCTGAGTAAAGGTAGTTGTCTGGATTGCTTTTTAGGACGTCCTTAGTTTCCAGCAATATTCAGGTAGCGAATATGATCTCTTCAAAAACGGACCATCAGCCTCATTCCTTGTAATTAAAGCCCGTACTCCGCGTTATACATAGCTGGGAATATCACGGCACCTTGCCATATTCCTAAGGCTCGTAAAAGATGTTTAGAGTTCAAGAGATTCACTGATCAGTTATGTTTCTCGAGGCTACGTCAATATGGACAAAAGGTTGGTCCGCATAGTGTAAACGAAGTCTCAAAATATGTTCAGAGTTGCCCTCGCCTAGGCGTCACATCTTCACGGCAAGTAAAGAAGTAATCGTCCAATGCCCGTCCATATCCCATATGCACTGCGGACCACAGCTAATATGCCACGGCTCTACACGCCTTTCGACCCAGCAACACCGCACGCCGTCGCTTCATAGCATCCGCACGAGCCGGAAATAGCAGCTTTACAGCGGCTCGACGCCGGGGCTGAGGCGCCTTGAACCCGTTCACGAGGCCGGTGCTCTTGCTTCTCCTCACGCCGCCGCTCATGACCCTACCATCCCGTCTTATTTGCAAAGCCTCCAGGCTCCTCAGAACTTTTTCATAGCTTCCAAAGAATCGGTGAGCCCTCACATCAATTCTCCCCCTTGCTTCGACCATCCCGTGGCCCAGAGTCACGCCCCAGAGCGACACTGCCTCCTCCGACCCACCACCAAGCGCAATAGCATGGGCATCGACATCCTCGTCTCTCTCCAGCAACACGCTGTATATCGCACCAGTGTACCTCGTCAGTTTGCCTTGGTGCACCTGGGCAGGAAACACCCAGCCACGCCGGCAATCAGCGGCAGCAGGCAAGGCAATGGGGTGCCACTGAGTGACGAGGACGCCCCCGAGCCGGACCATGACCTGCCTACGCACAGGCGTCACAAGCACGGCGGCGACCTTTCGGGGCCCGACGGGCGTGGTGACACTGTCCCCCCTCCGCAGCGACGAGATTCGAACATGCTTGCCACCGGCGAGGCGCACGGCCGTCCGCCCCGCGAAGCACGGCGCGCTGGACGAGTTGTACGACCTCATCGAAATGGGAGCGCCGCCGATCCTCACCCCGAAGTCGGTAGTAGCGAAGAAACCACCCCCGCGCCCGCCGCCGCCGCCACCGCAGCGGGCCATCGCGTGCCCGCCCGGGTCGGCGGGGACGACGTTGCTCGGCTCCGGGGCCGGGAGGTCGTCGAAGGCGGAGCTCAGGGCGTCGCGGCAGCGGGTGAAGAGCGGGGAGCCGGCGCCGTACCGCAGGGGCCCGGGGTCCTTGAAGCTGTTGCAGGCCTGCCGGGCGTGCGCGCCGTGCAGGCTGGGCAGGTAGTGCTGGCCCCAGCGGGTGAGGTACTTGTCCCTGGAGAGCGCGAGGGAGACCTGGCCCAGGGGCTCGGGCCCGACGAGGTCCTGCATGAGGGAGGCGCAGCTCGCGTCGTCGGGGAAGTGGGCGGCCGGGAGCGAGGCGGTGAGGTCGCGGAGTTGTTGTTGCTTCTCGGCGAGGCCGGTGGCGCTCTGGAGCTTTGGGGAGAGGCGGTGCTCGCCGAGGGGGTCGATGGGGAAGAGGTCGGCGAGGAAGGCGCAGATGTGGGATCGGGAAACGTGGAATGCTATCTCGGCGTCGGAGAGGGTTGTGAAGGAGAGGTCCATGAGGTCCCGGCTTGTATGGCTGACGTGCTGCACTTCTGTCATTTTGCTGTATTGAAGGGCAACGTTGAGATAGGACGGCTCCACGTCATTGTCTGTAGAGCTGCTCTTCCACTTCAAGTAGATATCCCGAGACTGGGCGTACTGGAGACTTCCCAGCGGTATGCTGAGTTCAGAGTTGCCGCCAGGAGCCTGAACAGGCTTCTCTTGACCCACAGAAATTCCCACTGTCTGCTGTATGGTAACGATGTCGGGGTATGTCAGGCGGAGAGTGGCACTGCTGGCGTAGGTAGATTGCAGGTTTGCAACGGCGTGGACAAAGACGGTGCCTATCATGCCTGCGTCGGGAATGAAGGCGTAGTTACCTCCTCCAAATTCTGCGATGGACTTCAGCAGTCCTGACCTGAGGACGTATCCAAACCCAAAGGTATGGATGGACGGCACTATTTCGCCCATGGCCCTAAGCGCTGGTACGTATCCTTGTTGAGGGCACATGTGGTTGGGCACACCGTCCGTCAAAACCATGACAGCAGGCACTCGGCCCGTGTTTGCCTCGTCCTTGAAGAGCTTTATGCCGTCTCGCAAGCCGTGCCACAGATTTGTACAGCTTTCAAGTTGCATGGCCTCAACCTTTTCCTTGGCGACCTCCTTGTTGGCGTCCGTCATCTCTGTCAGGGGTTGCAGGACGTTGGACCCCCCGGAAAATGTAACGATTGCCAGTCGATCCTCCTTTGTCATCGTTGACATGATGGTGCGGCATGCGTGCTTGACCAGGTCCAAGACCGAGAGGCCTGTCTTCTCATCCTCGCCGGGAGCTGGGGCATCAGCACCCATGCTACCTGACACGTCAATCACCAAGGCGATGTCGCATGGCACATGTGAGAGCTTTTCATTTTGTGGCCCCTTCGGCGGCTGGACTGTGAGGATGACCCCATCTTTGTCGGGCAAGGGCTGGATCTTCACCGTGGCACCTTCTTCTGGAGCAGTGGTCGCACCATGCGGCTCAACCTGGGCATAAGGAGGTGGTGCCTCGTGGACGTCCGGGGGGTTTCTCCCGAAAATGGGCACAACAACCTGCCGTCGGATTAGTCTCAGTCCACATCTGTGTCTCCCAGATAGACCGGTCCCTACCATTGTGATCAATGCCACGGAATAGAAATCAGGTTAAATGTGTCGGTCAGATTCTGAAAACTCAGGTTTACTGTGCGGATCCGTTGCCAAAGGAAATGGACATTTGGAAGGGGGGCGGTTGAAGGGTTGTGTAACGTGTTCCATTGTATATAGAAAATGCACCCGGATGGTTGCGACCAGGCCCCCGTATTCCATTCGGTCACAGCCCCTCAAGGGACTGGCATCATCCTTTGTCAAACGGCCAGGCAGTGACCGGCCCGAGAGAGTGAGGGAGATGGTCGGGTCTTCGGCGGGAACGGGCTTGAGACCAAGTAGGCCTTGCCTCCTGACTACTGTGATTAGCGGCACGCTTGGAGAAGGTCCAACACCCGATAAAGAGGCTTTGCAGTGAGCACATGGATAAAGATAAGCCTGCTCAGTGACTCGACGCCGGAGGCGGTGGCATCTCGACAAAGGGAGACAGCAGCAGCGGTCCAGCATCTAAGCTTCCACCGCTTTAATGATCCCACTCGAGGAGTAATTCAACTTCCGAATTTCTCAGTCTATTGGTCGGGATACGGCACGCCTACGATCCTTCGGCCCAGTCTTTGGGTGCAGGTGGGCCCGTCTTCCACACCTTGGCATTCTCATCCCCCTTTCCAAGGTTTCCCCTTGGACCTTGGCTGTCTGCCTTGCCTGGATGCCTACAACTATTTGGCAAGTAAAACATCACCCGTAATATTTACAGACAAGACAGGCAAAATCAGCAAAGCGAATGCGCAGTCGTTGCCGATAGGAACTAAATCTTTGTCATCTTTAGAAATGTAAGAGTTGGAGTCCTCCGTCTGCCCGCAGGATCTAGCGGCGCACGCCCAACCGTCCCTCTAAGGCCGGCTCGTGGGCCTGCAACAGCCACCGAAACATTTGGTCATGTGGCCACGGCCGTCAAACAGTCTTCTCATGTATGTAAGATAAGAAAAGAATGGCGTCTTGTTGAAAACTGGGACAGAAGGTGACAATTCTGAATTGGAAATAGAGTTTTTTGACAGCTGCTGTGCAACACGTGCGGCTCTGCACCTGCGAGCAGACGGGGTCAACTCCTTTTATTTAGCGGGGCACCCGGCGAGAGCGGCTTACTGCGCCTCTTGTTGCTCTCCACCGGAGACCGCGATGGGTGGCTTGGTGATTACCTACCTACCCAGCCTACCTTTAGGCAACATTGATTTTTTTTGTGGTTCCCTCCGTGTGTGAACCCTTCCTCCCATAGCCGTCAAGTCGTCTTATCGACTTCGGTCACGATTCTTCAAGTTGACATAGGTTGTTGCTCCCGTCACTTGGGCCACCTGAAGCCATACCTAGCTATGTAAAAGAAGCACAATTCTGGTCGCCGCTTTGCTTGACGTATCGTACTGGAGAATGAAGCTCAGACCCGAGTCCGCTCGGCGAGCGATGTCGCTGGGGGAGCCTTCAATATCGCGAGGAGCTTCTGAGAATTTCGTCATTCGTCAACGCACAGACAATGGCTGTGCTATTGGAAACAATGATTCGAGAAAAGAACGCCAATGGGATCCTAGAGATACAAGCAGTCTGGGATGCTGCTCAAGACTCTCGCGTACTTGAGTGTGCGAAGGTAGCCATCCGTAAACATGGTTTCACTGCGAGACTTCATTCTTCCCAGGGTTCGCATTGGCTGTCTCGTTGGTCTTAAATCACAGATATCATTTCTCACTCACAGTCAATTGTCTCCATGAGTATCAGGTATGAGAAATCAAGTGCGAACAGCCACAGCTCGAGCTTGAACGCGTGCTAGGTCTATGGACATCCAAGTTCCCACCGGTAAGTTTGAGTTACCAGATCGTTTTGATACATATTCAGGATGTGGAAGAAGACAGTGTAATTATAAGGAAGCTCTCGTACCTGTGTGCTCACGTCTGCAATTGTCCAGATGTCACATTCGACATTCCCACCGTACTCAGAAGGACCGCTGCTTAGATGCATTTAACAAAGCCCCAGGTATCAAAGCTATGTGCCTTCCTAGAGATTGATATTCTAAAAGATTGGAAGGTAGCTTAGCTGGGTAGAGCGGCTTGCAAAGGTGCGCACATGCCGAACGCAAGTGGTCCTGCGTTTGAATCGCAGCCTTCCTATAATTCCTTTTTGCTTTTTGTCTGCATTCATTACTGTAAATTGTGCGTTACGTGTAATGTGTGTCCATGTCTACTTGGTCCTCAACCCTAGCCAACCGCATCTGCCCAGACTTACCTATCGAATGCCAAACGTTACTTTCCTTGAGCCACTGAGGACTCGAACTCGAGTGCCCACGACATTGTGCAACGAATTAGCAGAAAAGGTAGAGACTCAAAGATTCATGAGATCATCTCAACTTCAGACAATTGGGAAGGTAGCTTAGCTGGGTAGAGCGGCTTGCAAAGGCGCGCACATGCCGAACGCAAGTGGTCCTGCGTTCGAATCGCAGCCTTCCTACAATTCTTTTTTTTGTATAACCGCATCCTTTGGTGATCAATCTATGCCGTGAGTACTCTTTTTGTTTGTGATTTTGCAATGTCTCGTGGCGTTGGGGAGAGAACCGTTTAATCCGACGCCGCACCACGACCCCAAGGGCACGTCAATCACTTGTTGGCGCCTTGTCGTCGACGGTAGAACACTCTGTGGAGGAACGAAAAGAAATGACCACGAACCTATACCCTCCCCTTTCTTCCGTTCGAAGTTGTCTAGAACATCCTCTGCAGACCATTGGTCACCTCGGCACCGCCTTATCATTTGCTTCCAACCATCACCTTCGATATTCACTTCCTTATGTACCTTTTCTTGCTGCTGAGAATTGTGCTGGTTACTTGACATACGTCAATTATAACGAGGCTCGAGTCACATGAGAAGCAGACAGGCATTGGTCACACTTGAGCATGGTATGGGTACAAGTGAGTGCGTTCGATGCGATTTGATTTATTCCTACAATTGCTAGCTCAACCTTCCCAACGCAGACGTCAACTGGTAGTCCTGGACGTCGTGACATTTCTTTCTTGCGCCGCTAGCGGGGCATGAAAATCTTCTACACATTACAAATCACAGGCCTGACATTAAAAGTCTGGAGCCAAGGCGACCCGTCTCTCGCAAATTGGACAGAGTAGCTTTCCAATGTCATCTTCAGATGAGTGGGTGAAGGCCTGCCCGCATATGCAGAAGCGGGTGTCAGTAGTCTCGGTAGGTTGGACCATGAATGGAAATTTGTTGTGTATTGATTATGCTGAAACCTTTTTGTTAGATTAATGGTAGAGGTACAACACCGTAAGTTGAAAGTGAGGGATTGAGAGCATAATCAAAATGCCGTTGTCTGCTGGAGGTGGGTAGAAGCAACGTCGTTCGTTTATATCAGCGAACTCTCCGTGGTGCATTGTCGGCGCGGAGCGAATCATGCCTGGAGGTGAGCAAGTCCGCGCGGCCGTGATTGGCCTCGTCGTCGCATACATTCTGCATCACTTGTGTCCCCGCGGTGCTTGGCCCAAAGTCCGCCCAGTCACTCAACGACGGAGGCGTGGAAGACCACTGCGCGTCACTGAATTAATGCCTATCAACCAAAGCTTAAAGGGGCCGGCGGGGCTGCGTCTCATTTCACCAAGCAATACGGAAACGATGCGATGTGTGGAGTCCGGGGCCGGAAAGCAAAGCGAATCGAAGGCCCTGCGGTTGATGGACGGGATGATTGGGGCATTGTGGGGATATGCTTTTCCGGGGGCCGCGAGCTTAAAGAAGCATGACGAGATTCTGATGGTCGGTGACATCCCGAGACGTCGACGCCGACGACAACAGAGACAATAGCTGCAACAAATAACAAACCGGACGTGGAGGTGATGCTGGCCCGTACGCCCTGGCCATACGGGAATAAGCGCTGTGCAGCACATGTGCGTGTGCGTGTGAGCATGTGCCACACGGGGACGCTGATCCGGCGTCTGGAACGCGGCTCTCATTTGCAGCAGCAGGGCCGTGCATGGTGGGGAGCCTCGAAACGGTGTGATGGCGTTCTGGTGTGGCATATCGGATTGGAGAAGGTTTTGGCAGGTACGCGCGTTGTCGTTTTCGCGACGCGCTGAGCCAGCTGTTGGCTAGGGGGTCGTTGGACGACAGGCCACAGGCGTTGTGGAATGGATGTGATGCGATGTGATGTCAATGCTCGAGGGGATGGGTTTTGAGCTTGGATGGTTCTGCTTGTGAGGAATTTAGATAATTAGCATTTACTGAATTTATCGATGGATTGATTGATTGAATTTTGGACCTTGTTCTCCATGCCTTCCTTGCCTGCCCGCGCATCTCGATAAGCTCAAGGTGTGCCCACTGCTCACCCGCACACCGGTCTGCCCTGCTGCTACCTTCAAGCCCCAAGGACAAGGAGGGCTGGCTCCTTTTGCCTTTGACGCCTGGCTACCCCGGAATACCCCAGGTACCTGACGATTCAAGGGGGTCAAGTATCTCTTGCAATGACACCACTCGCTCACCGTCAAGTCATGTCCCAGGGGTCATCATCTCCTTGTCCATGCGATTGGGTCGGTAGCTAGATGAACGGACTGGAGCCTCAGAGACTTCAGCTACACAGTAAAATGGGCCAGGTGAATTCAGCTCGGTCGGCTCGGGTCGGGTCCAGGTCAGGCGCATTACACGTCGGACGTCTACCAACACCGTTACATGGGCTGCCTGCCGCCTCCACAAACGCGGTCTGCCCTGCATGCTGCAGGTGGGCCTGGCCCGGGGAAGGTGGGTCTCTCCTTCCGCCCCCAGAACGTTGTGTGGGGGAGGAGCAAGGCGACAGGGCAGTCCCCAAAACGGAGAGGGGAGAGCAGAGGCAGTAAAAAAGCATCAAGACAATGCACACATGCTTATTACTGTCTTGGTGCGTGATTCCTACTTTGGCGTACGGGGCAGCTGCTAGCGACTTGCTCTCCCTGCCCTTCCCTCAGTCTACTCCGTACCGTGGACCAAGCTCAACCACCCGCGACTTCCTCCGTTTTCGATTGTTTCGCGCCGGTTGCGAGGCTTCCTCATTTGCCTCCTCTGCCAGCATCTCACCGTCTAGGTCTCTCATCCGCCTCCCGTTGGAGCTGGCTTTCTTCCGAGACACTTTGCACGGAAACCCTATCTTGCATGGCTGGCTTTGGGCCTGCGATTGCAGTCGTCGCCAGCCCCTTGCGGACCGACCTTCGCAGCCAACCAGCGACTCGCTCCCGAAGATCCCCCGCCCTGGCCCCAATGTTCCTCCGCGGTTCTACCGTTCAAGACAATGTCTTCGATTCCGAGGCCTGGCCCGCGGATGAACCCGAACACGCTTCTCTCAACATTTCCAGTCCTGCTGTGGCATTGCTGTGGCAGCAGAGCCGCAATTGAGACGCTGTGGTTGCGGGAATGAAGCCGACCCGTCAATCCCGTGTCGCTCCCTGATCTCCCTTCCCCGACCCATGGCTGCAGCTGCAGCCCTGGCACCTGCAGGAATGAGCCGCTTGCCGTCATAGGGTTACACTGGGCCAGCCATTTTGCGCATTTGGGTCATTGTTCAGCCCCCGTTGTGTTTCCTTCATTGGTGGTGGTCGAGCAACTGCCAGCATCGAATGCCGCAGAGCCCTTGCATGGTCAACTAACACGCAGGCATGATCGGCCGTTTTCCTGTCAACACTGCCTGAGCAACGAATCTGCTGACTGAAGACTGACTGACTGCGTCTAACCGACTGTCTGCATGAGAGGCTGACTTGTCAAGCCTGTCTTCTCAACTGTTGATCAAGCGACTCGAGTCACCAACGAGGAGCATGTGATACTAGGCTTGAAGATATGAACAACACTCCACATACCCAACCAACCCAGCCAACTCGCCTTGCGGGTCCTTCTGCGACTCCGCGCATCATCCCGTTTCACCGAGCCGCTCCCCCTGCCGAGCAACGCCGGTCCCGTCGAGAAGGCAAGGCTGCAACGAACATCCCAACTCAGTATCACACATGCAGCCTCGGAGACTTATCATCCCTCGGTCGACTCGCGCACTTGACACCGATCGGCCGGAATGCTCTCAGAAGCAATGGTCTAGACCGCCATCCCGAACCGGGGCGGGAAGGATCAGCACACGATGCCGCACTATTAGACAGAATACCAGTACTATCGAACTTTACAACTGGCAAACATTGCATGGCGTTCTGTCTGCTTCTCCCTCACAATAACAATGAAGTCTAGGCATCGAACCTTGATCTTAGAGCAGTCACCCGTAAACCGATTTGAACAGGTCCGAAATCCCGACGGCATTTCGGCAGTGAGTCTCGGTTGATAGCAACAGATGTGCTCCTCGGCAAAGGCACGCAAGGTGTATCGGCCAGCGGACCGGGAATCTGGTATTATTGTCGGGTAGCATCCAACAATTCATCTCGCGATTGGACTTTGGCAGTTGAACACTTCACGGCCCCGCCGTGACAGAATATTCGGCTGGCGTTGGGCATTAACGTGAAGTTACATCACACGTGGGAGGACCCACCAACGCCTCGATTACCTCAACAGGGTCAATTGAGTGCGATGGTGTCTTGCTGCACAGCGGAGCCCCGCGAAACGGTGCCCGCCCTTTGTCCTCAGCCTCATTTCCCGCTGCACATCAATGGGGAGTTTCGATTCTGTCACTTTTGACACCCCAGCATGCACCGACCTCCTGCCACGATTGACGGGCTCCCGCCAGTGCGCATGGAAATGACCGAACACCAAAAGCTCCTCGCTAATCAAAATAGCACACGGGACACGCAGCTTCTCCGCTCGTCCGTAGGGTCGGCTGATGACGACGCATCTCCGTGATGGAGGCAGACATAGCTCCCGACCGCGGTGAGATGGGCCTGGACGGGACCGGACAGGGCCTCAGCCTTGGACGTAGGCTAGCGTTATTGCGCATTGCTGGGGCGTGCGAGGCTGCCCCAGACCCCATGCCATTGTCCCAGCCACGCATTTCCTTATTATTCAGGTTTACCCGTCGGGAGCCCGCCGCGCTCGCTCTGGGCGTAGGTCGACGGAATGGTGGTGTCTATTTTTACAAGGCCACGACACACTGGTGGCATTGGCGCTCGGTTCTTCCCAGCAATGCCTTTAACCCGCTCAAGCACTACCGCCTTGCGACCGTAGGCGACGTTCTCCCAAACTACGAAGCGCAGCATGGTGGTGCAAAAGTGCAGCTCGTGGTGTTGCGTTCCAAGCGCGCCCTGTTTTTTCAGCAGGTGTGTGTCTGTTCATCAATGCTTCAGCTTCATCGAAACGGTCATGATGCTCAAAAAGTGTCCTATGGCCGCTGGGCTTCCATTTCGGGTGCAACGAACGAGTCAAGAGGCCTCAAGCTCCCTGTCGCCGGAAACCCATCCGGTATCAGGGACAGGGATTCAAACCCCTCCATTGCCGCGGCATCTGGACTTTTCAGGGGCACAAAAACGTGGCACAGTCGAGAGAAAGGGCCGAGATCCCAAACAACGGTTCATCTACTGGCGGTCGATCCCTGCCTGACGCATGGAGCTTCTTGGTGGTCCTTCTGGAAGAATGCCAAACGGTCGACGTTTTCTGGCTCCTCGCCGGTTCCTGGGTGGGAGGTAAATTCGAAAATAATTGTTCGCCATTTTATTGATTTCTGGCTCCCCCATTATTGACCCCGCCTACCAGACCCTGGCTCACAGACGTGTCGCGGCTTCTGGTCTTTCAGAAAGGTTCACCGTACTTGTACTCGTCTCCCGCGCCCGGAGGCCCGCCAGCCCCACAGCCGGAGTGTTGACGGGAACAACATCACTGGAACAAGGCTGCAGCAAAACAGTGTCAGCGAGGCTGGCCGTCCCTTTCATGACCAGGATCATGTCTCACAACGACGACTTTCGAGCTGCGTCTCGCGCGCCATCAGAGACAATCGTCCAAGACATTTGCAGGTGTCTCTACAGGCGACTTCGATGGCGTCTATTACTTTCAATTGAATTGACTGGACGACAATACCACACTCAGCCATCCAGATTCGGAAATTCCGTTACTACCAGCTCGCAATTTCAGCCTGATAACACACGGAGCGGTCTCCTTTCAGTGCCCGTCCGCCTGGGAGAGTGCAAAGCCGGAAAAGCCAACCGGAAAAGAGTCCCTGGGCGCACACTCCGGCTTGTACGGAGTAGACGCCCTACACGCACTTGGACAGACTGCCGTCGTGGCCCGACTGACTCGTTGCCCGCTCAGAGTCAAACGAAACGGTAGCGCCGCAGTCGAGGAGCTGTCAGATGTAGCGGATGCGCACCCGAGTGGGGCGCTATCTTCTCATCCAGGGGGCCGGGAGGGGTCCCCCGGGGTCACAGGTTTGATATCTGGATGCGACCTGAACGGCTAGTGCATCGATCGAATACGACGGGTATGCCTTGGTCGTGACGGGTGCGTCTTACCGCGCTCCCGCAATTTAGAGTCTAAATCTCAGGTTCCCGGGGAGAGCTCAGCTATACTTTCGCAAAGTGCTGGTTGAAGTAGCCACGGGCACACTGGAGCTGGGTCCTCGAAGACTGCTCAGGCCGCCCACCAGCATCGTGGGCTTGGGCTCGATGCGACTCCGGTTCACTGGGTGGTTCCGGTGGCTGGCTATTGAGTCGTAGTGGATGGTGACAACACATATTTGGTGGTCCCAATCCAGAGTCTATCGTTTCAAGTGATGGGCAATCTTAGGTCAAGTCGTGATACCTGACCGAGATACCGGCTCAGGTCTCGGGGACTTCACCGCGGGCAATGACTCGGCCGCCTGAGAGCAGCGCCGGAGTGGCCAAATGGATGGTCACACCTGATTCCAGCCTGACTCTCCACAGATAGCCGCATTGCATTGCATTGCGACTTCACGCGACTAACAAGGCTCCCAAGAAGTAGCCATCTGCTGAAACTGACGGTAGTGTTTGCAACCAATGCGTTGGCAGCAGCACTGACGACTCGCGACTTTCACATGCAAGGCAGAAAGGCCATCTCGCTGCCCTAAACAGAGCAAGCGTCCTGCACCGTTCATGCATCTCCTACCCCGGAAGGCTGACTCGAAAAAGACACAATCGAGGTCGTTCACCGACAAGTTCGTTTCGCAGCAAGATCTTTTACGTGGCCGGGCATGAAAGGCTCTGCAAGGCCACCGTCATGTGAAAGTCGCATCACCGTGACCTCATCTGCGGCCTCGAGCTGTCGTGCGCACGGCCGGTAGAGCGAGCTGGCTATACTATAGGCGGCGTCTGCTCCGCGGCTTTTCCCCCATGGGGAGAGCACGTTGAGCTAACTACCCCATGGGTCGTGGTACGACACGCACTACGACGCATTGTACTCAGGACCGCGGTGCTCGAGCAGCGAGCTCGCCTAGCCTGGCTCCCCCAAGAGCGCCAGAGCTTGCCGCAGAAGGCTCCTGACACCGCGCATTGCTCTGCGCCCTCGCTTGTCCTGTGATCAGCACGGTGGATTATTAGTTTTTTCTTTTCTCGGCCGGGCAGAGACTCGGACGACAGACTGTCACATGTATATCCGCGACCGCAAATGACTGACTCTTAGCTGGCGTCGAGGCCTGCCTGGACTCCGCAAGCCGCCCCGCGCGGTTGATGCTGAGAAGTGGATGCGCACAGTCCCGGCAGTGGAGTGTGGAGAAAGACAGACGGTTCCAGTGGCCGGCGCGGTTATTTTGGTCGAGAACGACCTGAAAAACCTGGGGTGCAGCTGCTACCATTTTAAGATTTCCTGCCGCTTTTCCAAGCTTCTCTTATTCATGCCCTTCGAATTGATCTCCAAAAATTCCAGGCCTCTTTGTCGGGGGGATGATTATCAACCGCAAGCGCGGTCAGCGGCAGCTTGGCGGACTCGCTCGTTTTAGTGCGTGGAGCGCCTGTGGTGGGCACTACTTGCAGATCAAACTGCCAGACTGCGAGACTGACCACGTCGATATTTTGGAGATAAATAGGGCTGATTTTAGCAGCAGGTTGCAGGCATTCTTGGTTCAACAGTAGTTGAAACAGAAATGACCGACTGCGAAACGGGACAGCAGAAACGGAGATACATTGTGCTTCGTTGACATGCAGATGTCCTCTAAGCGGCTTGGTCGCTCACAGGTCGGAAGGCTTCCCTCCCTTAGGGCCGCACGTCCTGCACGTATTTGGACCCTGTCCCTCTTGCTCAATGGCGATAGATGGCAGGTCGCGTGCGAAGCGGTATGCAAGCCTGAATTCAAGGCGAGGCGGTTAACGGCCCGCCTACATGGGTGCTCCCCACCATCCCCATGTGTGGCTGCTATCAGCCGAGAGATGTGTGACGGCCGATTTACATCCAACATGTACCCACAACGCAGTCCTTCCGCAAAGGCCATGGATGTACCCCAAGGGGCTGATACACTACCCTACGAATGCAATTCTCCGTGTATAGCATCTCGCCCTGCCTCACCGGTCCGAATCCTCCTACCATGAGGAGGGCCATATCGACGGGTGAATTTCGGCGCACATGGTTCTAATGGTCCGTTCCGTACTCCCGTCTTGCCCCTGGCGCTCGATGACTCTTCACTCGTGACGTTGTCTCGTGCAATGATCGCCAAAAACTTGACTGTACCACGTCGCGAAAGCACCCAGTACCGTGTACGTGGGATCTCTGTGGCACTAGGGGGCGGCGCCAGCACGCAGAAGGATCTCGCCTCGCCAGATCGCGTAACCGGAACCCCCACCGTAAGCAATGGCGTTCATGCAAGATGACTGCACGTAAAAATGTGGACGTCCTGCGGACGACAGACATGTCAGCGCGGGGTGGTCATGTTCGACATGTTCGTGACTAAGACCAGGGAGGGAGGTCGCCGCTGAATCAGCCAGCGTGCTAATTGCGATGAGACGCGTGAGAGGCCTGAAGGGGAAGGCGAGTGTGTGGTTGTGATGACGTCTCAGCGCGGTGTTCGGCCAGATTACACATCCTGTACGGCCGGCTGAAGTTCAGCAAACCAAACCCCCGGGTCGCCGTTGGCCCCTGCGTGCCTGACGGTCACAAGATCTTCCCCTTCGGGGGCGGTCGACGTGATCGGAATCCGAAAATGGACGTAATAATCTGGGGTAATTGACGATGAGACTCCGGTGTCTCAATCGATGTCAGGGCAGCTACATCGGCGAGGAGACACGTGCGGCGTCCATCATGCTCGACCCTGGATTGTGCGCCCTGTCTGCCCTGTCTATCTGACCCCGCCAAGTAGGGCCGACAGCCTGACAGCCTGACAGCCTGATGGGACGTCAACTGCCCTGGCTAGGCTGCGTGCCTCTGCCACTCTCGGTGGATGCAATAGCTCATCCTTCCACCCACACTGAAGGGCGGGATCGTCCCAAGATTTGGGATTCCGTGGCTAGAGAAGAAGAGATGCTCGCCAATGCTACCCCACAGGCTGCGCCAGAGGTGAGAGAGGGTGGGGGTGCTCGTTACCAACAAAGTCCCCAGGTGCTGACTGAGAGCGAGCAGCGTGCAGCCTCCTTTTTGGTAGGAGGTCTGGTCTCCGGGGAAGCGTTCCAGCCAGCCATTGCGACGGTGGTCAGGGGCTGGTTCCCGAGGTGGTGGTGGCGAGTGACAACCCCCCGGGGTTGAAACGTGAAGGAGGTTGGAAAGGGCCGGGGATCTCGTCCGAGTTCGTCACCGGTCCGCCGAATCAGGGAACGGCAACCCTCCATCAGGTCAACCACGTGCGGCGGATTCAGATGGCAGCCCGGCCGAGCGCTGCCCTACTCACCACCCCCTCCTTCCTCCGTTTCCAAATTCCTTCTCTCACCCAGCCCTGGTGTTTGGCCCTGCTTCGGCCCCGGCGCCCCCCACACCATCACCACACCCTCTTCGGCCGCCGGCTAAACTTGGGAGACGGTGTGAGTGTCGCCTGCGCGCTCCTGCTGCGTGGAATGCTTGTAAGCACCCATGTACATGTGAGCGGCATGTAAGAACCCCCGCTTATCTACAGCCCTCTCCCCCTGTACAGATTCCCCGTGGGGTAGAGACTGACATAAGGACAGCCCCTGGAATATGATAATCTTCAGCGGGTCGAGGGACCCGATGGATGGGGAACGAGGGGATACACAATGCATGAAGGGTACCTCTTTTCTTGCTTTCTTTTTCCCTCCATGTATTTGTTCTCTTCCTTGCCCCTTGTCCAGCATGCATGCGTGCATAATGAACCAAACCCCCTCCCCCCTCCCCTACCACGTAAGTGGCCATACAAAAGGTACCGTCTCGCTGCTGCCCAACCAACAGCCACATTCTGCCCACCACACCCCGGGCCTTGCCCAGGCCTATGCTTTATCCGGCCTGATCTGCCGCGGAGGCGGGATCTTCTTCTATGTGTACCTTCGGCGATCGGCTGGGTGATAGTATACTTTGAGAAGGTCATCTCTCACATTTTAGATGGCCGATCCGGGCGTGTGAGATGCCCGACGAGAGGGGAGGGTGGCGACCTTGCAGGCTTTGTGTATGTCAATGCCTGTGTGTGTGCGTGCATTGCATTGCTGTCCGCATTGTAAAATGGCGGTCTAGAGAAGTGACGGTGTGCTCTCTGAGTGATGGGGACAAGCTGGCGCGAGACATGTCGGCTCTGTAGACTATGGCTTGAGGTGTTGTGATGGCCAACGGAATGGTACTGAATGTCGGTCCTTTCCGAAACATCCCCACCCCCCTTTCGTTTTGTGTGGAATTGATGATCCCCAGAGGCCCCCTCAGGGGGCGGAGACTCAAGCACCTTGTTGGTAAGAGATAAAATAATTGTTAATTTACCAACATCAACAAATAGTGATAGTGAGAGGTGCTCCCGAAGTCAGCACCCCCACCACTCCGGGTACACGTCCCGTCTTTCTGTACATTGCCACTAGTACCTGTATACCACCAACCTGCTGCACGGAAAATGCCGTGCTCACCTGGTCAGATATGCTTACCCAGTGGTTGCAACAACAGTGATACAGGTCCAGTCATAACAGGCCAGGCGACAAGGACGTCTTCCCTGGCATGGCGGTGCCCTATCAATGTGTTTCAAGCTCGAGACTTTGCTCGTGTCGCTGTCAGCACAAAAGGGGTAAAATCAGTAAATTCCTTGGGTATTATTTTGATTGGCTGGACTTGGGCGGATTCTCTGACGGCGCCATCCTCATTCGTCTCGCCGTGCAGTCAGCTGTCCAATCCTCCCCTTGCTATACGACCGTGAATGACCGTTAGGAGTATGGCGTGGCAAGCCAGCAGGCCTCATTCTTGGGGAATTGTGAATATTTTGACGAAAGAGGTGTTGTGTCGCTTATGTTGTTATCCAATTTCGTCAACCTGTGGTCAAAATCCTCAGATGTGTAATGTGGGTGTCATCATTGTAACCAACAGTGTAATCCACACGGGCTGGAGTCCCTTGAACAGGAACATGATGCTAGATCAACGATTCGTATTGGTCCAATATTGAACCAGCGCTGTCACGGCTTCTTGATTGAATTGAAAGAGGACACTGCACTCGTTTTTTGGTTGCCCAGACATCACAAATCCAGTCCTAGCTCTGATCATGCACATGTCTGAAGATGGGTCCTCTATGTTTCATATCGATCGGACCATTTGAAGTAGTGAAAACCTACGACGGGTACTAATTGTTTCCTTCTTTATGTGTATCAACGAGGAAGGCTGAATGTCTGTCACATAGTACGTGACTTCTTCCGGAGTACTTCCACAATCTTCTTCATGTTCATTGGGGAAAGACAGAATCGACAATTCTAAGAACTGAATCATACGAAAGTCCATTTGGCTTGTCGTTGGTAGCAGTCCTATCCGTTCTGTTCACATCTGTAGAGACACCGCGCACGGGAGAAGCCAAGGGAGCCTATACTATGGCGGGTAATCTGTAATATGTATCAGCCTGCTGCATGCTTTCATCCAAGCGATGCTTCTCATAGATTACCTGTAGTGCAGGAATACGGTGTTTATGGCTGTGGAAATTTGGAAACATCCATCCAGTTTAATGGAATGATGTACATTCCGTGAAATCGACCTCATTTCCGAACAACATGCCGATGTCTTGGATACTGCCAGACCCATGTGGCGGAAGAAGTTGACCCGTTTCTATTACCTCCAAAAAGATCCTATCACGCCTTCTTCCCTTTGAGCTCAGTCACCAGGCCCTTGATACCCCTCTTCTCCTTCTCTGTCAGTCGGATGTCAAAGTACTTCTCCAGCGCCCGTACCCGGTCCTCCTCCGTCTCCAGCACCTCTATGATGCGGTCCTGCCCGCTGGCACCCTCCTTGACGACATTCCCATGCAGTATCCTCTCTCCGACCAGCTCGCCCGTGGCCTCGTCCAGGAGCGGCCGGTACGCGATGACCGCCTGCAGGAACCAGCTCTGCGGCCTGGTCATGACGAAGTAGTTGAGGCACTCGAAGTCCTCGGCGAAGAACTCGGCCTCGGAGAACGAGTACATGTCCTCCCACTCGGCCTCGCTCCCCTTCCTCGACGACCATACCCACAGCCGCTGGGACGGGTCGTCCTTGGTGACTTGCTTTCCGATATGCTTCAGCTCCAGCCTGCCCCTTATCGGGGCGATGGTCGTGATCTCGTGCCCGTCTTCGAGAGGGATGGGCTGCGTTGCCTCCTGGGCGCCGAAGCCGACGTCTACTAGGTACTTCTTCCCCTCGATGGTGACCAGATTCACCATGTGGCTCCTACGTAGGTTATCATTCATCAGTGGATTGTGCCCGTAATTACGTTGAGGCCGAGCGAGAATCCATCTGGGTACCGGTAGTAGACCAAGGGGCCGGAATATGCCTTACAGTCTCTCATGTTTTACCCTCCCGGCAGCGCTGTAGAGCTGGAACCCGAGCGTCCTCAGCACGGTCGCGAACAATTCGTTGACCTCCATGCAGTAACCCCCGCGGCTGTTTGTCACGATCTTGTCGAACAGGTCCTGCCGGTCCAGCGACAGGAGCCGGGTGGGCGAGTAGTGCAGCGCGACGCTGTCGAACGGGACCCGCGCCTGGTGGTGCCGCACGAGGCCCGTCAGGAGCTGCAGCCTGTCGGCCGGGTGCTTGGCCCGGGGGTACCTGATGTGCTGGAGGTACAGCTCGAGCTGCTCCTCGCTGTACGTTGCCATCGTCTTTGTGGGTGTCTGTGCCTCTGCGGGACTGACGCACTCGGGGCCCGACTATGATACTTCTAAGTTGGTAATCACAGGGTGAAGTGGCAGGACTTACGGTATTGCAACTAAGGATACGGTACAAGGCTGCTGGCGGATGGTTATACCGTGGGTTTACTCTTCATTGCCGCCGCCGGGGAGCTTTGCAGCTCTGAAGTGAGGAGTTTGAAGGAGTCCCTCTTTTCCCTGCACGCTATATAGACACGTGTTACTAAGCTTCTACTAAGCCTACAATGACGAGGTGAGTCTGAAAATAGTAGTCCACTTTCGGTGTACACTTAGCTTAGACTACATGTGCATGATTCCTATGCGCTTTCAAGCTGCCATGTAAGTTCAGTCACTCCTATAATGCTATCACTTGAATTTGACGCCTGCTCAGACGTAGCCCAGCATTGAGTGCAAAGACAGGGATTAGGGACGAATACTAAAGCAATTGAATTATGCTGACGACTGTATGTAGGACTATACAATTTACAGATTGTCCAGTGTATTGTATTTGCATAGCCTCGTGACGGACGTGCGGTCATCTTTCTTCTGACTCAGCCTCGTACAACAGCCACCAGTCTCAACCTCCCATCATCCTAGCTTCCACACAATACCTAAGCATCATGCAAGAATTGCAGCCAGACTCACAACTGGACCGAGTCGCGCTGACAATTTTATTCTGTTTGCCTTGAGGTTGCGCAAGTTTTTCGAGCAGGTTGTACCTGTTGCTTTGCCCTGCCTGCGGAGTTTGAAGCCCTCCTGATATTGAGCCTGTGACAGCCCAAGTCTTGATGCTCAGGCGAAGCCGACCTGAGAGCGGCATCTTCTCTGCGGAATGTTCTACAAGATCATTCGAGCCCTCATCCGCCGTCAGTAGCAGTCTGAAAATCGCTAGAGTGCGCCTTTCGTGCTTCTATGCCGCGCATGAGAGCAACCAGTGCCAACCTGAGCAGGGCTGGAAGCATGTTTACCCGCGATGCACTTGCAGCCGCGCCAGTCGAGATTCTTGGCAGTGACAGACCCTCTAGTATGGCCAGGCGGAAATCCCTTTGTCCGTCGTGACCGCCAGAGTCATTCGCCCGCCGGGCTTTGTCCACCCACCCCAAGTCATCGATGTGTCTATCAAGGTACATGCCGGGGCTAAAGGATAAACGTGCTTCCCCATGCTCGCCACGTCACGGACGCTCGCTAATTTTTCATTCAATTTTTTCTCTTTTTCTAGCGCGGGGCCCCAGGTCTTCGGCTCACCTTATTCTGAGACGAGTACATCGGTACATCGGCACAACGGTGGGGGTAGAGGAGGGAAGGGTTCAGGCCCCCAGATTCTCACTGCCCTGCCGCGGTTTCGCCAAGGGCGAGTGGGTCAGCCGACGACGATATCGCAAGCAGGATCTTAGTACACAGACCTCGTGCCTTCGCTGGATTTTAGCCGACAGGCGCGGCGCGATGATGTCGGGGCGGAAACGTTGGGAGGGAGAGGGGGCTTGGAATCTGTGGGTCGGAAAGACGTCATCGCAACAGTGGTTACCTCAGCCACCAAAGTCCGAGCCGAAATTTGAGGGTATCGTGAGCCGGGTCCGGAGTGACATAACCAGTATTCCCAGTCTTCAGTTGGAAGATGTTGCGGGTCCAGAACAGGAGGTCCCACCGCCACAGCCCTGGGGACTGGAACCCCCGCAGTCGATGCCGCCCCCATGATCTCAGTTGATGCGCATTGTACGAGATCTCGCTCGAATCTAGGATCTGGGAAATCTGGTAATCCGGGAAATCCAATTGTCGACCACCGCGCCCCTCCCAGTCGGCCACAGGGCGAACGACGTCATCTTTGGATCAGCAGACTCGGGAGGACCCTGAAATCTAAACTCCTGGGCGGAGCCTCTCCGCTCCCTCCCTCCCACCAAACCCCTTTCAAGCGGCACCGGGCGGCCGTAGAAACGGTCGTCGGAAGCCGACCAAAACGGTGGAGCGGGTCAATCGATTGTTCCTAGGTCTTTGTTGTGGGTGTTATTGCTGTGTGGTCTGTGTACGCATCCAAGAAGCCGTTGCGTCGGATTCAGCACCCAAGTGTTTCGAGGAAACCAACTGCCGTGACAGCTTCGGCGACTTGGGAGCACTACTGCTAGGCTGGCAGGCTGGTGGGCGTTTTGGCGCTGCGTTTTGGCCCCCTGCCCATCCCCTTTGTCCTGGCAGGATTAGTCGCAGCTCAGCCCTACCCACCAATTGACCAAAGTTGCGTCATGACCAGAGCCTATGTATCTGTACCAACCGTCTTGTATCGGCGACATGAAGATCAATGTTGAAGACTCGACTCATGGCATTCAGGTTATGAGCCCCGGATGATGAACTGGGAAACTCAATGGCAGCCTGTATAGTTTCACCCAGGAAACTGGCCTCGCAACGTGCCTGCATATGCCTGAAGCCATGTGCCTGGCACTCACAATGCTAGTGGCAAAACTGGTGGTTGCTGCTGACTCGCCAGCAAGCGATCCGACTGGTCCCGTATGAACGGTCTTCCGCCTCTTAACCCATTGGCGACCTTGCGCCGAAAAGGGTGCGGAGTGACGCCGACGCCACAGCTCCGGGTTTCAGTGAAAATCTGGGGATGGTCTGAGCGTTAATCTTTGTACCCAGCAACCTTATGGAAGAACACTAGGGTCTTGCGCGCGTGGTTCATCCCCCCCCCCCACACACACCCGTGTTGTAATTCGAGTTCAATCAAATATCCGGCTCACATCGGGCATTTTGACCTTTGTCGGCTCAATCTGGGGTATTGGGTCCGTTCAAACGCGGTCCGAAGCTTGTGGCAAATACAAACGGCAGATGTACCTAGCAGCTGAGAGGGCCCCATGAGCGCGGCAAACCGTAGCGCGTATCTTGGGTCGGGTTGGACATCGGGTCTTTGGTTCCTATTGAAGGCTCGCTGGCCCGTCCACAATTCGAAGCTTTCTCAACAGTGGAAGGTGTCCTGTTGCGGGCTGATTTGACCGCTCCAGCATCTGTACCCGTGTCATGGTGCAGACTTGTTGGCAATGCGAACTGTGATGCTGCAAACGCCCCGTGACCTCGGGTTAAACGGTCGTCGCGACTGTACCGAGTACCCGATTCTGCAAGAATTTCCGACGGGCAAACTTTCAGATTGTGGACACGGAACTTCCCAAAAGACATCCCAGGACCTCGACCAGGCCTAGACTTGATGACCATCCTTCTTGCCACCCGAAACCATCCGTTTGAGAGAATTACACTGACAGGCGGATGACGTGTGGATCGACACGGAAGGCGTTCTGGCATGTCTTTGTCTGAGACAGGAACGGCTTTCTTGGCAACATCGTCCCTGTGGACGCCTGTGAGCTTGTTAATGTGCATCCGACGCTCAGAACTTTTCGCTTCACGACTCAAGAGGGCTGGAACGTCAATCGTCCTCCATGCTGTCTCAAAATCTCGTCCCACATGGAACTCCGACATGACTTGGGAACGCCACCAAGGGCTGAATATGACGGCATCCCGCAATCAGACGAAGCTTAACAAGAGCCTCCACGAGGTTCAGGAGATTTTATCCTTCGGAATGACTCGTGATGCGTGATCCTCTAGCCCGCACTAGAAGTTTTCTAGAAGAGATTCTAGCATGGTCACCCCGCAAAACGCTGCAGGGCGCCGACTCCGGTGACCTGGATTGGTTGGGGAAACGAGCCGGTGGAAAGGGGTGTGGGAGTGTGACAGCCAAAGTTTAGACTGTCGGCCGAACCTCGCACTCAGACGAGACGGTCAAGCTCGATGCGGAAGTCGCCCTCTGGCCCCCAAGGAACGAAGAGAGTAGGCAGCCACGGACCGAACGCTGTGACAATATCGCCATCGGTTGCAAATCATGTCCGCCGAGAAGGAGCCGGGCGTCGTCGTTTCAAACGCAAGCAGCAACTCTGCGGCCATGTGTTGTTGTGGTTTAGGGCGACAAGCAGCGAAGAGAGAGAAGACGGGCAGACTGCAGCCCAACAGCTGTTCGCACTAGGATGCATCCAGGACGATTGCGTAGCGACGACGTTACGCTAGCCGTGATATTGGTTCGGATGGACTGCCGGTCAGCAACCCGCTGTTTTGTGTGTTCGCGAAGCGCCGCCAATGATAGGCGGCGGTTAATGGGCTGACAGCAGGCGGCGGGCAGTTTAAGCCCCCTATCCCCAACAGAAACGGACGGGCCAGGATGCTGGATCTTGGGAGCTTCACTGCTCGTCCATGCCAGCGATACAAGTGGTCGATTCGAGGTAGTTTGTTGACCACGAGCGACTGTAACAAGGATGCCTTCGTTGACAACCACTATCTCCCGGCCCAAAGGATGATGGAAGGAGAGAGCGAATGTTGAACTGGGTAGTATCCTGTGACATGTCTAGGTACCTCTTAGTGAGAGAGCAGCCCTCCATCCACAGGGAATATACCCTCCTTTATGACGCTGCAAGTTGGCAATGGGTGTGTTTCTGTGATGAAAGTTGCCGCTATATGGTGATCGTGTATATGTGCGCTGCGGGACAATCATAACCATGAGAACACTCCAGGCAGGAGGAGCACTGAAAGTCTGTGATGCTGCTCGAGGAGTCTAAGAGCGGCTGCTGACCAGTCCGATCTAGCGCAAACGACCGCTGCGACGGACTAAAACAGAAGAAGCCTATGAAGAGAAGGTGAATGGTGAGCACACAAAGCTCCGGGCGCCATCCTGTCCGGCCGGTGATCCGGGATCGGCGTGGGGCGAGCGGGAGAGTGGGTCGGCTGATTGCCGTCGAGTTGACTGCAGACCGGCTGACTCCAGATCTCTTTGTGCGGCAGTCGTGGGACCCGGAAGATTCTGCCAGCCATAGATGCGGTTGGGACAAGTAGCGACCATGTTGCAGAAGCGGTGAGAAATTCAGCTATCCGCAGGGTAATGACAGGGCAGGCATGGTAGCTGGAAGCTCGCAGGTGATAGCGGCGGAGGCAGTGAAGCGAGGCGGAGTGAGTTGACCTGGGGTGTCGTGTTGAGAAACGGGTGGAGCAGCCGTTACGGCATGGCACATTACAGTAGAAACAGCCCGTGGATGAAACTGTGAGAAAATACCATTGGGCTGGAACGCATGGGACGGGGGGTGGTTGCAGAGGCTGCAGATGCGTCAAGAGTCATAAAAGTCGGTGAGATTGAGCTATTTGGTGTGAGTGGGAATGGGATGGGGGTTTTGGAGAGAGTTGGCTGTGGTGTGGTTGTGTGGTGTTGGTGGTGGTGTTGAGAAACAAGAGCTGCTGCAGAACGGCCGGCTGCACGATAAGGAAACGCTATGCCCAGGCAGGGCTTATCGCCCACAACCGTGCAGGCCGCCCATGCAAAGACGTCGGTACTTGTTGATGTACCCAGGTACCCAAGCATCCAAGTACCCAAGTACCCAAGTACCCCTCCGTTCTGCACGCCAGCGTAGCCAAGCTAAGAGAAAGAGCGTGGGGCATTGCACACCTGCCATCTCACTACGGTTGAGTCTTTGACAAAGAAAGAGCTTTCTGGTCGAATGACAACCACCCAGGAAGATACTGTCAACTAAGTCTGGCGGGAACGGTCCTTGTCGGCCTTGTCGGAGGGCTGAGGCGAAAGAGACGACAATGGGCCAACCTGGTCAGGCAGGCGCATGCGTGGGCTGCACTTGCACTGCTCGTGCTTGGTAGGAGCTTTTCTTCCTGCAAGCACCAGTTAACTCAGTGGACTCAAAACTCGAACTATAGTACACTACAATGGGCCGCCTCTCCACCGTTCTGGTGCTGTAAATTGAATTGATCAATTGATTGAATTTATCGACCGCCGGCAGCCATCGCAGAAATCATCGCAGATTTTGCCACGGCATGTGCACCGGAGCCGCAGTTATTGAAGGGTGACCTCACCTCCGCGACCCCAACCCCAACGCGATGCCTCCCTCCCCAGACAACGATATCACCTCGCCAATGCAAGCCGCAAAGCATCGTGGACTGGCAGACTGGCAGCATGCAGCAGATGATTGACCCTCAATCCCACGGCGCCACAGACACTGCCGGCACAGGACGACCTGTTGCCTGCCCCTTACATACTGCACTGTCGATACAGTAGTCTAATTAATATATGGCACATGACATGAAGCACAACACATCATGCCTGCGGAATACAGAGGCAGCTCTCGCCCCAAAACGGCTGCGCAGGGCATGTGAAGCAGTGCGAGTCGGCTCTAATGGGAGCGGTGATAGACCGCTTTCGAAGTCGACCGGTTCGGCTGGGGATACCTGCCTACAGCCACCGCATCACCGCACATGCAATGCATGCTTTCTCCCGGTCCTGCCGCCGGCGCCCTCCCCCTCCCATCCCCTCACCCTCCTTGGGAAATCCAACTCAAAATCGCCGTCACTCCGCAGTCCACCGGGCGCGCAGAGGCGTGTGGCCCACCCCCACGGAAAGACTGGATGCGAGAACAACACCATGGAAAGGCTATGCATCCGTTGTCGCGGTGTGCTGGAGTCTCGTGTGTTGTTCCTGTGAAGGGGGCTCCCGGCAAAGACAACGCATCGAGCTGGGCAGATGTTCAACAACAACAACAATGCGGGGACGCCGGTGACAGGAGCCGGGCCTGCCACACTGCAACACCTCCCGCATTTACTCCCCGCTCAGCTGCCAATCAGCCCTGGGCCTGGAACAGATCTGCTGCTCACATGCACATTGCCAAAATTCAGGGTCCTTCTCTTTCCTCAACACCACAGGGGTGGGCCCGCATGCCTTACCTCATTTCTCGTGATGCCGACCAAACGGACGATGAGAGAAGATGCATGATCATCCGCCGAGACAGAAACCCCCCCCTCCCTTCCTGCTCTGTGGCGGATAGACAGCGCCCGACGCTTGAACCTGGCGGAGAAACTGGCAGCCTGGTTTACTGGTACCCTCCTTGTGCGCGCCAAGGCAGGGCGGGCGTGATGCGATGCTGCTGCTTCTGACACCGCGATGTCACAACTCCTGGTGCTGAATGAGCCGCCCTGGGGGAGACGACATGTCGGGTTGGGAACCACAGCAGGTGGGATCTCTTCACCGAGCTGTTGGCCGACCCATGCTCACCAATGTTGGAGAGCACAGTAGATAGCCAAGCACGGCCATGTGACGGGCCTGACCTCGACGCAGTGCTACCACCCCGGCCCAAGCCGCCTCCGCCCATGCCAGACTCCGGTATTTCGTGTGCAGCGATGCAATGCAGCGAGCCTCGCGTCGAGCTTCCAGCGCCCATCACCGCACAGCCTGCTCTGGTTCGGCTCGCATTGCACTGGCTACCGCCTGCACGGCCCTGCTCTACGGCCGAGATGATCTCAGGGTGGACCAGTACTCTCTCCACGACAAGTGTTCACACCGGTTCTGCACGGTCCGGTGCTGGCTGCCCGCCAACGTTTGGTGCACATATAGTACCATAATTGCTGTGCCCGAGATGATCTACGTCTACAGACAATTGGCTCAACGCCAACGGCTGATCTTCGTTACTGGCGCTGTTTTTACCCCAGATTGATCGCCAACCTTGGCCGTGAGACGGGTGGCAGATTCGCTTTGGATCGTCACCCGGGGTCTGGCGCAAGGCTGTACGACACGCATGCTGTGATGGGCGACCGTCCTTTGGGAAACCCCGGCGCCGACATGGCCGTGCAGCGCCGTGACAGCTCACGCACCCACGCTGCTGGATCTCGTCGCTGGCCCCTGCTGCACCTGGGAACCCGAAACCGTGGCTCGGGCTGAAAGGAGAAATAGAGACCGTTTGACAGCAGGCAGCACGTCATGCACGACGGGAGACGTGGGCCAAATTGAGAGTTTGAGTCCCACCGTGACCAGCGCATGGCCCTCTCAGTCTCTCTCCTCTCATCCGCCATGCCAGCTTGCCCATCCCGCCCAGATCTCACCGGTCTCCACGGGCGCGTGCTGGTCGCGCGGAGGCCCGACAGACAGCAGCAAAAAGAGACGAGACACGACGTGGCCGGCCGGCCGAGCCCACCCCGTAGCATCCTCATCATCCTCCTGCCCTCAGCCTCTCCCCCCCCTCCCTTCGAACGGCGGTGAGAGGGAGACATGCGACATGCGTGCACACGCGACATGCTCATTTCCGGCGAGCCTGGGCCCCTAAGTCCCCCATCGCATCGTGATTTGAGTGAGGTGGGCTCCTCAATCTTGGGAGGCGTGCATGAGCCAGCCCATGGCCATCGTCACCGACAAAGACAGACAAGGCCCATCATCGGGGTTCGGCGGCCAGAGGGGCGGGGCCCGCAAAGCTTGGGAAGATTGCGAAACCCAGCTCCCCCCTCTCCCCCAAAAACCACATGGCATGGCATGCTCGTGTGGGACCCTCTTTAACCTTGCCCCACCAGATTGTTGGCTTGGATCCGAGCTTGTAAGGGGAGGAGGCAGGGCAGATTTGCGATCGGGCGGAGCAGGAGCAGTCGGGCGCCCGAGACATGCAGCCTCCGAGACCAGGGGAGAAAGCTTCGCGTGCCCTTTGACGAGGAGACGCGCTTTGCCGACCCGATGTCAAGCCGCGACAAAAAGACTTGTTTCTAGAAGGTTGACGGGCGGCTGGACGCTTGAGATGCTGAGCTTCTCTCTCCCGGCCCTCCGCCATTCAATTACCTGCGGCATGGTCCGTGTCACGAAAACAGAGACCCCCACCCGGGGCGGACGTGCGGTGGGCAAGGTGCGTGCGTTTGTGTGTTCGCAGGTGTGTGTGACAAATCACTCAAACCTGGAACTCGGAAAAGAGGATTCTCATGAAAGTCCACTTTTCTGCTGATTTCTGTTGTGTAAAAGTCCTCCCATGGGGAACAAAAGTTGGCATACCCGACAGTATACGTATCAGCCACCGCCAACAATGACGACCCAGGACTGGAAGTTCCGACTTGGGTGTGCTGGTCCGCCAAACCGCTATACGGCGGTCGCTATATCCCAATTATATGGAAGGGGGGGAGGTACACCCGGGGGGGGGGGGTTGCCCGTTTGGTTGATTTAATCGTGGTATGCATACCTCTGATCCGATGTCCGATGTGTATACGGTCCGGCACAGCACGTGTGAGGATCGGGTGAATCAAGATCTAACACGCCGGCCCTGACAGCTCACGGACAGACTCCGTGTTTGCGACCGGCTGCCAGGAGCTCCCCTTATGTTCTGTGGCTGGAGCGTTCGATTAGCAGTAGTCTAAAGTGCACCATCATTCCCGCAGCGCAAAAGCCGCTGGGTTAGGTAATTCACATGATTGAGAGGGGGGGTCACCACTGGGAAAGCCATCACCGACCTCCAATTTACAACTGGGTTCCTACCCGGAGAAGGTGTAATAACACCACTGTAAGAGGTAGGAATGACCCAGCGGGTGGGTACGGGGGGCGACGTCGCCGCGCGGACGGAGGACACGGGCAGCGACGGGGGCACCTCGGGCTGTTCGGTCGATGGCCGTTCCTTGCGGTTCCGTTTCCCATCGCCCAGCGCCCAGCCCCAGGGCGCGGCCATGGCGTGAGAAGAACTGCTGAGCCGCCCTGGCAGCCGGCGACAATCTGTACAATCTGGACCGCATCCGCCCAGCCCTACTGCGGGCGACATGATCCACAAAGTGTCATACAAAAGTGTCAAGAGGATGAGGCCCCATTCCCCATCCCCATTCCAGGGCCTTCCACCGCTTGGCCGAGTTGTCCCGCGCAAAAGTGCGAGAAGGCGGGCTGGCGGTAGTTATGAGCAGTGAGTTAGCTGAGTGAAATGCACACGCAATGGGCCGGTCCCCAGGACCGACCAAAACTTTGGTTCAGGGAGCGACCCATAGCTAGCGAGACTGGTCCATTTGTTTCGTTTTGCCCGCCAGCCCGGCCAACGAACATCAAACACCGCCGATGGAGCGCCGCGTTTGGAGACGAGGAACGAACCAGACGGAGGAGGGATACCAAGGGTTCTCGACTTTCGACGTATCATGCCCGATGAGGCAAGCCGACGCGGCCGAGCCGACTGGGTTCTGTCGCTTCCTTCTCGTACTGGCGTTTCTCGACCAGATCAGATCAAATCGAATCAAATCAAATCAATTAGATCTAATTGATTGCCCGTAGTCTCTGTCTGTCATCAGCAGCCTCTCTCTCTCTCTTCACATGGCAACAACATCCATTCCATCATCCTCCTCCTCCCACCACCACCCCACCTCCGTTCAATTGCAGCGCGTATTTCTCCCAAGTAGCAGTGGCAGTAGTAATACAACACAACACAAACACTCGTGTATTAGACTACGCATCACCCCATCCTCCCCTCCCCCCTCCAAGCCCAACACACTAGCCTCGAGCATGTGCCCCGAGCAAGGTTCGGGCCAGCAAGCAAGCCTGGCAAGCTACCCAGGCAGAGACAGCCATAGCTTGCCGTGGCGCTGCATAGTCAGCAATCACATGTCTGTCTGACTTGAACTTGAGATCCCAAGCTCCTCCCAAGCAAGGGCCGGCCGGGTCCTCGAAACCTCCTCTCACACCGGTCCGCGTCTTGTGCTGTGTCACGCCATTGGGGACTACACGTGCATCGCAAAAACAACAGAGGGAGAGCGCGTGCCACTCTCACGCTCAGAGTCTGTGCATCAAGCGCTGCTGCGCCTAAGCTGCCACTTGCTGAGCATGGTACATAGTCAGCAGGCATGTGGACAGACAGGCATTGCTCATGTCCAAGAAACCGACCGACCTGCCCAGACACAGACAGCGCCGGAGTAGCAACAAACAACAACGCGAAAAGAAAAAAAAAAAAGAGGGCCCGGATCCCGCCCTTCCGCTGGTAGCCTTTGCCTTTGCCTTGCCTTGCCTTGCTCACCTTTGCCCGCCTGAAATGTCTCGCGCTCAGCGATTGCAGGTACAAATTAGAACTAGAACTCGCTTTTTCCAGCGGCCCTTCACACGGCTCTTTTATGGGGCCCAGCAGGACAAAAAGAAAATGGCGGGAACGTGAAAAATTCAGTGTTTGATTCCCGATTTTTTTTTTGGGCTCCACGTGGAGAGTGGCAGCCGACCAACCTGGAACATGCGGCTCCGCGTTCATCCCTATTGTCAATGTAGAAGTATCAGGTTTTCCCCCCTCTGGGTGCTTTGGTAAGCACGAGAGAGAAAGCGGGGCCGGCGGTGTTGGGGGTGGAGAGAGGGAGGGAGAGGAAGAGAGGTGCGGCAGCCGACGGAAACGTTGGTTGGTTGTTGGACCGGCCACCCCATCCCTTCCCTTCTTCCCACTGCCCCACGGAACTGGGCCGTTCATGCCGCGGTCAGCACGATATGCGATCGGGAACACCATTCAACATAGCCGACGACTAGCTCCATGTCAGACACACCACAAGATCACGTAGCAGAGCGCGTCGCAGGCGAGCATCAGGCACGAGGCACCGTTTGGATCATGATTGTGAAGTGTTCATCAGGTTTAATATTTTTTTTAATCAAGCCTCGTTTGCTATCCGAGGTCGTCCTTTTGAAGGCGTGCTTCCACTTGTACTTTTGGTTTTGTCTCCAACCCCCGGTCATCCTGTTTTCGGTTTTGCTGCGTAGCAAGGAACGCACTGTAGCTTGACGGAAAGACCGTCTTTTTTTGTCTTCCGCCTCCTCCCCGGTCCTTTGGTGTGAAGGAACATCTGCTGGTTGCCCAACATGCTGGTTTTGTACCCTGCGGGCCGTATTAGAATACACCCTCTTTCCCTCTTCCTTGCCAGTGACCTGATGACGAAAAAATTCCAATTCCCCGACCAAACCCCATCATGAGGGTATCGCGAAGAAGAAAACGAAGTAGCCCGTACTCATGTACGAGAAGACACTGATGCGATTCGGAGACCGTGGTATCATGATCGAAACGAAACAAGGAAATAAAGCAAGGCACACTTCAGGTCAGTCGACCGGCCTGCCCAGATTGGAGGCCGGTTCGTCCGTGTGTGGAAAAAAGCAAAACGCCGCCAGTCATTCGATGTCGTTAAAAAAGCATGTCGCTTCGCAATGCTTGATCGATTGAAATTGTACAAGGGCACATTCTTGTGTGCCGAAGATATGGAAGTCCAGTTTTCCTGTCCTTTTTGGGTATCACTTTTTGAATGGGTATATGCAGATGTAGAATATCGTGTTTTGCGTGAGGGCAGTGACGTTTGTGGTATGATTTACCAGCCCTTGGTGTGGTATCCGGCGAAGGCCTCCCGAGTAAAGTCCTGGTCCCAGCTGCTGGCATTGATGTCGTTGTTGTCCCGGTTCATGTGGGGTTGTTGTGGATATTGCCTCAGGTTAGCGACGTCCTGAGATGTGTGGCGACGCTTGAGCACAGCATTGGCAGTCGAGGTCTTCTGGGACCTCTCCCATAGGAGGTGACGTCGCAGCGACTCAGTGAGCTCCGTCGACATCATGTTGCGGCGGGTCGTCCTTGGGGAGAAGGCAATGGGCTGGCTGACACCGTTGCTGGTAGGGGCAATGGGTTGAGCCGACGAGCGGGGAATCTCGTTGATAGAGCGCAGGGGGCCACCACGGGGCTTTCGCTTCATCATTAGAGGCGCATCGTCAGAGTCGTTGGGGGACGCTACCATGGCAGGGCCGTTGTAGTTGTTTCGTGCACGCTGTGGGATAGCCGAAGTCGACTGCGAGGCGATGTTACCGAGGTGAGGTGCGGGACCACGACGCTGGTTTGACTCGAGGCCCAAGGTGATGAGAGATCGACGCGAGGTCAGGTTGGCATTCGAGTCGACTCGCTGGAAGAACGTCTTCTCATCCACACTGTTCTTGCTGCTCTCCTCCTCGTTCGAGTCCTCCCAGTCCTCGTCGTCATCATCAATGGCGCTCTCATCATAGCAGCTCTCCTCGTCCTCATCGATGACGGCGGATGAAGAGGATGGGATCGTAGTCGTCAGGTTGTTGGCGAACGAGGTTTGCTTCTTGTGCACACTCAACATGCCATGGCGTGGGGACGCGAGCGCGCTCTTGAGCGAGCTGTCCTCCTCTGAAGAGCCTCCGATCTGGAACATCTTCTTCTTGGGTACTGGGGGTGCAAGAGTGGGTCGAGTCTCAACGCTGTGGCCATGGTCGCTGTAGGACTCCTCTGATGATCCGCCGAGGACAAATTTGGCCCGAGACTTCTTAGACTCGACGTTCTTTGCCGCTGGGGAGGACTTGGGAGCAGGAATTTCGGATGTCGTCCTGGGTGGTGTGAAGACCGCGGGGATGGGACGCTGCGAAGGCGAAAACCCGCGGACAACAGTGGTCTTGTTGGTCTGCATATCGGGTGATGCAGGCGACGAGCACTCGGATGGGCCGTCGGAATCTTTGCTTGGAGACTCGGTAGTGGTTGATCCTGATCGGATAAGTTCCGGGGGAGGGAGCATCAAGGGCTCCTCCTTGGGTGGCGACTGGAGGGGGGGCAACGCGGGAAGCGGCGAAGACAGAGACTCCTTCTGCTCCACAATAGACGAAACCATCTTCTCGAGGTTCTCGGAAGAGATGTGTCTGCTGCGGGTGCTCGTGCAGGAGTCTTGCCGTCGAATCCGTGGTCGGGAGATGTCAAGCGGGGAGGAGTCAGAAGAGAACTCGACAGCTTCGTCGTTCTCAAGGGAGTCGACGCTTGCAGATAATCTAGGGACGTCCTCGGCAGAGGACTTGCGTGCTGGGCGCTGAATTTCGCGCGGGAGCGAAGTGGCGGAGTTGGGTGCAGTCTCGTTGGGGACCTCCTCCATTAATAACCTCCAGACGAGGTTCTCTAGTCTTCTTCCTTGTGGCAGAGCGTCTGCGCACCTGGACAGCACTGGATATCTGGTTAAGCCCGGAGCTGGGTGGAGTGTAGGGGATGGGGACAACTTACTGCACCAGAGGTTGAAGAGGTTCTGGGGGTTAGAGGTGTCGACTTGATGGATTAAATTGGCATCCACCTGTAGCACAGGCGCATTGAGGGTCGAGGGCATTGCGCGGAGGCTCTGTTGCTCGAATGGGTCGAGCAAGCGCGGAAGGCCGACCAGGGCAGGGTGGATCGGAAGAGACGAGTCGCGATTGTGTCGCGATGGGCGTGAGAGCAATTCGTTCGGGGGTGAACTCTGAAGGGTAGTAGAGTTCGAATCGTCACCGAGGATGGAGTGGGTTGCGGCGGAGAAGTGGCCGTCGGACGAGGTGGATATCAGCCGGTGATATTTGTAGGGTCTGCGATGGTGGTCAAGGTCGATGCGCGATGACGCTGTGGAGAGACCTTGGATGGGCGGGCACTGAGGGCGACAAAGTGCGTGGAGACTAAGGTGGATGCTTCCAAGTGAAGTGGACGACTTGTGTGAAGATTGCTCCTTGGATAGACCGGTCGTAGGGTATTGCGCCGGCAAGGTGAGGTCGTCGTTATGAAGTTGATGTTGTAGGTAGTGAGAGGAAGAGGAGGGCGGGCAGTAGTAGACGGTGGGGAGAGGGAGACGGGATGTAAATGTAATGGACGCCCGTCCCTGGTTTGGGTTGGGTTGGGGCAGCAGAGGTACCTCGAGACGGGGAATGATGGGAGAGGGTACTTGGGGGATGTATTTTGCCGGAGAAGCAGCGCAGTACGGGTACCCCTTCCCAGGGAATTTGGGCCTGGGTCATCAGCAGAACGATGGACAGGGGAGGACTGTGGAGCTGGGAAGTGGAGGGGGGGATCTGCTTTGGCTGACCAGGGCCCCGGGCGTGGGATGGGACTTTGTGCGGTGAGGACCACCTCTGGGCAGGGGCCAGGGAGGAGGGGAGGAGCCCAAGTCAGGGCCTGGCCATAGGGACGTTTTCAGATTCAGTGACAGCGACACCAGCGGCTGGTACGTACCGTATCCGGTACAAAGTACCACGAATCGATACGTACCGATGGGCTTGTACTTGGATACTCCGTTTCGGTACGTACCCGTCCACGTCCGCCATGTACGCCATGTACTATGTATCTTTCTGTCCGAATCGAGCGCAACAACAAAGAGCAGCAGCACCACACCATCAATCCATCCCATCTCATCCCACCCGTCCACGCCCTGCCTGGGACAATGTGATCTCCCCAGACAGCACTGGATGTTGGCCATCAAACACGCAAAGCACTTGATGACGCGGGACGAGAAGCACCGTAGTTTCTCCCTGCTGTGGTCTGTCTGTCTGTCCGTTCACCGGCTGAGCGCGCGCACGCGCACACGCGCGATATCGAGGCCTGTCTGCCCAAGCATCCACAGCATCCGGCTTCGTTTGACGTTTTGCCGGCTGATGCGTTGCGGAAGCGGCCATGGCTCAGGTACCAACACACGATGCAGGAGCTGTCTTGCTGCCTTTCTCTACCTCCACTTTTGATACCCCTCTGAAGCCCAGAACATTGGGAGAGTGGGAGCTCGGATTGTCTGAGATGCGCCCAAACGGGCGGCTCAGTTCGAAGGACGGGTGCCTTTCTTCAGAGACGGGCCGATCGTGAGAGAAGGGCACTGTTCCTGATGGAGCAGTATCGCAAACGGCGAGGGTGTCCAAAGAGGGCAGTAGTTGGGCTTCCGTTTCGGGTAAGCTGTCGGTTTTGGCGCCAACCCTTTTGGGTAGCACATGGCCGCCCAGGGATTTTGCGCCCGTCGCTCGTCACATGATGGACTTTGACGGGTCAAACGCGGCTGGGGGTTACTGCCCCAAATGGAGAAGCCGCCCTTGTGGCGGTTCTGGCCCTTCTGGCCGACGGTTCGTGGAAATGCCCCCAGATCGGCCAAGTTCCGCAACCAGCGAGGCGGAGGGTCAAAACGGTGGCTCGCCTCTCCGTCCCGCCCTTTGCGGGCGCCTCCAAGCTCCTTGTTCCCCAGACGGATCAACTCCTCAGAGCCACCGTCCCGTGACCATCAACCCAATCCAGTCCCGGTCCAGGTCCCATCCAGCCTGAGGTTGCCCATCCCGCGCCTCATCACAGTCCCTCCCTGCCCTTGCCCTGCCCTGCGGTCTGGCCCTGAACTGACTCCTCGCTCGGTCACCCACGCACCCGCAGCACCTCACCTTGGGGGAGTGGGAGTCGTTTCCCGATTCCCCGGCGAATTGACTGGGCCTGGTCCGCCCGTGTCACGGTCACGATGGTCACGTCCCTGGATGCGTCCAGATCTGCGTGCGGATGGCTGATCATGGACCACTTCGTTTGTTGCTCGCCCTGCCAGCCTTGCCTGGCCTGCTCGACCGCGCATTCGTGCGTGTCAAAAGTGCATCACAAGACTCCTGGAGGACAACGCATTGCTTTGCCCCAGCGCCGCACCGACCGGTTCGCTTCCCCAGATTTAGGGTTTTGGTTTGATGAGGGCATCCCATATGACCCCCCAATATGACCGTCTGCAAACAGCTGCTATTTTTGATATGCGCGGCAATCAATCTGTTGTCAGGTCGGATAATCTTGCATCGGCTCGGGGCCCCAGCCCAGCGCCCCAGCCCTGGAAAACTGACAGGCCACACATGGCAATCCTCAACTGTCCATCGAGCTTGAATGCCTCGCCAGACCGCAGCATCTACCGCGCCGCGCACGCAGCCCGTGTGGCAGCCGCTGATTGACCAAGGTTAAGGAGCTGAAGCCAGACCGTCGCAAACAAAACCAGTTTCTGGACTCGTCGCCGTCGCCCAATCGACAAGACAGAGGGCAAGGCAGTGCTGGCCAGCTCATACGTGACGTGACAGTCTCGACCGGCTCTAAGGGGTGGAAAACAGGCCCAAAACGGCTTGGAACTCCCGCCCCTTGTTGGGGGCAGATGACCTCGGGACACGCTCATGGCATTCCGCGAGCGTCATCAGAAGCGTCAGTCCTGTCTGCCTCGGACAGGCGGACAGACTGTCTAATTGATTATCCGAGGCCTGATATTGCGCTCGCACTTGCCCAGCTCGCGATCGTCGGGTGCACTCTACTACACACTGCAGTGCTCGCTAGGAGGTCAATCACCGGTTGCGACCCCTCTGGAGGCGCTGCGTTGTTTGTTAGGCAGCCATGTGCGCATGCTTGATGATAATGGCAGATGCTATCCGGCATACCTAGGCCGTGTTTTTGGGCCAATGTTGTCGGACGTTGCAGTGGGGGAGACGGGGTCGAAGAGGTCATATGCCAGAATGAATCCTACCACCGCCTGTGGCTGAAAAGCGCGGGGAGAGGCGAGCTGTGTTAGCAGCGCACGCTCACCACTGGCCTGCCGAAACACGCAATTGCTCCTGGATCGCCTGCGCTGCTGTGTATCAGTGGGGGTCCTACTTGCTTTTTTTTGCCAATGATTGTTCTCACGGACCTTCGAAACACCACGCACTTTCCTCGTGTTCCGCACGCTGGCCCTCCGAACCACATGATAGGAGCATAAGTCGTCGCGAAAAGGGCCTCCCGTGCTCCTGCTAAGCCTGCCTCACGAGAATCTTATGCGACGACGGCCGAGCGAGAGCGCCCTCCTCACGGCCCTTATTCATCGGATTCTACGCGCTAACAAACACAATCGACACTAACACTGACAAAGGCGGTTCAACCATTCTCCCCACTGGGCACGCAGAACTGCCAGACAACGGCTCTTACAGTTTCAGCTCTAGGATCGCCCTGCCCCCCTCCTCCCGTCTTACCACCTCCCGTGTCTGGCTTGACGTTAAGAAAAGCGCCCAGGCGCACCAATCGAGAGCATCCCGCGCTGTCCCTTGCTGATCTGATCAACACCCACGGCACCAGCCCAGAGAGTGGAGCCTTGCACCCTCCCCCCCCCCGGGCAGTTAGAATGGAAAGCTGACAGAACCCCCGCGCGACGGGAAGGGCAGCGGCGCGGGCCATTTCTTACACGTACCATAGAGCGCAACCTGACAACTCACCTGTTGATCCATCAGGATGCAGTTCCCTGGGCCTGTCCCCCGTGCCTCTCGACGAAGGGCTTTCTCAATTCGGATCTTCGAAACGTCTCCCAACGTCCTGTCCCTCCGAAGAGAGTAGCAACCAACAGGCCACGGAGTTAGGGGGGTTCCCCATCTCGTCTCACCTCGGATCATTTGGGGAGAAACGTCGGCAGAGGTGAAGCGAGCGAGCACAGCTGGGGCCTCCCCCGCGTTCACCGAGGGCCCCCAGACATGGTCCAGGGTTTGTGCGCTCACCGGTCACCCGACGCCCACCTGGCGTTATCATTATCATTATCATTATCACGTTCATGTCGCTCGGCTGAATCCTTCTCGAAGCAGGTTCGAAGGATGCCGAAGGCTGGCCATGTTTCTTGTCAAGCATCCATCTCGCGCTCGCCCGTGGGGTTGCAAATTACGCAAATGCAGCCATCACGGCATTGAATTCTTCCTCGAGATTCACTACCAAGATAGATTCCAGGCATTACGTGGTAGCGCGGGAGACCTCTTAACCCCCCTCCCCACCACCCCTTTCACACAACCTTCCAATTTGGAATGCCATGTCCTCCTCCCTGGGAGCGGTGGCGCCTCGAGATCTAAACGTGGCCCGGCCTCTTGAGATCAGCACCCACTCGGGGATGCGAAACGTGGGCGAGAGGGTGTGCGTTTGGGGGACACTTTTATGATCCGTCATTCTCTGTCAGCCCCGGGGCTGACGATGGCGACATGATCTCTCTGATTTTTGTGTGTCCCCGTGAGCGTTTGCCCTGGGCCTCCCTTTGCTTCTGTCTGGTCTCCTTCGCCAATGGGCTCCTTGCCCGGAATTCTAGATGATCCATCGGCTCATGCGCCGCCATGGTTTGCACGTCGCAGCGCAGCTGCCTGACAAGCATCGCCAGCAAAAGAAATGCAGCATGCTTGCTATTTTCCTTTCTCTGCGCCGGCGCCTGTCCCCCGGTTTGCCAGCTTTTTGGTATCTGAGATGCGGCGCCACAAATCTGGCAGCCTGTGACGTCGGCGGCCGAAGTCTGCAGCGGGACACGCCGTCGGGTCCTACTGCACACTCTCCTGGCGAGTTGATACAAGCTGCACACCGCTCGCGTGGATGGATGGACGAAGGGTTGCATGACACCATAGTCGCCAATACCATGCAGTATAATACCATCTTCTCATTTCAGACGAGATCCGTCACGTTGGTGGCGATGCTGGCTAACAGCGCCGTTACCTTGACGTTGGTTCCCCGATTTCATAAATTAGACCAGACCGTATCCAAAACCGGCGGTTCTTGCTCAGTTCGTCCGGTGCGACCGGGCTGCTGGGGGGTGGGAGGCTAGGGATGGGGTTTGCTGCCGGAAACAGCAAGGCGACCACTTCCTGGGAAACCTTAAATGAGAGCGTGCATCACATGGCGAGCATGGATCTCAAAACGGGCAACAAAGTCGAAGGGCAAGGCCAGGCCCCGTCGTTCTCAATGCCGATGGGGGAAGCAGGTTCGGGTTTGTGCGACGGGGTCCTTGGACTGCAATTTCGCTCGCAAGTCTCGTTTGCGTGTCAAAACGGGGCCGGAGGAGGAGGGGGGGCCACCTCGACATTATTTTCGAACGGTTGATGGCTCACATGCTCGCCCACCCGGACATGAGCGCAGGGCCCCGAACAGCAGCCCGAAGCCGTCAACGATCAGTACGAAAATAAATAGCAAGCACGCAAAACCACGGGTCATGAGGCTGGTTTACGGTGGGTGCAAATCTACCAAGACTTTACAAGACGAGGTATCCTAAGTTCCACCGGGATCCTACTCCGAAACGTGGGCTGCGTTGCTCGCTCGTTGCTGGGAGGACTACCGGGTGAAGGCCCCCCCCCCCAGAGAACGTTGCATCGCCAACCTTTCTGTTTTGCCCATTTGCTTGCTTGCCCGGAGTTTCGCAGGCATCAGCAACACCCTCCCTCCATGCCCTTCATGTCACACCATGTGCTGTGTTACTACCGCGGTGAGGGGGCACCCAGGCCAGCGGTGACCGCCGTGCATGCGGTGGCCCTGCGGTGGCCGGAAAAGAACCACGGCAGTAATATCCCACGATTCGGAATCAGGACCCGCACCGGTGAGAGAGAATAGGATCCAATTCCCAACTCACCGGCCGGACGTGCAGGATGCGCAATGCTGTGCCCAGGTCGGTCGGTTCTCGACTTTTTCCCCACACCCGGATTCCCGGGTCACCAGACTGGGTATTTTTGTTGTTATTATTATTGCAGTACATACCCCGTGTAATAGGGACATTGGAGAGGGTCGGAGAGGGTCGCGGAAGGGGAGTCATCTCTGGGGCCGAGAATGTGGGTAAACAGGTGATTCTTCCCTTTTAGATTTCGGCAGGGGACGAGGGAAAGCAGGCTTAGATTTGGCCGAGTCGGCTCTCCCAAGGCAAGGTGTGCTTGGGCCCTGCTGTGGCCGGATACCATCAGCTTGGGTCAGGGACCAAGTCAGGCAGGACCAGGCTGACTACATGCTGGCTCTCGCAGCGCAGGGCATGGCGCATGCTCAGTCCGGGTCGGCCTGAAAATCCCAAGGACAAAAATCCGGTGGTACCGGTCTGTGAGGAGCCGGTGTTCGGATAAGCCAGGCCTGCACCAGGGGGAGAGAGAGACAGGACCCCCTCCGACCTCTCACAGCCCACCCGTTTCCCTTATCCTGCTCCTGCTTGTTCAAGAAGTTCGTCCGGGGCCCAGATTGTCGGGAATGGGCAAGGGCAGGGCATGCCATTTGGGAGGAACCCCACACCCGCCCACGCCCATTTTGCCGAGCTCGGCCTGGCGCCTCGGCCGGAAGGGAAGGAGCCCTCTCGCCTAAAAGCTTCGAGCAATTGGGCGTGGGCGCGGGTTGCGATACGGCCGATACTGTGGTTGAGCGTTGGTTGCCTGTCTATCACCTGGACTTTTATCTCGTGTTTTTTTTTTTTTTCTTGTAAGTTGTTTTGTATTTCTCCGCTCCCTTTGACCCAACCCTCGCAGATTTTACCGCCCGCATGAAATTAACGAGAAGTCGGTGTGCGCATGGTGTGCTCCGACGAAAAAGAAAAGAAGCGACCGTAACACCTGCGGTCCCACGGCAGCTGCACGCAAACATAGCAGCAACGGAAGGGGTCAGGTGGTTCTCCCAGGAATTTGGGGGGGAAGCACGAGGGGTGGGAGCACGAGCCCGGAATGTGCATCAATTCCAATGTGCATCGAAAGGTGCATCAAAATGGCCCCTGGGAGGCGGGTGCGATTGGCCAATGGCACCCCAATCTATACCACGAGGTTGAAATGGTTGCAGGTCGCCAATCTGGGGCAGACGTCTGGAGTCCGCCAACCCCACATGAGACCACCCTTGTCGCCTGGGACGAGCCGTGGCCACACCTCACCCTCAGGACAGGGCCTCTATTTTTTCCTCTTTCACACCGTCGGCAAGTAGCGACTGAGGTGAGTGAGTGGTCACGCCCTCGAGAGATGGAATGGTGGCTCGCCCAAGACTCGAGTGTGTATCAGATCGCTGACTGCATGCTGCGATGTGGTGTGCTGTGCCGTCCTGTGCTGGACGGAGGGAGGGACGCCATATTCCATATTTTGCAGTCGTGTATCGGACGCCCAGAGATCACAGCGGTTGATCTGTTGAGGAATAGATCGTCACTGACATTACATTACACCTGATGAGCCTTACCACGGGGGAAATAATACCTAGCCGTAATAGGTGCTTCCTCGACCGTGGAGGATCAACCACCGGTTCCCGACCAAGCACCTTCAGCTCCTCATCGAGCAAGCACATAGACCCCCGTCCCAATTTAACCCTCGTGCTCCCATTCCACCGCGTCGCCAACCCCGTCAAACACGCGCGAGACGTCATGTATGTCCGGCGTCCGCATAACAGGCTTGGCCGCCTCGCCTGGGGCCCGTGGCGTCCCCCCAGATGCGCTCCCTGCCCTGCGTCACGCAGACGTGCAGGTGAAATGCAGGGCGTGCAGGCACACTGTCACTCTGGCACTTGACTGTAGGAGGGGGAGCAGCGCCCACGGCACAGATGCACGCGCACCCTTGTCCCGCGGCGAGCAGCGTCCAGGCCCCGGGGCGCGTTGTGGTGTGGGGGACCCATGAGTGGTTCGCCGGGGAGGCTGGGGACGGCGTCCCCAAGCTCCCGCTGCTGACATGGCTGACACCCATCAACGCATCAACGCTCTTTTCTCGCTTTGCTTTGTTCGTTGTTATGTGTGTGGGTTGACTCTCCCCCTTTCCCTCAACCGCTGGCGATGTGATGGGCAGGGTGGCGGCGGCGTGCACGACATTGCCCTCAACAAACGGTGCCGCCCCCGAGGTAGCAAAGTAGGCACGCGGACGAGGTGGTGAGCTGTGCCCGTGGGTACAGGCCTCCGGTATTGATACATGCTTTCATCACGTATGCACCGTCTTCAACTGCGAGAGCTGGTTCAAAACGGAGGTTGAAAAGGGAAAGCCTTTGACGTACGAGGCTGCGACGTCAATAGCTGGGCGAGACTGGCGAGATGGCAACAGCTGGGAGAGATGGGATGAGATCGGTCACCAACGAACAGGTTTGGCGGCACATTTCCGCCGTGCCGCCGCCCGTCTTCGTCATCTTTTCTCACTACCATCTTATTTGAGTGCTGACAGCGTTGTGTGCGGGAGCGGGAGCGAGGGGCGCCTGGCGCGAAATCGCCTGAGCGGATGAGACATCCGTAAAATTGCCCTGCTTTGCCTTTGTCAGTCAGGCCCAAGCGGCGGGAGTTGCCTGATGGTTCATGCAGGTAACAGGCACGTCTGCGACGCACGGAATACTGGGGTCGAAATGCCAAAGTGCAGGCCTGGTATCACATCTCAAAGAGCGACAGAGACCGGACTCACAGTTTCAATATCCTTTTTGCTCTTGAGAATCTACCTGAGCCTCCAATCGGGGCTGTGGCCAATGCCTGCTGCGATCGGGCCTTGCTTGTTTGACATGGGCGCCATAGATCAGATGTCGGATTTCGCCCTAGGTACCGCCCACCAGGTCGCAATACAGCTTCACTGAACACGTCAAGTACCGCTGCAAGGAAGAAATAAAATTGGAAAGAAGAAGAAAAATTGACGGCCGTCACCATGCAACCGTCAAATGGTCTGTCTGATCGAGATTGACGAGCCCCGTCCCGCCTTCGTGTCAATGCAAAAGCATAGCGGACCACGTCACAGCCGTCAGAGCAGTCAAATCACGTTGACATATGCTCGACACAGGGCTGCAGGGCTGTCATGGCTGTCAGGGCTGGGCAGGTGTAGCCAGACCAGACGACAGCGATACGAAAGGAAGAGGATTATGATGAAACTGTCGGCTGTTGTGGTCGGCGACACTAATTTACCGGCAGGATGGGCATCGTCCTAAGTCGCCATCACGATTTCATCTGTCACTTGTTGGTGGCACGACGGCGAGCAGGCAGCCAGCAGGGCCTTCTCCTCCGCGCTGTCGCAGACACCCAAGATGATTTTTTCATCCGGGCCCCTTGCCTCTCAGTGCGCTCCTTCTAATTTTGGCGAGAGAGATGAGATCCAAGATCCTGCACCTCACTACCGGTGCGCCGCACCACTTTTGTAAACCCGGCTGCAAATGAGACATGACAAACGTTGTGCGCTCGAGGAAACCACCTCGCAAGCCCGCTAATGTCCGCAGGGAGACGAAGGTATCGCAGCCACCCAAGGTATGTAGTCTACATCACAGATGGTCCGCGCACAATGTCGCTCGCTGGCACGGACGACGACTGCCCGTTTTGCGAAAGCATCGGGCATGACAGTTGCCTTGTTCAGCTACAACCGTGTCTCTCGGTCCGGGCGCCCGAGTCTCGGCCGGCTCATGATCTAGGGAGGAGACATTCCGCTCCAGCAAAGCCATCAAGTCGTTCGGTCACCTGGGAATAAGCTAAGTGCGCAAATCCGGGGAGGATAAAAAACGGTAGCCTCGCCTGCGCCCAATCAGCCTAGGTCGATCACGAAGCCGTTGGTGCATACACGAACACAAATATTCAAGGTCTCCCTTTCTCTCCATCTTCCTCGTACCCAAGATAGCCCCGATCCCGTCCGATGTCAGATTATCTCCGGGCCTAGAACTCGAGCCCGGCGCATTCACCAGGGAGGGACCAAGCAGCTTGGTGTCGGATGGAATTCTTCCGTCGGCTATCAGGTGCAACGGTCCCCCTTCGCCAGCAGATGCCCCACTGTTTCCCGCCGACAGGATCTGGGAGTAGCTCTGGGCATCTAGCGGAATTTCCAAACTCGGTCGGCCAAAAAGGCTGGATTCACGAGACCATCCTACAATAGTACATACGAGAATCCCATTCTTTGGTACGCTTGCATTGTTGGGCTGGCATCTAGGGATTTCTTCTCGCTTTGCAGGCGCTCTGGCGGTGGGACATGTGAACCCTGATCGTCAATGCAACGGCAGCTGCAAATAGACCCCTCGGCGATTTCAACCGTTAGCCCGGGCCCGGCTCTCTGGGCACCAAGCGGCCATTGTCTGTCAGGTGATAGGTGAGGCTCAAAAATCCAGGCCCACGGTATCAAGCTGTAGATCCAGTGATCCACCAACGATGTATGCATCGGCGTGAGAGAACCCCATGAGCTTGGGCAGGAGCTCCTCAACTCTCGGAGTCTTGCCGATGCATTCTCTTGCAGCACCTGCATTTCTCGATCTATCACTTGGGCTCGCAAGCTTCGGCTCAAGATAGCTAAGCGACGGGCGCGCGTGGCGCGTGGCGCGTGGTGGAACAAAGTCTCCATTCTGTGCAGGCAGTCATCTCTCATTTTCTCGCGTTTCAGGGCCAATAGAGGCCTAACGCGCTGCCACGGATATGCAGCTGCTGTGGACTCGACCGCCGTCGCTTACAAGTACAGACAGATCTGGACTTCGTGACCCCCAAGCCCAGACCCTTCAGGGTCCCACATATTATCGTGGGCCCTCTCGCAAGTACCATCTCGCTGGCCGTTTGGACTAGGCAGGAGCGGGAAGGTACACACGGCAGAAAACGGTCTGTTCTTGAGCCTCAATTATGGGGCTGCCGACCAATGCTAATTACGCAACATCAAGTCCACGGAGCACTGCAAGGCCAGTGACTGACTGGAAGGCATGAATTACCTCCCTGCGCCTTGGGCCCTCTTTCATTCCGGAAACGGGGCCGGACTGGGGGAGTGACATCAACAAACTGGACCTTGAACGGCCCTCTCAACGAACCAAGGACCGGCGAGATGGCGAATTGTGGTTGGGAAGGTACGGGGTACGGGATACAAGCGGTCTTGTCACTCGACCTTTTCATCGGGCCGTCAGTTGGTGCAAGGTCACTTGGATCTGGATCTCTGCAGATTCGTTCTTACCCCTCGAAAAGCGGGCATCGTAATTTTTTCTTCTCCCTGCCTCGCCCACCCTCGCCCGTTCGTCCCAGCTTGTCCAAGCTTTGTGAAGCAGCCCCTGGGCGGAGTATCTCAGAAAAACCCCTCCCCCCACCCAGAGAGAAGCGCCGAGGTAGTAGCGCAAACTTTCATGCGAAAGATCCCAGGCCGCAAAGAAATGAGGGGACCGGTTTGTCGCAGCGGCCTGCAGGATCACTGCAAACCACTGGCCCGGAATAGCCAGAAATGCCTTTTTAAAGGCTTGCGTCCTTCCGAATTGGTGCTCCGCATGATCGGCCCACGAGGGCGCCTGCAGCTGTCAACGTCCAGCCCTGGGAGGACCCTGAATTTTGTTCGAGCTCTAGGCTGAATTGGCCAAGCACACAACCGGGGCTGACACCTGCTAGAACGGTGCAAGCTGCACGCGCACCGGCGTAAAGCCCGGGCCGCCTGCACCACAACCCTGCAGGACGGCGGAGGGTATTCCGTCGGTCAGTCAGTCAGTCAGTCAGGCTCTGGCGTGCTGCCTTTCACGTGCGACGTGGCGGCTATTCTGCGAGGCGGGGCGAGCCAGGCGACAAAGACAGCCGAGCCAGGCAGCTGTTCGCCTGTGGAAGGCAGCGCCACTAGACGAGCTCACGAGATCTGTGGGGCTCTCTGATGGGCCGCGACGGTTCTTTGCCCTGACCTCCAGCTGGCGCCTCCTCCAGCGTGTGGGAGATGCACGCATGCATGCAGGCTGGCAGGTGGTAGGCCGAGGCCAGTGCGACACGGGGATGAGGATACATGAACAAGGCTGTGTTTCTGTTCTGTCCAGCTGACCATCTGTTCCCCTCTCAGATGGGCGGCCTCGACCTCGAGGATTATTCTTATTATTATTACTCCGTTTCGAGGGCTCGATCCGCAGGCCCAAACCGCAGGCCCGCCTCGAGGGTTCCAGGGTCTCAAAGTGCTGTGGACTTTGACATTATGGTCGTGTTGTCGCCACCATGAGCAGTCCGGCATTGGGGCCAGCTAGAGAAGCGCCGCCCCGCATTTCTGGAGTCATCAACAAATGTTCACGAGACAACAATCAGCGATCAGGGCCCCTCGCCCGCCAACACGGCGGAGGCTGAACCTTTACCCCACAATTACTCCCCCTTCCAGTGCCGCGTCTATCTCCCCGGTGGGGCGGGGGCTGTCAAGTGATGATCGGTTGACCACGAAGGTGATCAGGAAACGCCCCCAAGCCTGAAACTCAGGGCGCGAACTCTATCTCATGCTAGAGGCTGCTATTAGATGCCGAGATCATGTTGCCAGATGCCGCGGCCGCGATTAGTCCCTCAAAGGACGGGTTGAACACGCGCTGGACCATGGGATTAAAGGGATGCGCCGTCTTGGGAGGTGAGGGGAGGCCTAGATCGCGGGGTTCTGGGATAGATCCTCGCGACATTTCCCGACGTCCAGGTCCTGTTGTTTTACGTCTAAGTTACCGACAACCCCAAACTTTCCTCAAGCTGCCGTCTCGGTCCTCGGCACAAAGCTGGGCAGAAGGCTGCACCCTTCTTTGGATCATCCATTTATACGCGCGCGTGTCTGCGTGTCTGCGCATGTGTCGTGTGCCGAGGACGTGCACGAGCCGAGTTGCCGGGCTTCGGCCGCCCGCAAGAAGGGCAAAATGGGAGGTTCAGATGACCGGAAAAGGGGCTGAACCTGATCTCCGCCGTCGAAGAGACTCAATCGCGATCAGTGGCCTCGTCAACAGCCGGCAAGCTTTCCCAACGCCTGGGCGCCTTCCCACGTAGTTACTGGAGGTAGCTCGCTCAGGCAGCCAGCTAAGCAAGACAGCTACTAGCCTAGGCATTCCGCTGAATCCTCGGAGTGGTTTCGGCAGGGCACACGGGGAGACAGGAGACAGCACAGGCGCTCGGGAAATTGCCGAGCTCGCAAGAGGTAGGCTACAGTTAGGCACGAGCCTTGGGTTGACGATGCCGACGAACCTTCGTGATGACCGCGTCCGCTTGCGAACCAGGCACCTCGTGATCAATGGGACGGGCTGGGTCTTCAGCAGGCCCGAAACGGTGGTGAGATGGCAGCTGACGATGGGGCCTCGAGCGGTCTCCGTTACGAGATGCAGCTGTTTGTCCAGAATTCGAATTTACCTCTAAAATTATCATGATTATTCTCCTGCATCCATCTCCTGCACATGCTTTGGGGGCCGGGGGGAATAATGCAACTGAAAGCAGGTGAAACCGGGGGGCGCGCCCCATCCCTCGGTACCTATGCCGCACGCGAGCAGGAACCCTCGGTTTGGCACATGCAGCCCAGCTTCCTCTGTGGTTCCCAAAACAGCTTCACTTGTGAGACCCCCACCCCGGCCGCGGTGCCGCGTCAAAACAAATCCCCCATCACGACCCCCGGGTTGACCACCCTCAACTCGGGGTTGTTTCTGTGGTGTATTGCATCTGCCATTGTCTTACCTGTCTGGCCTGCCGTCGCATTTTGGGAAAGTTGCAAATGGGTGTGAGGAACTGGTTACTTGTCCTTGATACATCTGAGCACGCAGGCAGGGAGAGGGAGGATACAAGCGAGCAATCGGAGGCTGAGCAACACACCACGATGTAAGCCGATTTTCAGCTCATTTACATTGAGGTAGGCTTGATGTTGTCACGATCGACCCGGCCCTACGTCTCGTAGCACATCGTCATCTCTGAGCTGCGGTCTCGTTGGACAATACCCAGGCACGCATCACTGCCGACCGAATAGCCGCGGGCGCAATTCTGATCATGGGATCCGGGATGGGGAGGCAAAAGGGAAACAACAACAAGGATGTCTATTCTCAGCCCTGTGGCTAACGTTGTGTTGCAATGTGTCTGGCTCCTGTTTGCCTTCCCTCCCCTCCCCCCAAAAAACCCAAAACCAGGGGCACACTCCATCCAGCCCAGCACTCGGCACCCAGCGAACAGGATAACGCCATTCCCAGATGAGTCCGCCCCCAAAATAGGCCGCTCGTCATCCTGATCCCACCTACGCACACCACCCCCGCGATCCTTCCACTCGGGGACGGCTCGCTGTGCCACCCCCCGTGGCACGGGCGGTGGGATTTTTGTACGGCAGTTATTTGGGGGTGGGGTGGGATGGCGCTTATCTTACCTGCCTACCTACCAACCTGCAGTCCTGCTGCACAGCAAGCAGCAAGCAGCAAGCAGCAAGGAGCAGCAGCAGCAGCAGCACCACCACCACCGGCACAGCAGGAAATCCTGTTGCTGTCTGCCCCAGCCCGGCCGCCCGGCCGCCCGGCCGCCCGTTTCTATGTCTCCTGACAGGCCGCCGATGATGTCGTAGCTGTATACTGCGCATGCAACGGTAAGCCCGGAGATGCACTGCTGCAGCCCAGCAGCCTGGGAACGAATGCCCGTTCGTTGGCCGGCACCCCCGCGTGCCCGGTCTGACTCTTACATACATACATAACATCCACCCACCTGGCTCGTGGTTGGAATTAGGTTTTTTGGCGGGCGTCAAATAGGCGCGTCCAAGGGGGGGAAGCAAGGTTCCGCGCTGGGAGGAGTCATCTCCCGCGACCCGCGACCCAGAGTCTGTGGTCAACTGGCACTGTTGCAGCAGTTGCCTTGCCTTGCCTCTCACACGCGGTCATACGAGGCCCTGTCCGGATGGGAGTCTGGTCTGACTGGGTGAGTGAGTGACTGGCTGGCTGGCTGGGCGGTCGATGCCGACGTTGGATGATGGGCCAGCGATCACGCACGCTGCAGCGCATGCAGCAGCGAGTGGGTCACGATAATGGGAGAGACAGACACACACTGAAGCTTTACCGCCTGTTGTTGGATTCCTGGGCTATCAATCGACCCCGTCGTAGGGCGTAGTTTGGCCAGGTCCCCGCCTTTTCGTGAGGGTGTCGAGGACCAAGACAATCTTGTTGCCAACTCATCTTATCTGCCTGCGTTGGCCTGGGACGTGTTCGATGGGCTGATCTCACCCCAGTTCAGGAGGCAGATGATGGGTAGTGCTCACTGTCATGTTCATTCTTCAGCCCCAGCTGGTTCAAAGGTCCGAGCCGAGCCTAAGGTCTTAGACTCGAGGTTGGGTAAGCATGCTTTTTTGCCTTGAGACTCAGTCAGCGTGGGTCAGTCGGCCAGGTATCAGACTGCACGATGGGGCAGGAGACCACGACCTCAGGAGACCCGAGACACGACAGACAGACAGACACACAAACTGGGTGGTTGCTGGTTCTGGCCGCTTATCGCACAGAGAGAGAGAGAGGTCACGAGTCCAACCCGCTGAGAGGCCCCTCGAGTCCCGGCCCCGAGAGATCCAGATGCCCTCGGATTGGCCTGCCATGGCCGGCTGAGGAGGGTCATCTGTCGCCTCCTCTGCTGAGCTGGCAAGCTGTGTCTCTTCCCACAGGGCTGGGCCTAACCCCGCGGGCGGGCGCGCATGCTGCCTGGGGACCCGGTACGGTATGTGTGCCTTACAGGATGGGGGGGAGGTCGTGCCGCCCTGCGGGGGTTGACCTGATGATACCTCAGCGCCGGGAACAGCGCAGCTATCGGCAAAAGGACCAGATGACTAAAAGTTCCTGCCCACCCATCAAATCATCTGTCTTGTCCTGTCCTGCGCTGTACTGGCTGGGCTGCGCAAGGCACCTGGGTCAGATTACTGGGCGGTGGCACGTCCAAGACGGAATTAAGGGTCTCATCGAAATCTGACCCACTGCTCTCTGCATCGGCCGCCTACTCACTGCGACGCTCGTCTTACTGTTGCGCGTCACCCCCACGGGGGATGAAGGACAGTAGGAACCATGATCCTACTCTGCGCTGACGGTCAGAAAAACCTCGCCACCACCACCAGCACCAACCACGGCCGACCACCACTCCTTATGCCCCCTCTGCGCTCGTGGGGATGATAATTCCTCATCTCCGGCGCGCAGTGTGGGCCTTGCCAGATATGTGGCTTACTGGTCGACGCTTGTTCACCGGTCTGCAACGGCTGCCACATCAGATGACCTGTAGAGCTGGAGGATCATAGACGACATGCGTAGGAAAGGGCGGCAATGTCACTGATATGCCAATTCTCCATTACCAAATCGCCCTCCCCAGGAGGGTCAGAGAAGGGGGCATAATCTTTCTCCCGCGCGTAAGAGGAGCTGCCTTACACTTTTTTCTTCCCCCTGCGCGTTTGCCCCCGGAGGATGCCTGATGTCGACATGACTGCATCAATGGGAGGGGGCATTGCCCACTACGAGACGGGCGAAACGATGATCACTGTCCTCAGGCAGCAGACGGTAAGACTTTCCCTCCTTCCTGTCTTGGGAAGGGCTGTCCGATTCCTTTTTTTGAACGGCAATACGGGCGCTGGGACTATGGGGAAGAGAGACATCTTGACTCAGAAGGGAGGCTGACCCAAAAACACAGAGGATATGTCCCAGGTACCGCGTCCAAGTCACGGTACTTTGCTCTGGGTCGAGGTTCCTGGAACTTGCCGTGGGTGGAGATCGTCGAGAGGCCAGCGCCTTTGAGAACACCCACTGCGCTACCTAGCTCACTCAAGGCTCTGGAGTTGCACGAAGGTTTGGCCTGCCATTACACATGGCACCTTTGCGGGAAGGACGGAGCGGCGGTGTGAATAATGAGGCACTCAGGTGCTCCCTCCTGCTGTGACCATGAAGCTTCCCAGAGCCCCCGGGCGATATTGCCAATGGGGGGCGGGTTCGGCCGCATTCCGCCCCGCGGATAGGCGCAGCTCATGTCAACCTTATGGGCGTGCACGGATGGGGCCCCGGGACCTGGCAAGCATAAGCCACAAGGGGCGTATAATCGCCATCTCCGGCTTACATTGGAGGAGAGCCCGGCGACGACAAGCCCCGTGCTTCAGGATAGAGACCAAGATGGAGTTCATCCGTCAATCACTTGCGCCAGCACCGACGGGCGGGTCTCTCTCTCTCTCTCTCTTTCCTCGTCTACGCACCAGGCCGAACCGAACTGGAACTGACGACGATGAGATTTTCTCCGCGGTCGACCACAGCGGGACTGGGCGTCTCGCGTCGAACGGCCCAGCTTCGTGCCGTCCGTCCCGTCCTCAGCACGTATCCATCCATACGCGCGACTGCTGGGCGAAGTTAGACTCGAGCCGGGAGCAGCAGCAGCAGCAGCAGCAGCAGCAGCAGATGGGAGGAGGAACGCCAACGGCCGTTTCCAGCCATGCAGTCCGCCAGATGACCTGCACACAAGCGCTGTTCATCCGAAAGCTGACAGGCAGCTTCCTCCCCCAGTCCAGCTGCCATGCCGGTCCCAGGATGTTTGGTGTTGCGCCCTTCTAGAAGGATTTCACGACCTGTCCAGCTGATCTCGACGAGGGCCGGAGATCCCAGCTTGTGCGACCACTGTCCATTCGAACTGTTTCAGGGAAAAAAGTGGTTGATGGGAGCGGAGCTATTTTATCATTTGCTTTTTTTTTTTTTTTTTTTTTTTTTATTTTTTTGCTGCGCTCGATTTTATCGGTGCTTGCTCACTTGGTCCCGACCCTGCGCCCGTATCCTTTTTCCCCCCCTTCTTGTGCGACGACCCTATGCCCGGCATCGTCAATGATCGACCGCCCCGACCGTCTCGTCCCCCTCCACCTGCAACGTTGAACATGGCGGCGCCGTGACAAAAGGCGCCTGGGAAGAAGAAAAAACATGAATCCCACGTCGCAAGATCAGCCTCGGATGGATATCCGTTTTCCTTTTGAGCCCAGCCTCGAAAGCATGCAGGCTCTAACCTTGATTGGTATTCCCCTGCGGCAGCAAGCGGCCACCGGGCGGCGTGCGGCGTTCGGCGTTGCTGGAGTGTGTACTGCAACTGATCTGGGCAGACCACACCGCTCCTGGACCCTGCTGGTGAGGGAGGTCTGTCTCTCCCCCGCCCCTCGTCTTGTGTATCTCCGCAATCTTGCGAGTGGCGGCCGTGGGCTGGGCGGGAGGTACGCTGACACATCATCCAAAGTCCATTACTTTGTGCGACGGCGCACGACAGATGGGGAAGATTGAGGCCGGTGGGCGGCGGCAGCGGCGATGACGATGGAGATTTTGGAGGGGGGCAAATGGGAGGGGGGAGGGGGGATTGGGGGTGAGGTCAAAACGAGCGTCCTTTGGGGGAGGGAAGGAGGGGTGCATATGGAATATCGGATGCCCGATTTCCCGGATTTTGGGCCGCAGTCCCCTTAGCAAGGCAGCACAGCAGCAAGTTAGCAGCAGCAGCAGCAGCAGCCAGGCAGGCAGGGTTGCGCTGGTGGGACTCGATCAATGATGTTCGTCCGCCCGGTGCTTTGTCTATGATGCGGTGAAGCTGTGTGGGAATGACAGGCTGACAGATCAAGGGTCCTGCGCAGGACCGGACAGGTCGTGATATCCTGCAACTGCATTCAGCCGTCTTGGTCCGGGGGTTTGTACCTGTGTCCACGATGTGTGTGGTCTTGGGATGCCGCGTCCTGCTGGTCATCACCCTACTGCTGCTGCTACTGCTCCTCGTCGGCCACAGGGCTGCCTCGTATCTTGCCGTTTCGAGATGGCCTAGGGCTGCACGATATCTGTGTCCGCCGGGCTTCGTCCCCAGGCCAGAACAGGGCTTTCGCAGTGTCGTATTGTTCCCGTCGCTCTGGCTCTCCCGACTATCTGGTTATCACATGGGACAGGGAAGCGGATGCAACAGGGGGGACGCGTATGCTGTGTATAGGGATCATCGATCAGCAGCCTGTCGCTCTTGATCTTTGGTCCCGCCGTATCTTACTCAATCGGAGGGACAATACATGTCACGGCCGAAATTAGCATCCTCGTCAGCAACAGGCGCTGACGAGCTTGTCATTCGCGGGCCCGGTCATGAGGTCGTCTCCCCCATCGTGTTCGAGACTCCACACACGCCGGTCTGAGCCCAAGAAGAGGCGGGAGAGGCAACCCGTAGAGGGAAACGGCGCCGAGACAAGGACGAGGTGGTTGAGAACGCCCCTCCTCAAGGAACCAGCGGCTGCGGCTCAACTTGCCCATTCTTCCCACGGCGGGCGGCTGGCTGGCTGGCCTTGACCTGCTCTCACCGTGAAGGTGGCTTTTTTTCCACCCTGACTTTGCCTCTTCGGTCCCCGGGGTTACAGAGCGGCCGTTCGTGGCCCTGGGCCGGGGCTCGTCCACTTGACCTGCGCCATCGTGACACGAGCAGGGTTACCAAGGAAAAAGCAAACCAATGCCACGAGCCTGCAAGCGACCCTGGGGAGACACGGCATCGAGCGAAGAAACCCCCTGTGGCCCTGGCACCCCTCCCCTCTGCGAAACCACACCCGGCCACTTGTTCAATTGATTAACAATACCCAAAAGAGACACGGAATCTGTGGTATCACAACCCTATTTTTTGAGCACCAGCCTTATGTCGGGGCTATTGGAAATGGGATGACCGCATGAAGGAAGGGTGGGCCGGAAGGCCTGATGTGACTGTGAAGTGCACGGCCATCAATAATCCACCAGAGTGCAAGTCATCGTCTGGTCCGAAGGAAAAATCCGCGCCTGTGTCGGGCGTAGATTGGTAATGTGTCCTTGGTCCCCAGCAGCGCCGCGATGGCTTTCTGCCGGTACCTGTGGCGACAACTAAACAAGCAACTGCTACAAAGCAAAAGCAACACAGAGGAGTTCCAAATACAGAACTGATACGTGCCTATTTACCGGGGAGGAAAAGGTTGGGGGAAGGGGGGGGGGGGGATTCGCTGGTCGATTGCAAAACGGAATCAGCGAGCGGAATGGAGGAATCGTGCACAAACTCTTTTCACGTGCGCCATCAAAGACACCTCCGATGTTCCCCGCAGCTGTGTAATTATCCATCCCTGAGACTAAGATTCCTGTTCACGCCGGCCTGGCCAGTGAGACCCGGTGCGACACGGCATTTATTAAGCTTGTTGGGTACCTCGCGTTTTCTGTGTCTCGGCGGAATTTCTGCTTTCCCCCCCATTCGGGATCGCCCAGTGCCGACGGTTTCGAAAACGGATGTGGCGGCAAGTCAGCATGGATAGATATTCAGGGGAAAAGGAGATCAATTACAGACTGACTATTCGTGGCTTTGCCTGAAGTTGGGAAACACCATGAGGCCTGAACCCAATAGAACTTGAAGAGCCCGCGCCTGGTGGCGATGGCTTGAAGTCGAAACCCACATGGTGTGATGAGACCACTGGTCTCGGACATCCGCCTTCCTTGATGGCTCTGGCGCCGTCTCTCGTGTCTCTGTCTCTGTCCATGTTGAAGCTGAAGATAGCCGTGGGAGGGGCAATAAAACACGCGGGACTGAGACCAGGTCGGACCAGCTGATCTGCTGACTCGAATCCTCGTGCATGAGGCTCTGGGACATCTGCTGCGCTCACTCAGGGTGGCTCGAGGCGCATCCCATGTCTTGGTCATGGTGCGCCAGAGACTAGTATCGCAGCTGGGCGCGAGCTAGAGCGGTATCGACAAAGTTCAGCTATGTTTTCATATCCACTGAAACAGCAAGATGAAATATTTGTTTCGAGGCAGGCTGGTAATATTCGACAAGCTAGAGGGTGGCCGAGAACTGTGGGACACGCAGCTTCATGCTCATCAATACCAAGCCTCCAATCACGGAGAAACACTTTCTGAAAGGCATCATCTTTAGGAGTGAGACCTATTGATGATGCGCTTCTTGACCTTCCTGGAAAAGCTGGTTCAAAAGTATCCAGTGCATGTTGAATGCTAAGGTAGACCAATAGCAGACAACATATAGCAGCTGAAGTCCGAAATCGTTACACAGTTGATCAACATATCGCTTACATCATCTTAGCTGTAGTTTGGCATACAATCAATAGCAATCTAACTGACCTCTAAAAAACTGAAGTGAATTGGAGAACGGCATTTATCCAGGCAAGCGGTTGGAAAGCACGTTCAAGCACAGCAGACTATGTCAACAACGTCTATTCAATACACTCAAGACCTGTTACTTATTCAGTCTCCATGAACAATTGATCCACGGGACAAAGACCTCAACACCACGTCGCGAGAAGAGGGATGATATAATTCTCAGCTTTGATTCAAAGTAGTCTCTTTGTCGGGTCTGAAATTCAAGTCATGTTGAGGAACGACAGGAAGTAGAATTTAAATTCAGAGTCAACCTGGTTTTCGAGTCACAATTATCCAGACACTTTCAAACCTGTAATTTCGCCCTCTACAGCACTACAGCGAAGAGATATTGTTCCAGTGAACTAGCTCATGCTCCAGTCATGCTTGATGGTGTCCGCTGCCTTCTCAGCAAATGCGTAGACAGTAGCCTGCAGATTTGCCGTACTGATGAGCGGGATCGCACTCGCATCTACTACACGCAGATTCTCGACACCATGCACTCTCAGCCGCGTGTCCACGACCCCGGCCTTCTCCTTCGGCAGCATGGCACATGTGCCTCCGAGGTGCCACATCGATATGGCGTTGCTCCGGGCGTATGCCTTCGCGGCCTCCAAGTCCGTGAAGTCCGCGGCCGGGTCGCGGTGTGCCAGAGGCTTTTCCAGCAAGTTGTTGAAGGGCGAGAGGCCCGCAATCTTCTTGGTTTGTAATACATGATGGGCCATGATCTCGACGTCAATGGGGTGAGAAAGGTAGTTGGGGTCGATGGTAGGTTGGGCAGAAGGATCCTTGGAACAGATATGAACACTGCCGCGGGACAGAGGTTGGGAGAGAAATGATCCGATAGTGATGAATTTGCCCGGAAGCGCAGCAGGTGGCTTCTCAGCGTTGGCGTCGAGTGGGATCGTTATCTGCGCCAGTGCCGAGACGTAGGCTCCGGATGGCTCCTTTTGGTCGAGTAAAGTGCTTTCTGCGATATCATAGAATGCTCTGGTCCGGGAATCCTCCGCACTGCTGCCAGAAGCGGGACGGTTCTGGTCGAGCAGCACCTTCAGTGCCTTCTGGCCCTCAGCTGACGCGTGCTCCAGGACGGGCAGATACCCGTAGCTGTAGACTCCGCACGACGACAGCGGGCCGCTTTGCGTTGCCCCATACTCCTGCATTGCCTGCTGCAGGGCTTCTGGCTCTTGTCTGATCAGAGAGTCGAGCGTGGCAACGCCGTCCACGGCCTTGAAGCCCGTGTAAACAATAGCGTGGTCATGAAGGTTCTCGCCAACTCCCGGAAGGTGCTCGACGACATCGATCCCGTGCTTGTTGAGCAGCTCTTTATTGCCAATACCGGAGAGCTCCAGTATCTTGGGCGACTGGAAGACACCAGCTGCGATGATGACCTCCTTGTTGGCTAGAACCGTTTTGGACTCGCCGTCCTGAGTGAATAGGACTCCTGTAGCCTTTGTAGCGCAGGCCACCGTCTTTCTGGGTGAGGATCTTCTCCACGTGAGCATTGGTCAGAACTTCAAGGTTGTCTCGCCCCTTGACAGGATTGTAGTAGGCGTTTGCGGAATAGCTTCTTTCCTTCTTCACGGGGTCAATGGTGGCGAGGCAGCTGAAAGACCCAACTGACCCATTGAGGAATGGGTCTTGCTGCATGAAGTGACCGTTCTTTTTGAAGCTGTCCGCCCAGGCCTCACGGACAGGATGGGAGATATAGCCAGAGAAGCTGGTCTGGATTGGTCCCTTAGCTGCATCGTTCCTACGAGCCCAGCCCTCGATTCCCAGGGCCTTTTCAGTCGCTTTGTCGACCGTGGGGCTGGTGTAGGCCTTGGAAAGATGCGTCCTGAGATCGTTCCAGTTCCAGCCTTCGTTGCCCAGCGTCTCCCAGGGGTCAATAACTCCTTTCGAGGGAGGGACAAACACGTGCGCATTCAAAGCGCTCGAACCGCCAAGAGCTTTACCCTGGTGCAGATGGATCACTCGCCCGTTGAGGTTTCCCTGGTGTTCTGGTCAATCTGAAGCTCATCCAACTTGACACAAGGAGACATACCTGTGGCTCACTGCGGAAGCCCCAATCAGCCTCCGATCCAAGCAACGCCGAGTAGAAAATCGGCGTCTTCACCCGTGGATCTTCAGTATGATCCGATCCTGCCTCCAGGACGAGAACTCGGTTGTCAGGGGACTCGGAAAGGCGCGTGGCGACGATTAGGCCAGCAGTGCCACCTCCAACGACCACAAAGTCATATTCTGACGCCATTGTTGCAAGTGTTACAGATTTGAAAGAGTTATCCAACTTTGAAGCCGATGGTATTGATGGTTGAAAGAGGGGCAGATTTCCGTACTGCTGTTGTAGCCTGGGCCTTCAGATCACGCACCAAATATAGTAGGTTTGTCGTGTGGCTTCATTGTTGATTGGATCCCTGAGTGGGTATGATAGGAAGCACTCCTCACGCGTGCATTGACTACTGTATAGTAATGTAACAGTTCCAGTGCATACTTTACCAGCGGACTGGGTGGGCGGCATCGCGAAGCCTCGCCATCTGACTATTTCGGCTGTTGGTTGATTGCGCCGCAGACCAGCGAGAAATGCTACGTCATGCCGAGATGCAGCCAGCGCTTGTGTCCGGCTTATCAGTAGTTGAAGATTTGCTTGTTGGTGATTGAATATCTTCGCACTGCAGCCAACACATAATTATGTGGACTCGAATGCGGCACAGCCCCCCTTGTTGTTGTACCCGAACGTCTGCATGTTGCGGGATGGCGCACCAAAGTGATAGAGTTTAACTACCCAATGCAACACCAAAGAGAAGGATATTGAATTGCAAGATTACAACGGTTTCATTCACAATAGCTCAGCACCCCGGGAACTCGGAGAAAAGCTAGCGGTGGCGTTGATACTTCGAGCAGCTCTTCAGGAGTCAGGGATCTCTCGCACCAAAAAGACACCTCTTGCCTTCACCAGCATGCTGACATCTTTGCCGGCAATGATCCTCTGGTCCTGGAAGAAACCTCTTCCTTTTCAACCTTCACAATCAGCGGCACGCCTCTGCCGTCGCCGAAGATGCTGTCAACAAACCGTGGCAACCTAATTCCGCGGGTCGGCTGAGCTCACAGCAGGCCACACGAGCGATGTATTGCATATCCACGTTACGTTTGAAATTTGCTTGCAAATCGGCGGTCTTCTGCCTTGTGTCGTCGAAGCCTTCTCTGTGTCTGGTATAACGAGCGGGGTGGGGCCACGGATCTTTATCTCAAGGACATCCTGAATGGGCTAGATTTCGCATGTTTCTTTGCCAGGCCACTTGAGGTTGCCACGGGGAATTGCATGCCCTGGAGCAACCAGAAAACAGTCCAATGGCCCTCCTTACTCACGGGAGCAATTACTACCACGGCCCACCCTCAAGACTTCCGGGACATGGATGGTGATAGAGCTTCGGGTCGAATGACGATACCAATTGTCCGGAGTTGCAGGATGGACTTGTCTCACCTGTTGATTCTGAGGAGTGGGCTTAGCTGGGTGGAACATCGGTTCCTTGTCCTGGCTTGCGGGAGCGGTGATGGTAGGCAACTATTTTCGTGACAGAACTAGGGCGGGTGATGGTCTGTCATGAAAGTTGTTCCATGCTTGGTTGCTCGGTCTTTTCGTGCTGCCAATGCACACCAATAATATCTTAAGCGTATATCAAAGCCAGTGGACCAACTGCATATAAAATAGGCACTACTGGAACTAGTGTGCAGCTTCTCCGGGTTTTATTTTGGGGGCGCCTTCTTCAAATGCAACCTCCAGATTTGCAGATCTCCAAGATCCAGAGCCCTGGACCTAGGATCTGGTGAGGGAAAGTTGGGGCTAGCATACTAGTAAGAACGAGTATGGCACTGCTGCGCCTCAGAAGACATTGATGTTGCAATGAGAATTGGACACCTTTTCCATTGGACGAGCCAAAAAGGTAGGAAAGCCCACGCCTGATCTCTGGAGGCACGTTGGCAAGGTGTGGAAGACCGGGAGTATTCACCTGAACTAGACTTAGGATACCTAGCAGAGTATGCACAGGTCTCCGCTCTTCAACTTTCAAATCTGGCCTCATCTCTTTGAGCAGGATCTAGTCATTGGTCTTCCAATCCTCTTCAGAAGTTGATTTCACTCATCCGAGCGAAGATGACGCTGCCGTTGGGGGCGACCCAGGTGGCTGTGGTCTCTTTCATCACTATGGCCTTCGCGATTGTTGCCACTCTCCTCCGAATTTGGTCGAGGCGACTACAAAATCTGCCCCTCGGCTTCCACGATTACATGGCGATCGTGGCCATGTTTTTAGCAGCTGCGACTGTTTCGGTCTTTCTCACCGGTAAGCTCGAATTTATTAAGTATCTATTGATCAAGAAGAAAGGGACTGACTTGAGCAACAAGCCGGATTTGCCGCGGGACTTGGCATGCATCTCACGGATATCATGGAGACCGATCCTTCCAAGTTCGCACTACACATGAAGGCAAGATATATCACTCTTGATATGCCTGAAGCTCCAGCTAAATGCTCTGTTGCAGCTTTTTGTCCCAGCCCAACTCCTCTGGGCAGCGGCAAATTCCTGTGTCAAGTTGTCGATTTTGTCAATCTGTACTGCACTCTTCCCCGGCAGACAATTCTGTCGAATCTGCCAAGGCACCATGGTAGTGACCACTGCTTACTTCATAATGGTATTTCTGGAAGCATTCCTGCTTTGCAAACCAGTGCAACTCAACTGGGATAAGTCAATAAAGGGAAGTTGTGAGGGAGAGAACCCCGCCTACCTGGTGTCTGGAATTACCAACCTTATCATTGACATGTTCATCGTGGCATTGCCAATGCCTCAGGTGTTCACACTGCATATGTCATTGTCCAAGCGTATTCAGTATTTCGGCCATGTTCAGCCTCGGTGTAATGTAAGCTGCCGTTGTAAACCGTGGACATTCAGACATAACAACGTATTGACCTTCTCCACAGAATCTGCGTCCTGTCGCTCTTGAGAGTTCACTGGCTGGCCGCCTGGGACTTGACAGACTTGACCTATACCGAAACACCAGGAGCCATTTATTCAGTCCTGGAACCGACACTGGGGGTTGTGAACGCCTGCCTACCAACCATCAAGCCAGCCATCAATAAAATTCTGGGGTTAGACGCGCTGAATTGCAGTCAACGCGACCCTGAAAGCAATAAATCCTCCAACAAGACCCCTGTGCAGAATAGAAGATGGACATATGGCGCATCGGTCAAGGGCAACGGCAAGCGTGACTTTGAAAGACTCGAGGACGAGTTTCCTCTGACCAGCTTAAGGACCGAGGGACATCCGGGCACCAAATTTTGCAACGGAAACAACCTTACTGTCAACGAAGAATTCAGACTTCACACCTCCACCCAGGGAATGGTCTGGGTTGAAACAAGAGTCCCCATCTCTCAAACACGGCATGAGTTAGGAGGTTGAGAGAAACATCGAACGATGATGTCCCTGAAGGTCGTATTATTCTTGTGTTTATTGGTATCTATATACGAAAACTTCAATCCGAAGCCACAGCTCTAAAGCCTCTATCATCTTGTCTACATATGCAAGTGTCTACTGTCTAGTACCGTACCCATCGCATGCCCTTTCACTTGTTTCTCAACATTCCATCAAAAGTGACACTGTTATCACCAGCCTCGAACGCTGCCACGACCCATCAGCCCATTAGGCTGTACATCTTCACTCAAACATCAGCAATCGTTCCTCTCAAGCTGCCACGAAGCTTTAGACCGCAACATCTGGCTTGCCGAACTCCTTGATGTACTCATCGGAGTAGGGATAGTCATTGTATCCAGGCTCGCGCTTGTCACCCCTCTTCTGGTGGATGTAGAAAGTGTTGCGGTCGTAGTCGGCCAGAGGCAGACCCTTCTTCACCCTGTAAACCAAGTCCGGCGTGGAGATGAAGCGGCGGCCAAAGACGATAACCAGCTGGTCGGCGTAGTCCTTGTACTTCTTCTCAACGGCATCGATAGCGAGCTCCGTGGTGTACGCACCAGCGACGAGGATGGGCCTCTCGCGGCCCCAGGCCTGCAGGGCAAAGTCGAGGCTCTCGTTCGCGGGGTCCTTGTCGATGACCCCGTGGACCCTCGGCTCGACCAGGTGCAGGAAGGCCAGCTGCAGCTCCGTCAGGCGGTCGATGAGGTAGCTGAACTGGGGGATGGGGTCCTTCATGCGCATGCCCTGGAAGGTGGACCAGGGGGACAGGCGGATGCCGACCTTGTCCTTGCCGACGGCCGCGACCACGGCCTTGGCGACCTCGACGGCGAAGCGCGCGCGCTTCTCGATGCTCCCGCCCCAGGCGTCCTCGCGCTTGTTCGATGTGTCCTGGGTGAACTGGTCGATGAGGTACCCGTGGGCTGCGTGGATCTCGACACCGTCGAATCCGCCTTTCTCAACGGAGTCCTTGGCCGCCCTCGCGTAGTCGGCGATGGTGGCCTGGATCTCCTCCTCGGCCAGGGCGCGAGGCACGGGCTCGCCCTCTGAGATGGGCACCGCACTGGCGCTCACGAGGTCCTTGGTGAAGTCAAAGGTGTCGTCCTTAGGGGGGTTTCCGGAGGCCTCGCCCGCTGCAGCGGCACGGCCAAGGTGCCAGAGCTGCGCGAACATCTTGGACCCCTTGGCGTGGACGGCGTCGGTCACCTTCTTCCATCCTGCCAGCTGGGCGTCGGTGTAGAGACCAGGGACGTTGGCATAACCCCGGGCTTGGGGGGAGATGTATGTCGCTTCAGAGATGAGCAGAGTGCCAGGGACGACACTCCTCTGTGCGTAATATTGGGCCGCGACGTCGAGCGGCACCAGTTCATCGTTGGCCCTGAATCGGGTCAAAGGAGCCATGGCAATTCTGTGCTCCAAGGTCGTAGAGCCGACCTTGATTGGCGTAAACAGCTTGGTGTTCTCGGCCATTTTGAAAGACGGTGTGCTGGTGGTCGGAATGTGAAAGACTAAACGCTGTTGGATATCGAATACGGAGGTTGAATCAGACAAGGGTTAAAAAGATCTATTGTTGGTCTAAAGATATATATGCAGGATAAAACCGAGATCCAAGTGCATCACCCGTCGGCCTTTATATATCAGGCCTCCGTGATTTCTAACTTCATCTCCACCGCCGTCCTACAGTTCTCTGCGGGATATCCTGCTTCTCCTTGCTTAAAAATACAAACGAGCCTCAAACAGGCCATAGTACGACCGTCCAGGGGATTCTGGGTCACCAATGTGGATACTTACTCGTCGGGCTGCCCCTGTCTTTGTGGCACCTCGACATTCCGAGGCCCGCCCGAGTCAGAGCCTCAACAACGTGACATGACGTTTGTGCATGTTGTGTTGCTCTACCGGCCAAGATAAGTCGGGCTTCGAATTAAAAATTGGCCTTGCTGACGATACGCTCATCGTACAGAGCCTACATTGAATTTTTTAATGGTATTTACGGTTTATAGATGGCTATACGTGTCTTGCAGAAGGATCATTAGACTCGTGCGCATACCTGCATTGCGTACCTAAGCATTTAAACAAGGCTGTATAATACGTAGTCAAAAAGCCTGGAACGTCTGTTCCGTACCAAGAAAATTTCAAAGACCGGGTCGGGTGGGTCCACTGCAGGTGTTGCTCGATCTTGGCCACGGCTGAATAATCCTGGCCGGACGCAGGGGAAATAATACGCCCGCACCAAACGATGGGATGACCATCTAGAATGTTCGTAAGCTCGACATTGTTCTGCGCTAGAACTTTGACCCACCGTTGTTGTGCTACAACGCGCAACTGCAACACCAGAAGGCTCTCGAAATACAAGGACTCCCGTTACAAATGGCCCATTCCTGCTTGCGTACAATTGTTTCTCAGCATCTTGGAAAGACTCGAGAGCACACATCCATCCCCTTGCTTGTGAAGTCAACATTTGGGAATCCTCCTTTGGGAAACCCTCCCAGGAGACAGCCATCTGAATGTCATGTCACATATCATTTTTTTGAGGATTGATGCTATGCTGCATTGTCGATACTGGGACGAAAGTAGCACTGCTCGGACGATTCCTGTACACGAAGCTCTGAAGCCTCTACCAGGTACATTACAGCTCACAGTACCAAATGTACATCCTACAGGCGATATTTCATGTTCCAGCTCATTTGTCGTGTCGGCGCGCCTGTGCATATCGGTTTCAGGAATATTACACCAACAGCATTTTGCAACAAAATTCTAATATGGTATGGAAGGAAGAGCAAGGAGTGGAGTGGTCGGCAGTACGTTCCAAAATCGGCCATGACACGTCGATTTCCCGCAACTTAATCTGCCCATCTCCCGAGGGTCCTTGCAGCTCATCACAGACTAGAGACCGGAAGTCTCCGTGGCCAGCCCTGTCATCATCCCTGCTCCACGGCTGCCGTGACATCAATCCCGAGAAGGTGGTAAGCACATGCTCTGTGCCCTCGACCCATGTTCATTCGAAGTCCTCGTGCCTACACTATATTATCGTGCTGTCATTTGATGGTCAAGTGCTTCCCGTCCTCAGAGCCTTTGAAGGCATTCAAATCCTATCTGGATGGTTTGCGCCCTCTGTAATGATGGACAAGTGGAGGTCGCCTCTGACTCGAACATATGCTTGCCAACGGGTCTTTGACGTCAATGTTGTTCCCGACGCCTGCGTCATTACCAAGTTCCTGGTCAGGTCTTGCTGTAACGCACGCCTTGGTCTGATAATATGAGCGGCCCTCTGCGTGATGGCAGAACGAGCGGATTTGTGGAACGCGATCAAAGGTGCCAGAAGCGTCTAAGGGTTTGATAAAGACATAGAATCACCCGGCTTATGAACTGGGCGAGAGCACCGATCCATTGGTTGCTGGCACACACAATCTGAGCTAATTCAGAAACATCGTGCCTCATGTTTGGTGTCAGAGGCGAGGGGTACCTTTCCATGGCCGTGCTGTTAAACGTGCAAGACATGATACAGCTCCTTATTTTGCTGGCAGAATGTAATGCATCAGTTGACAGCGAAGTTGATGTCCATTTTCCACATGCACTTGGCTGAGGGGGCATTTAGTGGGCTGCCTAGGGCTGCCATTCCACTGTAAGGGAGTCGTTTTCGCCTATGGTGAGCATCGCTTCGAGAAATGCGCATCTCTTCCACAACTGGTTCGAGATCTTTTACGCCAGAAGCTTAGGTCGACAGGTAGCAGAACCATAGTGGAACATGCCTTCGTGTTTCAAATGGGTAATTGAGATGGCCAAGTGCTTGATGGAATTGGGCATGAGTCCGGGATTTGGAAGAGGGCAGGGACCTTGGCTTTGGGTCTGTAGACGCATGCCGAAGTTCACAATTGACACTTTCTAATATGACACCTTCCCTCCCGTGACCCAAAAGTGCTTTTCTCCATTGCATCCGTCGATGCTTCGACATCACGGGATCTTTACCAGCTTCACCGTGCAGATTTTATGCGCCATATTTCCAAGTCACTTTGAGCGCCCGAGTCTGAAGTCATCACCTTCGTCTCTTGCAGCTTTCTCGCAGCTTTCTCCCACATCAGAGGCTCGGTCGTCGAGGTAGCACTTTCCATGACTTTCTCCCACTGCCCTTCCTTGACCTAAAGTGCCGACTCCTCGTCGATCAAACATGTACCCTTTCGATTTCGCCTCAACCCCCAGATAGTGTCCTGACGTCTTTCCCCAACCAATTCGTGGAACGTTCCTTGCCGCTCGGCGGTCATTCTGCGCTTTCTTCATACCCGACGGGACCCAGCTGTTATCTCAGACGGCAATGCGCCCATAGTTTCCCTTCCGTTACCCGCGGAATGCACCCATGTGGAATATTATCTGATACTTCCAACTTCAGGATCTTCCAACTTTCAACACACCGAAACATCTCATTGCACACACAGGCCTGTGACTGATTACAAGCCACTCGCGGAAAGCAACACCTACTTTTTGCTACTTCACGTAGCTGACTTTTCTGCGGCATCGCTTTCCTGTGCTTCACTACAGAATCATCATTCTAAAGCAGGCAAAAGCTTACACGAGGAGCAACCACCTACAGGATACCCTATAAGAAGCTTATCATAGGACTCAAGCGACTATTCACGATCCATCTTTTCAAACTACCAGAGTTGTGACTCCGCCTCTCTGTTAACGAACATCGCACCACGCAACTTGAAGAAATTTGGGGATCCTCTACACCCACACATTTATCGAACCACATCTCTCGGCTCAGATTCATTGGCTGCTTTTCATCTTTTTGGCACTGACTTTCAAGCACCTTTCATCACGGCGAGCAGCGTTTGCTGAGCAGCGGTGCTCGAGTAAATTATCTTTGCAAACGAGCGCAGCCACTTCGGGTTTCAATCATACCTTCCCAAACCACACTGGCAAGGTTGGTTCTTTTCAGGCTGGGTCTTCCCAATTTCAAAGCTGACCTCATTCTAATCACAGCATCTGATACCCCTCAGATATTGAATTATTCTTTCGACCTACCATTCTCACAAAATTTGGACTCGTCTTGCCTCTGCATCACCGAGTCTAGCATTTCTACATCTCAAGCACTGCTCATCGTTATAACATGTCCTTCTGACACGTAAAGCAAATCATGAAGCCCAACAGGATCGCAAAAGCGCCGGTCGCGAAGTCTTCGACTACGAACGACGTGGGACTCGACTCGATACGAGAATCGATTGAAATCCCACAAGAGTCTCCTTTTCTTTGGAAAAACTGCGCAAACGAGAGTCAACGCGACCGCATCGATATCAAGCAGCAGGCCGTCTTCGACGGTCTTAGGCTGGGAGAAAAGATTTCTAGCATACTGAGAAGCCGATACGATGAAAGACAAGACGGAACAGGAGCCTTGGAGCTGTCTGACTGGGATAAGCAGTTTGGTGAGTCACCAGAAATTGCTGGATCGTTTACAGACACTAACAGCGTCCCAGACGCTGCAAAAGAGTCATATGAATCCTTCCATTTCTGCGTTGGGCTTTTGGGTATGCTGGGTAGCGGGAAGACATCTCTAATCAACGCTCTGCTTGACGAGCAGGAGCTGCTCCCATCCAGCAGTGACAAAGCTGCCACAGCAGTCTTGTGCGAAGTCGTTTACAACCATAGGTCTACGGGCTATCGCGCCGAAGTCGTTTTCCGAACACGACAGAGCCTTGCGGACGAGCTCAACAAGTTGTTCGTAAATATCAAGTTAAAAGAGGATCTTGAAAAGCGAATTGAAGAGAACAACGGCAGTGGTGATTTCAACAACTCTGAAACGGATCAAGACATCGAAGACCAGCTCGCCGACATAGATACGAGCATTGCTGGTACACTTGAGGTTGTCGCCGCAGTTTGGGGATTTGACGAGCAAGAACTCAAGGACATGTCAACTGAGACACTCCTTCAGTCCCAATCACTTGGTTCAGAGGTCTTGGGAACGATACACGAAATCACAGAGACGAACAGCGAGATCTTTGCGAACATGATCAAACCTTTCGTGGACTCCACTCCGGGTATTGATGGCGGCATTCACGCGCCGCTGACGTTGTGGCCTTTGATTGAAAAAGTGACCATCTACACCAAGTCGGATATCCTCAAATACGGGCTTCGCCTTAGAGACCTTCCCGGCTTAGGTGATGCAGTGGAGAGGCGCTCGAAGGTGGCAGAGGAGAATTCCACGGATCTTGACATCACCGCCGTAATCACACCGGCGATTCGTGCGACTGAGGAGAGAACAGCCGTTGGTCTTATCAAAGGACACCAGGCACTTCGTATGCAGATGGATGGAAAATTCAACCGGAGCTCATTCTGCGTGGTTCTCTCCAAGACGGACGACATCGAATCGGAAGTGTACTTGAGACGCACGAAGGCAGCCAAGAACGATATTAAAATCCAGAGACAACTCGCTCGGGTCAGGGAGCTGGACAGATTTTTCCACGCGGCCGGGTTGGGGCAACGCAACCAAGAGCAACAAAATCTGGGATCCAACTCGAGTGGCTCAAGCTACAACATGTCAATAGAAGGGAACCGGAGCGAGGCTTCGGCCATCAAGGAATGCTTGGAACAGACTGCGGTGTCAATGCGAAATCGGGACATCGCTGAACGCATCCAAAATTCTTTCTTGAAACGCCAGCAAGACGCTCACTTGTTGAAAAGCGATGAGCTTCACGATGGGACCGTGGAGGTGTTCGGTACCAGTGCGCGTGCCTACTGGAAGAGTAAACATCCCGACGGGGAAAAGACGAGAGGCTTTCCAGATGAGATACATTCCGGAATACCTCGTCTTAAACAATGGATTCTCGAGGCGATGTTCATTCAGCGGGAGAAACAGCTTGACACGACACTCAATGACCTGTTGACATTGTTTGTCAGAATTCAAGACCGCATCAGTGCAGGACGCGCCGACTTTCAAGGCGCCACAAAGACGGGAGAGAACAAGCTTGCCCTCATACATCAGAGGCACCTCTGGGTTCGTAAATGAAATCCTCAACTCATCATTGAACTTCGGCTAATACTGGATAGGAACTCACTGAAACCCTGAAGCACTCCTGCAACAAGTTGAGCTGGATCAAGCCATTGAAGAACACGGGAGCAGCATTGGACGCGTGCCAAGAACGGTGTCCACATACCGTCAACCGTTGGCGCTACAGATATCCCGAACAGAATGGTCATCAGAAGCTTCATGCCAATATACAGACATCCATCCTTTCCAAGCAGGGAGAGTCGCACCAGAGCAAAGGCAAGTACCCACATGAGTACCACTGGATTGACGATCTGTAAGTTCCACAACGTACAAGTCCGCCCACTCCTCAGTGTATTGACATTGTGAAGCACTAAACCCTTTTTCGACGCCGTTCTTCGTGATTGGACTCGTGCTTTCCAGTACAAGTTGCCCATGCACCATTCGAAAATTTCAATTTCAGTGGAGCCTGAGTGGCAGAGCTACGAAGAGGAGCTCGTTCGACTTCTGGGCAAGCAGCAAGGCCCACAGTTACAACATGCTCTTATTAAAATTCAGGGTGCTATCTATGTTGCAAAAACCGATCTTCAACACCGTGTTCGGCGGGTCCTTGACGATTTACGAAAAGGTGCACAGAATGTTCATCCCGTCTTTCGACAAGATGTCAAGAGAACCATGATTCCAGTATTCCAAGAAGCGTTTGACATCAAGGGTAAGCGCATCGTGCCACCAGAACCCCAGGACGGACACTGATGTTTTTACAGGCGTCGGGTGCCAGAAGGAGCGAGACCAACTCCTGAAGCACTTCGCCGAGAGCCACGCCAGCGGAATGTTTCGGCATGCTGCCAAGGAGACGGAACGCGCGTTGCGGGAGCTCCTGGACCAGCGAGTCAAAGAGATTATAGGATTTGCGGTCGGTTCCGTCTCGTTGGTAGAAGAGCAATTGAAGCCTCTCTTCAGCACTGTCAGCGCGCCAGCAAGCCCTGCCGCTCGGGACGACAGACGGCGATTCGAGGCGGGAATCAAGCCACACTTGATATCGTGGGAGCTGTGTTGGCAGAAGCCATCGGCCCAAAGGGAGGATCATGTCATGAGGGGAGACTGGAGCATCCCACCCCCTCAAATGGTCAAGGTCGAAGACGACTTCTAGGCAGCAGCCTACGGTGTGGGGACTGGCAATGATGCCTGGCAAGGAGATGGCAGGATGACAGGCAGAACCTGGAGATTGACGGAGATAATGCCGTGGTGACTTTTCTTTTTTGGACGTTGGGATTGTCCCGCTGCGGTCGAGGATAGCCCCAGTTCATTCGAAGACGGGATGGGTTGCTCGGTCGACGTCGCTGATCACCTAGCTAGGTTAGCCGACAGGACAAATTGAACTGCGATGCTTTTTCAGCCTCTTCATGCGCGATGGGCAAATGCTGCCTAGCCATGAACATGGGTGTCCCACGCGGCTCATTTTTCATGATGCTTAATTTCTGAGACCAGGGGCTAGGCCAGAAGAGGCCACGGCTGACAGCCAAGGCCTTGAGACTGATCGACGGTAACTGAACGATTGGCTGAGTGGCAGAAAACAGCTAGCTCAGGATCTCAGGGGGCGAGTTTCCAGACTTCAAGCAAAGAGACGAACTTCCAGCCGTCCGTTTTTGTCCATTTCTTCTTTCACAGCGTCCGTCACTCGTTCATAACTTCGTCGCCCTGAGCCGCCCCAACTGCAATCCACTCTCTGGAAACTCTCTCGCGCGCGTACAGACCGAAAGACACGACTCCAGCATGCATTCTCACTCATTTGCAGTGGCCTCCGCCCTTGTTGCCGGCGCGATGGCGCAGTCAAGCTCCGTCACCAGCATGTTTCTGTACGGCTATGAGGGCGAGAACATCGTCGCCTCCGTCATATCTGCCGCACCTGACGCCACGTCGTATTACGTCAACTGCGCACCTGGTACCGATGGCAGCGATGTAAGCAGGCTACCATGACCGTTGTGTTCCCTCGCCATAATGCTGAATGAAGCGTGCAGTGCGGATTCGGACCTGGCGTCACTTTCGTCGATGGCGGGTCATCCGTTGGTCTCCACGTCACCGACGCCGATGCTTTGTGAGTGTGCCCGAGATACAGTTTTCATTCCTCCCCAGGTACTCGACCAACGTGCCAGCATGACGGCTAATCATCCGCAGCACGATGGACGCCGAATGTCACATCACGTCCGACTCGGCAGACTGTACTCAGACGGTTGCTGGTCCCGAGGCCAACAGCCCCGGTATTATGATCGGCGCGTTCAGCGGCATTTCGGACACCTTCCTGCCGGTGACAATTACGGCCGGTCTGGAGAAGATCACGGCGGCTGAAACCGCCACGGCCACTGGCTCTTCCGCCACCTCTGGCACGGCCGAGCCGACTGGGTCTGCGGCATCCGGGCCCTCAGAGACAGGCGCCTCTGCCTCGTCGTCCGCGACTGGCACTGGGGCTTCCGGCTCCGCTGCTACGTCCACCTCGGCCTCAAACTCCACGGAGAGCAACGGTGCTGTGGCTGGGGCAGGCCAGAACCTCGTGCTTGCTGGGCTCTCTGGCATCGTTGGACTCGTGATGGCATTGTAGTTAAACATCGACAGTCACAGTGCTTAACATACAAAGAGTGCTGGCAGTTATCGGGTTTTCGCTTTTGATCACGTGGTGGTGACGTGAAGAGGCGTTGGTTGCCCGGGCCTCTTCGTCTCGACTCGTCTACCTGAACTTTCTCTTGCGGACTACCTGGCCCATGTGTTCAAGGCATGTTATGGGTATTGCTTGACATTGGCCTTGAAGCTGGCAGTGGATACCTTCTTCTGGTAGTGGCTGTGTAAACCTGTTGCTGTTGGCACAGGTGCTGGTCGAAGGTTATGCTGGAAAGGCCGCTCCAGTGGAGCAAATGAGCGTCGCCAGGCACGATGTAATCTCTACAATCCTATACTTGAGCCGCTTCTGAAACCGTCAGGCATTCATCGACTCGTCGAGTATTGCTAAGGAGAGAGACATATGGCGGGGTGAGCCGACGGGTAGGAGGTCCGTGGGCAAGCTGAATGCGGTGAGTGTGAGCTCGGCCATAGGGTGCTGCTGTTAAGCTTGGGTACATGGGTACACGGGCCCGTGACGGGTACACGAGCACAAGGATGCCGGGGTGCGTGGCCGCGGGCACGGACACGAACGCAGTTAGTGCCAAGTTGACAGCCAATCCCGGACCAGCCCCTCTGATTTGCTGCGCAAGGCAGGACCAACCATCCTTCAAACACTGGCTGCCGTGCCCTGGTCTGCGCTGGTTCTGCGCTGGCGCGGGCGCTGCACGGCATTCAGGCTCTTGTGCACTCATTCGCGTTCACCGTCTTCCCACCCCCTCTTCCTCACTACCACCACCGCACCACCAGCTGCACCACCACACCACACCACCATCGCCGCTCCGCCGTCGAAAATCAGCTCTGTCACACGGCGACCAACCTTTCCACCATGCGACCGTAGTGTGAAGATACAGCTCACCCATTTCTCCCTCCCCTCTCCGCTCAGGACGCTCGAATCAACATCACTGGGGCGTGAAGCTCGATTGCTCCTCTCTGCTGTCGCGCGGTCGCACTCGTTTCCTGCCGGCATAGCATGCTTGTGAACCTCTTGCTTCGCTTTGACTAAGCCTAGCGACCATTTCTAGTGGAGCGCTGTCCAATACACCCACGATGTCTGCCTCAGACGCGGCTGTCGCAAGGCCCGTCGTCACGGTCGAGGACGATGCCCCGCTAGACGGGCCCGTCGTGAATGCATCACAACAAAGTCTTGCGAGCCTCCCATCGACCGAGGGACCTGCATCGCCTGTCGAACCTGGCCACTCCTTCAAGTCCGAATTGAACGAAGATCGAGCTTCCGCCTCCGTCATACCCTCGTCCTTGACCCCTCCGCCATCCTCCCAGGTGCCCACCAACGGCGCCGGCAGCAGGGCCCCGCCGAGCTCTCAGAGACAGCGTATGCTGTCTCCTCCAGTCACCGGACTGAACACAGTTCGCCATGAGGCCACGCCTTCCGGCCTCTACACTGCACCGAGACCAGATGCAGTCGTCGCTGCGTCGCCCGATGCGCTTCGAGCCATGCTCCAAGCCTGCCTCGCAGAACACACTCGTTTGAAGACGGAGACGGCCCACCATAAGCTCCAGTACCAGCTCCTCAGCGTCCGAGCTGACGAAGATGCGCATCGCGCTGCTGTCGAGCAGGAGCTGACGCTTCGTCAGCTCGAGGCCTTCAGCAGGCAGAAAGCCGAGGCCCCAGCCCAACCAGCAAGGAAGATTCCCAGCCCCAGTCCGGAGATCTCGCAGGCCATGTACGACGAGCTGAGGGATCTGGGTGAGAAAGCTATCAAAGATAACGAGAAGATCCGCAAGGACTACGAAGAGGCGTGCAAGCGGCTCAAGGCGGCCAAGAAGCTCATTGTGCGCCAGGAGGAGGACATGGACAGTTTACGGGAGGAGAACGACCTTCTCCGGACTCGCCTGCAAGACAAACGAGAACTCTGGAACCAACTGGCAAGCCCAGGGGGCATGTTCCACACCCCAAAGACTGCGCAAGCGTCCCCGGCACAATATAGGACGACGCCACGACAGACGCCTAAACATCGAGACAGCCGCGACGCGCCTTTCGCCGTCCTTCTCCAAGCAGCTACGCAGGAAAACAGCAGCGCCCCCTCAACACCAGCTACTCCGAACAGATCGGGCGGGCGGCAGCCATTGAAGCATTCCCGGGCCGTCCACTCCATGTCATCCCTTCCAACAACGCCAAACCCGCCTAGGCCTCGCGGCTCCGATTTGCTGCCAGCAGCCGACCTAGTACCTCAGACCGAGCCGCCGCGCCGCTTCGTCAACCGGAGTTTTATTCCAGAAACACCCGAACGAGGCCTCAGCTTCGCCCGTAATGAACGCCCCGAGCGGGCTCATCAAAGCCGAGAAAGCACGATATCCGCCGACGACAACCAAGAGCTTGCTCGGGCCGCTCTCCAGTCGGTGGCACAACAGGTGGCGTCATTCACTTCACGCGGCTCGCCCCCACCCCGACGGCCACTCCCGTCGCAGCGCAGTCAGCACACTGAAACAGACAGCCAAGTGTATGAGAGCCAGGCCAGTCAGGAGGCGTCAGCAATGCTGAGGAGAGATCCTCGAGAGAGTTTCGAGGTTGCGAGCTCCCACAACTCGAGGGATGTGACGCCGACGCCTATCGCGACTGAGAAAAGTCAGAGAATGCAGTCCACATTGAGAGGCCCGATTAACAAGTCTGGATTGTCAGGTAGTGCAAAGCGCAAGTATGAAGCCAGCGTCGCGGACGAGGCGAGACGCGCTGAACCGACGAGTCCCACTAAGAGACTGAGACTGGCTGGTGGCCTGCGCGAGGGATCGTCCCTCATTGGACTTGGGATCCGAGATTGATTGCTATGATACCCCGACTGTTCGCAACTTTGTTGTTTTCTTCGGCGCTGTCAAGCAGGCTCCAGCATATGGATTTGTCGCTTCACAAGAGTCCGGCCTCACGGCTGAGACCAGAATGATATGATTATGGTGAGACAAGATCACCAAATGCGTACCTTGCTATGTATCATATTACTTCGACGGGCTGCCTTGGCTGTCAACGGACAGATTTTGATTCGCTGCTTCACCTTTCTTGTTCTTACCGGCTTGGAGATGCTCAAACTGATGTTGCAGCCGGATCACTTTTCGGCAGCACTCTTCGCTTTGGCAGCGTGTGCGTTCTGGTGGCGGGGAGTTTTTGATGCTGTGCACTTCCACAGCTTCATGGAACTGGCGTTACATTTGGTCCATTGGTAGTTGAACAGAAGGAATCAAAGAAGAGTTGAAACTGACGAAAGCCTTCGCTGGCTGTCCATAAGTTGTGAGACCGTAAATACACAGCTCACGGGGATCTCAAATATCTGTGTGACTTGAATATGCGATCTGTCTTTCAGCGAGGTCTGTACCAGGCTATCGACAGTCGTCGGCACGCGTATACAACTTTCAGGAACAAGATTCAGGCAAGGGAGCAGATGAGTGCCACGTACGAAGACCTTTCCAATTTGCCAAATAGTGGGCAGCCTTGAGGGTACATATACACACGGACACCACAACAAGAGAATACGACACAAGAGCCGTTCAGATACTTTGAGTATCAACTTGTCTCTTCTAGTGACGAGACGAGCCAACAGGCCAGGAGGCTATGTGAAACATGCCCAATGGTCACCTCCAGTCGCCTTCGATTATCTTTATCATGTCATCAGCTGCACTGGCTTCTTCCACGTCTTCATCCGTGTCCCAATCATATTCTCCATCAGGATAGCGGCATTTAAGCCCTTCTACAAAGTCTGCATCTTCTTCAATGTCAGAGTAATAGTTTTGATTTCCATCCGCAGAGCCTGTGTCTGAAGACTGAGAATCATCATGTCCAACTACAAAAGAATTGATTAGCCTTCCGTGGACTTCAACTGAACGTGAAAAATCTGCCAGACAGGTTGTGGAAACCACGAAGCAAGTCATCAATGGAGCCTTGAGCGGGCCTGACTCTGTGCTGTTCTGTGAACTCCCTAAACGCGGGCAGGATTATGTCTTGGTACCAGTTATCTTTCTGTTCGAGGTAGTCCCATGGGAAGTGTCCCACAATTTCGGCTTCGATGACTTGCCACAGGCAGACGTGTTCGCCGAAACAATATTGATTGCCTCGTCCGTAGGGGTCCGGAATCCTGTAACTCTGCATCTCAGCCAGGACGTCCAGTATGGGCAGCCCCATACTTATCCGCTTGCTTGGGTCGATAACAGTCAGCGTATGGGGCCCGCGACTCCTTCCGCTCCTCTTCATAACATAGCCCTGGATCACAGCTGGACTGCTGGTAAATGATATGTAAGGACCCGGTGTCCAGTGCTCATAGTCCAGATGCTTAGCCAAAGAGCTCTTCCGCTTTTCGTACGTGTCGAGGCGCATTTCTGGTTCCCTTGACTTCATGATATGATCCCTGGTGGGCTGGCTTCCGGAGTAGTGATCCCAAATCCTAAGCAAAGGTACTGCACAGGTCTGGTGATACTGTGCTCGCCACAGATGTCGGCCTTCTTCGCTTTGAGATATGCTTCGCGTTTCAGGGTATAGACGCTTAGAAAAGGCGTTTCTGTTAAGGATGCGATCGTGTTCCATGATGACAAGCAATTGGAATGTTTGCAGTTTTGCAAACAAGGCGAAATGCGGTTTGGGGCGAGTATCTTGGATAGATGATACAGGCTCGTGGATGTGTACAAGTCTTTGCAAAGAGGTCGTCACAGCAAAGAGTTGCTCAACCCAGATCGTAGCAGAGCACGGAGTTCATGCTCTATTTACGTGTGAACTTCCTACCTTCATATGAAATCACACGCGAATATTCACACTTGCCCTTGTTATCGATCATATAGTTCTTCAACTAGACTTACCCTCTTGGAGGCATAGGTCTAAGCAAAAGGCCCAACCGTGCCAACTCCAACAAGGCGACAGACGCAACCCCAGTGCAGTCCGTGCCTGTAGGCAACTGGCCAGCGTGAACCGCTCGTTATATTTGCCGATTGCTTGACCTGGTTGGCTCATTCGTTCTGAGCCATGAAGAGAGCTTCTCCAAAAACCCATGTCAATAGGTCAGACTTCACTGTTGCTGTTGGATTGGAATCTTCATGACAGCTTCGCATGCTCGAGGTCAATCGAAGACGTCGAGGGTCCGGATGGAAAATAGCCGGGCTGGACTGCCTTCCGAATCCCCCGGGCCTGTGTTTTTCCCGACAGGCCTTCCCCACAGCAATGCAGTGCTGCCAATGGCCACTCAGGAGCTTGAGAGCTTCCCCGGAAGAGAGCTTGTCCCCCACCTCGCCTTCCCGACGCCGGGTGTTGCTCCCGACGTCGACACTGCCGAGCTTTATTCCGGACATTATCGTCTGTTCCATGGCACCGTCTCCTTCTCTCCGCCGTCTTTTCTTTTGTTTACATTCCTGTATACCGCTTCAATTATACCCATAGCAAATCTAGGCTCTCAATTGGTGTCTTGAGTAGCTGTACTGCAATCCTAAGGGACTCATCCGTCACCCAATTCGACCCGCGCCTCGTGCCCCCCCCCCCCACCGTTCCGGTCTCGTACGTCACTGAACCCGCTCAGAGACAAGATGGCCTCACTCCCCAAGGGCATCTCGGCCGTCCTGTCCAAGGCGCCCACCGACGTCGTGATCCTCTCCTCGCTCCGCACACCCATCTGCCGATCCTACAAGGGCCAACTGAAAGATGCATACCCGGAGGAGCTGCTCTCGGTGGTGCTGAGGGCGACCCTCGACGCCAACCCGAAGCTGGACCCCTCCAAGATCGACGACGTCGCCGTGGGCGTGGTGCTGTCCGAGCTGGGCGGGTCCAAGGCGGCGAGGATGGCCATGAACCACGTGGGCTACCCGTCCACGACCTCGCTGTACACGGTCAACCGCGCCTGCAGCTCCAGCCTGCAGAGCATAGCCGCCGTGGCCGGCCAGATCCGCACGGGCGCCATCGACGTCGGCGTGGGCGCGGGCATGGAGAGCATGACGCGCAACTACGGCAGCCGCGCCATCCCCGTCGACGTCTGGCCCGCCCTCAAGGACTCGCCCGTCAAGGACGCCCGCGACTGCATCATGCCCATGGGCCTGACCTCGGAGAACGTCGCCGACCGCTACGGCGTCGCCCGCGCCGACCAGGACGCCTTCGCCGCGGAGAGCCACCTGCGCGCCGCGCGGGCACGCTCCGAGGGGTACTTCGCGGACGAGATCGCGCCCGTCACCACGCGCTTCCAGGAGGTCGACAAGCAGGGCAACAAGGTGGGCGAGGAGAAGACCATCACGGTCACCGAGGACGACGGAATCCGCACCAACGCGTCGGTCGAGGGCATGGCCAAGCTCAAGCCGGCGTTCAAGCCCGACGGCGCCAGCACGGCCGGCAACTCGAGCCAGGTCAGCGACGGCGCGGCGGCGACGCTGCTGATGCGCCGCAGCACGGCGACGGAGCTGGGGCTCTCGGGCCAGATCCTCGGCAAGTTCGTGTCGGCCGTGTCGGTGGGCTGCGCGCCGGACGAGATGGGCATCGGCCCGGCGCTGGCCATTCCCAAGCTGCTGGGCCAGGTCGGCCTGGAGAACAGGGACGTGCACCGCTGGGAGATCAACGAGGCGTTCGCGAGCCAGGCGCTGTACTGCATCCGGAAGCTGGGCCTCGAGGGCGACCTGGCCAAGATCAACCCGGACGGCGGCGCCATCGCGCTGGGTCACCCCCTCGGTGCCACCGGTGCCAGGATGACGAGCACCCTGATGCACGGCCTGAAGAGGAGCGATGGCGAGGTTGGCGTGGTCAGCATGTGTGTGGGCACGGGCATGGGCATGGCTGGGCTGTTTGTGAGGGAGTGAGATAGGACTGCTTGATTTGCAGAACCAAAATTCAAGAATCTTCAAGTGCACATTGCAGGCGACTTGTACACTCTGCTAGTCCTCCGAATGGTTTCCTGGACTCAATTCAGTCATCATCTGTGCCTCTTCTTCGACCACTGGTGGACTTCGCAGCTTATAATCCGACTTATTCCTCTAACCGCCAAAGACGAGTTCTCAATGGAATAATCAACATGAAATTGCTGGTACTTTGCACCAACTTGAACTTTGCCGTCGCCCTAAGGCCGTCACAGCACACATCCGAGCAAGCCGTCCCATCTTCGATTCGGGGCCCAGACCTGGATACGAAGGGGGCGCTTTGCTTGTGGGGTGCTAGCAGCTAGTCATGCTGAGTGGTGACATGGTGGTTGACGGGAGGTCGAGGGGAGCTCTCCAATTGCTCGAACGGGCTGCGTGGTGACGTCAAATCAGAACTACCCATCTTACTGCTGCAGACCATCGCAGGGACGCATTGTCACACTCTCGAAATGGTCTGTGTGCGTTCACCGCTCCAGATGTGGTGGTGGCTATGAACGGTCTCAGCGAGGGAGGCTCACGATGCCCCAGACACCTCCAATTGAAACCACATCATGACGCGGAGATCCAGCTCCAGCAGCCACAGCTCCAGCAGCTACAACTCCAGCAGCTACAGCTCCAGCTGGCGAAGATCGTCAAACGAGCAATTGTGGAACCCCTGGGAGACAATCGACATCGACGCCCTCGTCTCCGTTGATCCCCACCACAAGCTTTACGTGTCCACCTCGGGGCCCGAGCGAGCGCCAGGCTCGCCGGTCGTGCTCTTCTTCGCCGGGGGAGGCACCCCCTGCGCCGCATACATACGATTCCGAAGGCTCCTGTCGTCCCACGCCCGCGTCTACTTCCACGACCGCGCGGGGTATGGCTACTCAGAGTTGGGCCGCGGAGATCTGGACTGCAGCAGAGGCAGCGAGATAGTCCTGACCGCCCAGCAGGCCGCCCGGGAGCTGTACGAGCTCCTGCAGGTCCTGCGGGTCGCCCCGCCGTACGTCCTGGTCGGGCACTCGTACGGCTGCATCTGCGCGCGGGCGTTCCTGGCCCTCGTGGAACGGGAGCAGCAGCGGGGCTCCGGGGAGCCGCTCGAGGCGGCGGTCGCGGGCATGGTGCTGGTGGAGGCGGCGACGGAGCTCATGTACGACCTGTTCGAGCCGTCCATCCCGCCGCCGGTGTTCTTCGAGGTGACGCGGGGCGTCGACTTCGGGGCCGTCACGCGCACGCGCGAGCGCTCTGGGCTGACGGAGCACGAGTGGGAGCACGTCGCCGCCATGATCAGGCGGACGGCGGCCGCGACCGACTACGAGGACTGCAGGGTCTCGGCGCGGCGGCTCCTGAGGGAGCAGCAGCTTGCCAATCAGGCCCTGGGGGATATCCCGCTTGCGGTTGTGCGTGCGGACTTCTCGCAGGAGTTTAGGTTGATGTTTGAGGCGGGGGAGGAGATGGGGAATGGGACGGAGGAGGAGAGTCTGGAGTGCAGGGCGTTTCTGGGTAAATTAAGGCTGCACGATGACGAGCTGAGAGCGAGCCAGCTCCGTCTGTCGAGTGTGAACAGGTACATCACGAGGTTGGATCACGGGCATAGTATCCTCATCACGGGGCCTGAGGTTGGCGTGGACGCAGTGCTCTGGGTACTGAAGCGTTGGTCCGAGGCGCAAAGTTGATCTAATGAACAATTTCGAGGCGAAACAGTACTCTATGCGGACAATGCTACCCAAAGGTAATTAATGCATCCTTGCGAGCATCTTCCACTTTCTAACAAATTGTACAGTTTGCATCATGTGCTGAGATTGTGTAAGAGCAGAAGGAGGAGTAGTTCATGCTGGTAACTCTACACCTATAAGCCGTGTTCCTCGAGCCCCTTGTCAAGGATGTGCTGGCCCTCCTCAGACTTCGAAGTGCTGAAGGGGGACAGCTGACGGATTTGACGGCCCCAAACCATCAGGACAATCAGGAAGCAAAACGCAAACAGGGTGAAAAACGCCTGTTGGCCATAGACCCAACCAATCCCCACAGCCGCGATCCAAGGCTGGATGTAGAAGTTGATAGACAAGCCCATGAACAAGCGCATTGAATTGAGCAACAAAGTCGCCTCAACCGTGTTCGTACGGAAGCACTCACAGATGTAGTTGACCGTGGTGGGGATGCTGACGAGCGAGCCAATGGTCACGAAGAGTTGTGCAACGGCCATGACTCCCCAGTGAAGCCGGAACTGCATAGCCGCGCCGACCAGGCCCAGGCCAAGAGGCATCAGGACGAAGTTGGTAGGCCACAAGGCGTGGAGACGATACTCGGGCTTCCAGATCCCGTTGTTGCGTGCCGCGAGCCACAGAGGGATACGGTCGCTGAAGAAGTGACCGTAGACGAGGCCTATCATGAAGCCGGCCCAGTGGACAAATGTGAACGCAGCATTCTCTGTGACGGTGAAGCCGTAGAGGCCTCCGGCCTTGAGCGGCATCTGAAGCCAGACTGGTGTAAGGGCGTTGAGGGCGACGTAGAAGCCGAAGGCTATGGTGTCGAAACCAGCGATGATCAGAATGACTGGGGCGAACATTATCTTGAATGGCTGGAGAAACACTCTGCCCTGCGAGGAAGTTAGTCAACGCGTACCTGGTGTAATGCTTTTTCCAAGGCAGAGAATCTTACCATGTCACCCCAGGAAACACCAGCACCCACTTTAGACCCGAAGAAGAACGTCTCATAGCGATCTTTGAGCCAGGAATTGGGCTTGATGCGGTTGACAGCACCCGGCGTGCGGTCGTACGTCGTCTCCTCGAGGAACAGGAACACCGCGATTATCGTGAAGGCGCACAGCGCCACGGACCACCAGTACTCGACGGGCCAGTAGCTCCTGCCAGCCACAAATCCCGAGACAGTCGGGCCGAAGGAAGCGCCAAAGTTCAACGCCAGGTGGAGGAACGTGAAGGCCCTGCCTCTCTGGTGGAGGAAGTACATGTCGACCAGGTACCGCGGGCCGAGGACGCTGACGACGATGCCGAAAAAGCCGGAGAAGTAGCGGGAGACGAGGTAGGGCACGTAGTCGTCGGGCCCCGTCATCAGCGGCGCCCATATCTGGCAGCCCAGCTGCCCGAACAGGGACCAGAAGATGACCGAGGTGCGCCCGAACTTGTGGCTGAGGGGCCACCAGATGAATCCGCCGGTGGCCAGGCCTGCTGACGCCGCCGAGTTGAAGTATGTGATTTGGACGGTGGCCTTGTGGTAGAGGGCCGCCTGCTGTGTGAGGTTGAGCTGCCCGCAGAACGGGGCCGCGAAGCCGACGAAGAGGCCCAGGAAGAGAATTGCCAGATTCAGAGATTTCCTGGAGAAGGACCAGTTCTGTCGCCGCCGAGTTAGTCTCCTGATTGTGAGTGCCTCCATGAATTTCTATTGCTCTTACCAAGGGGTCCTCTGCATCGTCACTTGGACGGGGGATTAGAACAACGCCTTCATCCGTGACTTTGACAGCCTCCGCCTTGGTGAGGATCTCGAACGACTTGCTCGGCCCCGAAATGTGGTCATCCTGATGGAATGCCATTTTGCGTACCAATGATTGAATTAGGCTGTATGGGTGCGAGTGTGCAACACGAAGGAAAGAACGCTGTAGAAAATAAGCACCGGTGTAGAAGGAAAAGCAGGTGAACCAAGTTGCATCAAACCAACCACACACAAGTCACGTCCGAGCATGCTGCAAGATCTATGTCCTTCTCCGCATACTTCAATGTCAATGGAATGTCGAAGCAGCCGGCAGTTTGGAGATATAGCATGTAGAATAAGCCGACGTCGTAACCGAACGAAGGTGTCAGCATTCAGCCGGAGGGCTAGATCACTTCAGTTCATCGCGCTGACACAAGGCTGAGATTGGCGGACAGCATTACAGTAGTCCTGCAGCACCGTGGGCGAATTGCAGGATGATGACTCATGGCGATCATTTCGATCCTGTGAAGCAGTTGCGACACCAATATCAACTAGACTCGGAGTTGTTTGGAGGAGTCGCTTCGGGCCCATGGAATCGCAACTATCTGAAACCCCATGTTGAATTTTTGTCAAGGCAGCCCTGTGCGAAAGCAGACCTCGCAGATCGCCCAGCCCTATCACGGCAGAGTGATTGGCTTTACATATCTATTGCAAAGACAGCGAAGGTTTGACGAAACCGAGAAATCGGGTTGCGAACCTTGTTGAGTCGAGCTAACCCAGTAGCCCTCCCGGGGTAAACTCGCCATCGATGCCAATTCTCTGGTGCGGGATTCGGGACAAGGAACAGGCGTCCACGGCTTCCCGGGCGGCTTCCCGTCTTATGGGCGATTGTAAGTTACAGAACCCCTGACAGATCAATGGGAAGCAGATCTCTCGAACAGTACTGATTGATGGGCTTTATATCCACCAATCGCATCTAAAGCAGCGCGTAAAATTTGGGGAAGGACTGGTCTTCCACCAGCAGTCGCGCTTAAGAATGATACTCTGAACCTTTATCTAGAACGCATGAGACTGCCGTTCGTCCAATGGCAGGAGGAACCCGTCACATTCATTAACGACGCAGCTCACCTCCAAAGCATGAACAGAACCACGTGCTCCCGAGACTGTGGGCCACCAGTTTGTGGCTAGGTGGATGAGGCTCCTACAGACAGATTTACTTGGACGATGAGGGTGGATGCACGCTTGATGCTCTTCTTGTGCAGGCTTGACATGTCTTCAACTTCTACCCAGACCAGACATGGCATAATGCTAAGCTCCTTCTCGGCAGAGCTCATATTTCCAATGCCGATGCTTGACTAGTTTGACATCGGGAGTCGATTAGTGACGCGGCACGTCAAAACTTCACCTATTGGACGGAAAAACAAAACCCCTAATGCCTGGATCGTGGAAGCTAGCAGCTACCGTGGTCCAGAAACCATTGGTCCACCAACCTAATGCAGAGTTGAAACCACTTGCCTTGTGATACCAAAATTGCTCAAATTGCCCTTGTGCGAGTCGAGACTCCAACTTCGATTTGTTCCACGGGAGACGAGGAGAACAAGATGCCAAGCCAAGCTTGAGTCTAGCCTTGTGGGCTGTTTCGACCATCCGATGATTCGGCTGACATCGCAGCCTTGAGATGACCAGGGGCTTTGTACGACGGGCTGCATAGACGCAGGTCTATGGATCATGCCGCCAGATCTGAGCCAACGCGACGGGAGGTAACGTCAAGAAAACCGACAAGCTTCTGGAACAAGTTGGATGAATGCCAGCTGTCGCCTGATCATAGACACGCGAGCCTTGCACAACTCCTTTTGAGCTCCCACTTCCCGACGTGCAAACCAGGCTAAATGTTGATACAACTGATCGGGATGAGACCTGGAGAAATTTACTTACCAAATGTGGAAACCTTTTCGAATCATCCGCTGGATTCACCAGTAGCCGTTCCCTCAGATCAATTTGCTCGGTAAAGTAAAACTGCCGCAGCAAGGGAACGCATCAATGATGTGCCTTAGACGCAAACCATCGCCAGTATCAATGACCCTGAAAACTTTACATAGCATCCTGGATCTCCAGATGGCTATTCTACTACTGTGAGTACGGAGCACACATGTGAAGGCTTATTGGTATATACTGCGCCCCACCTCGACCAGAGAACTGCGACTGGCACTGCCAGCGTGCCATGCCTTTGCTGCTTCTCGGTCCTCTAGCGCTCGGTCGTTAGATGCTCTTCGTGCCTTTGATATCAGCTGGGCTGATCACTGCGCCTCAAGATGTCTTCCTCAGCCGCGGGAGGCGCCTGTCCCCCTGACATCCCGGAAGATGTCTACAACAGACAGCTTTTCGGCGTGATCCCCACGACAATCATCCTAATTCTTTCTCTGTTGACATATGGCCTGCGGATTGTTGCTCGGGTTAAGACTAGCCAAAATGTCGCTTGGGACGACTATTTGATGGGTGTTGGGTTGCTCTTGTCACTGGAACCAGCGATCTGCCAGTATCTCCGTGAGTGATCAATCTTATATTCACATGTCTTCACCAACCACACCTCAAACTAACTCACAATCGCTGCAGTTGTCGCCAATGGCCTCGGACACCATCTTTGCAATCTCCCGAAGGTCCAAGCGGCGCGTTTTGCCAGAGTATGTCTACAGATTATATGACAGGGCGCGAAGACCAACAGCATTCCTGACCATTGTCGCTGACCCACCACCAGATCAGCTTCGCTCTCCAGAGAGCCAACCAGCCTGTGCTTTGCTGTGTTAAAATATCCATCCTGATGTTCTACTTGAGAGGTAAGACACCACAGCGCAGGAGGTCCATCTCACATGTATACCTGTGCCTTGACTAACCGTTGTGGGCCTTAGTCTTCTCGACCAAAGCATACGGGCGTTTCCGGATCTGGGTGTACGTGGGCATAGCGTACACACTAATTTGGGGAATCACAACCTGGGCTGTCAACCTCACGACTTGTTACCCCATTGCGTTCTTCTATGACCGAACGATCAAAGGCGGCTCCTGCCGTGACCAGGTCGTCTCGGGCACCACGGCTGCTGTTCTGTCGCTTGTGGGAGACATTTATGTCTTGGTGTTGCCGCTTCCCGCATTGTGGCAGCTGAAGATCAACACGAGGAAGAAGGTGGCAGTCGTCGGGATCTTCCTGCTCGGAAGTTTGTGAGTGACCTTTGGACACTAATACTCCAGTCGTCATACTTCAGCTAAAGTTATACTATAGTGGCTGTGTGTGGCCTCCGTCATCCGAATCACGGAGATCCTCAAGTTCGTCCCCTCGGACGGGAGCTACACCCAAGTCTACGCGACGACCTGGACCACCCTCGAGCAAGGCGTCGCCATCATCAGCGGAAACCTACCCCTGCTGGGCCCCCTTTTCCGCAGCTTCTTTGCCAGCAAAGGCAACACGATGGCCAACTCATACGGGATGTCAAGAGGCATGACGTCTCGGACGGCTGGTACGAGGGCCAGTCGCCTGGGCTTCCGGAATGATGGCCCGGTGAACATCACCAAGATCAGCGCTTCATCACCTAGACTGTTCACCTTTGAGAGGCTTGACGATGATGAGGCCAGCATCTACGGGGGTGGGATGGATGACAAGTCAATTATTGTGAAGAAGCAGGTTGAAGTCAGCGTTACATGAGGACTTGTTCTATGCACACACATCATGTCCCCTACAAGCAAATCCATTCTATTCTCAGCGTTGGCACACTAGGCATCGAGGCTATTCAACAAAGCCATAACTTCAAGTCCAGTCGACGTGCGCACCATTTGATAGTATTGAGGTGTCAATATCGTAACCACAAATTATTGCAAAGAATTCGGAGATTCGCACCTGCAAAAACAGAGGGTACATCGTCAGGACGAAACCGACACCCGTGCCCAATTCGCACACCCAAATACCCACACGCCTCAACATTTATTAGCAGATGACCTGCGACACGGATAATTCAACCACGGATTCAATTTCACTTCGCCTTAATAATATTAATACAAGGATGTAAAACATGAAGTTGATCAAACAAAAAGTAAATACCATGTAAATGTGTCGTTCGGAATCTATCGTCTCAGTCCGCAATCATCTATACCAATGTAGATAAAACCCAAATTCATAGCAGCGCTTGACCTTAATCCGTGGGTGCCAGGTATCTCAATGTTGTTCGGCTCCAGAGTTCGTTCCCACTCATCTGAAACTCGAGGCCACGCACGTAAGTTCTCAAAACTGGCGAATTCTTCCCTGACAACAGCCCAGCCACCAGACTCTGGTGCTTCAGGTTCCCACTCCCTGCACAGCTGATACAGTACTCGCTTCGCTGCCCCGATGTCAATCTTAGCCTCTTCAAGTTTGGCGTCGAGACTTACGGCAAGGAGAGGGATGCGGATAAGTGGCCGAGTGGTGGGGGTCCACGATGAAAAGGAGCGTTGGAATGGGCGTGTGATACTCACACTGGGGGGAGACTTACGCCGAGCTTGAGGATCTTATTGCGGACTTGCGGCCGTTCTGACTCGGCCGGGAGAATTTTCGTTTGAGAAGGGCCCAGCAGGCAGCGACGGACTTCCGGAGGTCATCCTGACCGCGGGCTGAGTATGCACATGTAGGATAGCATTATATCGGGTACTTCCTGCTTGGGTTGGCCGATCCTGGATCTTGCCGACTACCAATAGGCATGCTCCCATCCGCACCAACAGATTGCGTTTCCCTGCCTCGCTTCCAGACGTCTCGCATGGGTTAACTCACTTCAATGAATAATCAACGTCCAGCCTCATCGAACTGAGAAGCTGCTTCTTGACGCGAATCCCCATGATACATGAACCGTACGCGTTGCCGCTCGTCCAGTTCAACTCTGCTCCTCAGTATCTAGAATTCGAACAGCCTCTGCATCCAAAACGGTCAAACTCGACTTCAACCTCGAGCGGGATGTGCCCGAGCTGAACGGCAAGGTGCTGCTGACCACCGGTGGTAAGCATGCCCAGGACCATGTAGACTAGATGCCTCCCTTGTTTCAAGCGTCGGTCTAACGCTCCGTGTGCTGCAGGTACCAATGGCCTCGGGGCCGCCGCAGCTAAGATGCTCGCGAGCCGCCACCCGGCCAAGATCTACATCACCGGCCGCAACCAAGCCGCGGCTCAGCAGACCATCGACAGCATCAAGTCCAGCACTGGTAGTGCCACCCAGCTGGAATGGATTCGCTGCGACCACGCAAATCTCGCCACCGTCAAGGAAGCCGCAGAGAAGATTTTGGCGAAGGAGTCCCGCCTCGATGTGCTCATGGCCAACGCGGGAATCATGGCCCTCCCCCGGGGGCTTGTAAGTTACCCATTCCCCTGTTTCCCTGCACCCGCTCCGTCCTGTCTTTGTGGTCCTAGTTGCTCAGATGGCCCGCCCTGGATGTGCCGTCGACGGATTGAGGTGGAGCTACGCTCCTAAATAAAAGACCATGTTCACCAAGGCGTGGACCGCTGCTCCTGGCAACGCGTGGACCCAGGACCACCGTGGTCGGAGAAGTTCAGGAACACTTGTCTCCCTAGATATTTGTCTCCCCAGATATTCCCTTTTTCACGTATATCTCTTCGTGCTGATTTGAGACCTGCCACAAAGACATCCGACGGGTACGAGCTCCATTTTGGAATCAACCATCTCGCCCACGCCCTCTTGATTCGGAAACTACTCCCGTTACTCCAGAAGACGGCCAAGACACATCTCGAGGCTCGCATCATTCCACTGTGTTGCTTGATCGCAGAGATCCTTGAGGGAAAGGCACCGAGGATCTATGGCTTGGTTTGGAAGATTGGAGTCTTCTATGGCAAGGTGAAATATCTCACATACGAGATGGTCCGGCTGGGCTATGTGCTTACAGGTCTCGAAGCAGAAGAGTACCTCCAGACAGTCACAGAGGAAGCTAAAGAGATGACCATGACTGCCTAGGTAGAGTAGACTAGATACGGATACCTCTCCTGGATCTTAAAAAAGGAACTAAATCAGTGTTCCTAGGTATATATTTATGGGACTTCAAATATAAAAGTTCCTTCTACTAGCGCTACCTTCCTTTGTATCTTACCTTTTGAGACGAGTTGTACAGCTAGATTATAAATGAGAACCATAGCTACTTTCTTGATGAATGTTGGTGTTAGAACTTCTCTACTCGGATATAGATGAGTCCTGAGTAAAGCAATTTAAGGTAGTTAAGGAGATTATAGCAGTAGGGAACGAATTCTTCCGATGACCTACCAGGAGTCAATACCTATCTTGTTACTATACCCACTGACCCAGAAAAATAGTGGTCGGCGAAGTACAAAACACTACGCAACTCTAACGAAGCAACCCTGAAAACTGACAGAATGATTTCCGAATGGCGTGGCCTCTTATGAGGCGATAGCATAGGTCATGAGGGCTCGGTAGACCTCTCCCGGCCCGCCCTCTTCAGAATCGTCCAGTACAAGCTCCTTCTCGGTGCGAAACCCAAGCCGTCGGTACAACCCGACGCCGGGACGAAATGCCGTAACGTAGACGTCGAGGCCAATCTTCTTGGCCTCTTTCAGACCGCTCGCAACCAGGTGCGTGGCGATGCCTCTGCCCTGGTTGTCTGGATGCACTGCCAAGTAGTCCAGCTCTGTACGATAAAGCCAGCGTGTTAGTGCATCGTGCATGGTCTAGGTGACTCGCCGGATAACGGGGAGATCACTTACGGATGTATCTCTTCTTGGACAGAATCTCATTCTCGGCCTTCTGGACCGGACTTATCGGCCCATCAGTCGTGTCGCCAGTGCTCCAATCGGCCATCGAGGCAAGGCGGCGGAAGAAAGCTTCATCGTCTTCGCTGACCGCCGGAGTTACGGCTTCAGGCCAGACAGACGCGTCAAAATCGGCCGGGAGGATCCATCGCACGTACCCAACGATGCGACCAGTATCGGGGTGGACGGCTTTCAAATGGCGTTTAGTCTCGCGCCTAGTCAACAAGTTATTCGGGAAGCGCTTGGCAATCTGAATCACATGGTATTCGAGAGTGCGGTTCGGCCAATTCAGACGGAAATGCGGATCAGCCCAGAAGGCAGGGAGGTTGTTGGCGGCGAGCGCATCGCCGTCGGCCACTGTGCAGCCCGAGATGATGTACTCTTTGGTGCTGGTCAATTGCGTCTTGTTCGACATTTCAGAACACGGAATATCTACACAGAAAGCGCCAAGTCGTTCATGAGGGTGCAGGTGCGTGAAGGGAAAGCTCAAAACGAAGGATTCGACAGGCAAAGTCCTGGATATCAAACGGTACTCTAGATCATCTGCAGCTCGGAATTCGGCTAGACTACATATGTCCCGTTGCACCAACTCACCGAGATTTGATTACGAGAAAACCGACGGGAGCGAGAACATGAAGCCGTCTCGCTTAAACGGGCCTGTGTTATGCAATGTCATCCCCGCTACAAGGGAAAGCTCGCTTTATCGAAATACACATCTCGCCCCGCTTCAATCCAGAATCCGACAGCTGCCCGCAAGTCATCGACCATTGTAGCCGGCCCGCAAACTACCACGGCTACTCCCTCGTCGGAATCTTCCTCAAACATTTCGTCGACCTCTGATTGAAGATCAGGTCGCGCGGGACTCATTGCCGCGTCTCTAAAGATGTCTTCCGTCCCAACACCTATCGGTCATTTCTCGACCTCGTTCTCCGCAAGAATTGACGAAATATCGCCCAGTTGCTTGGAGGACTCCAATCCCGGTGCTTCGTTGCCACCGTCGCTCACGTGTAAGCCTCGTTCGCCCCTCGTTACAAACAAGCGAACCTTACAGTTATCGGCAACATCACTCGCAGAATCGCGCAAAATGTTTTCTGCCCACATCAGCTCGCTTGCCTCGCGAACCGCCCAAAGAAGTCTCACCGGGGTCGATGAACTAGCAGTTCGGATATGGCGGTAAAGAGGCAGGATGGCGGTAGCTCCCACACCGCCGGCCAGCAGAAGCACCCAATCAAAATATTGCAGCTGCTTGACAACGCTCGCATCATTACCATACGGACCGTCAACACCGATAGATACGGCTGTCAATGCTGCCGACGCCTGCAGACTCGCCAAACTGCCAAGCGAGGTGGTCGCCGGACCATGCATTTGACGGGCGACAAAGGTGAGCTCTCCAAGGTCTGGGTTTACCGACGCCACGGTGAAAGGATTGGATACAAATGATGCAGGCTGGAGCTGCGGAAGGAATGCCGACCGGGCGTACCACCCTCTCGGTCGTGCCTTTGTGGAGTCGACCCGGCTTGCGGAATGCTCAAGTAGTTACGCGTGCGATCCGACAGCCTCCTTGCCCAATTGACACACCGCACGTGTAAGGAGGCGGGGTCATCAAATGGAACGGTAGACTACCTACCAGGGGGAGGGGGGGTTTTTGTTAACATCACACCACGATGTCAATGGAATAGCGATATAATAGTGACATGCAATCAAGGTTCTGATATGCTTTTTTTGTGTGTATATTGCATTATTTACACGTTACTAATATATAAACATTCCTAATATATTGTAATATTATGTTAATCTTAATATTATGTTAACTCTTAATATAGGGGTAAAAAAAAAACTCTTTTTTTTCTTTATTCCTAACTTAATTAATTATTTATTCTTTACTAGCTTAACTATTTATTATAAAAGGATTTATAAAACTATGGAAATATTTAAAAATAGAATTAAGTTTAAAGTTAATAAAGTTTAAATTAAAGCTTTTAATATAAAATTATAATGATATTAGCTAATATATAATTAAGCTAATATAAAGTTAATATTAATATAATTTAAAGCTTTGATATAATTTGGTTTTAATAATATTTTAATAGCATTTCGCTAGTATTATATTATATTTTTAAAATTTTGTTTAGATGTCAAAACATAATTACATTGCGTAACCCATACAAAGACCCCCCCTCCCCCTGGTAGGTAAACTGTGGCATAATGCTGTTGGCAAGTCTGATGGCCAAATGCATGGTAATGTATCTCTGTATGCATATCCCATGTCTTTAGGATCCGCCACCGGCGAACCACCTCAGAATTCGCTGTCCCTTCTGAGCTTTGCTTTTCAGTTTGGGATCCTTAGATGCCCGTTCCAGTATCACATAGTTACTCAGTACAAACAGACACAACTTTTTCGAGCTCCTCAGCTTTCGAGTTGCTCCTGGAGCCTCGATGGTGACAGGACGGATAGCTGCCCTCTAAGCCAAAGCGGCATTCAATACCTTGCCAACCCCCCATGTTTCCACGTCTTCATCGGCGATTTCACTAAGGCAATTAGTGCTGGAGAAGTCACCGGTCGTGATAAAAATTTGAAAAATTGCATTTTCTTCATGACTCTTGCCGTCAAAGTTCCAGAACCGGCAGAGATATTCATCGAATGGATTCGTGACGGTCGCACTATACGTGCCTTTTTCTTTTTCAACGAGTGATGGCTATCAGCTACAGGAAAAAGTAACATAGTTGGAGAAAACTTCTATCAGATGCAGGAACTATGCGGCAATATTTCTTCAATCCCACTAAAATGATCCGGTGTGAAGGAGATTCTAGGGCGCGCCCATTGGTATCTCGAAAGTGGTGACTGTGACATGCCTCGTTGGCGATTTGGGCAGGTTAGGACTGTCGCGGCCCTCGACTCAGACACTCTTTGGCGTTGCGTTCAGTGGTTCCCACCCAGTGGAAAGGAAAAGGGTTGAAAAGAAGACCAGAAAGATATCGGAACTATATTTGTGATGCCTAAAATCTTGCCTTTCTCTATACTGCAACCTGATCGGTGTCTGATATTCGGCATTTGAGATGGATTTGCTACTTACTCAGGTCCGATCGGCATGTCGCTTTTGACTCACGGCCTGGAGACCGAGAAGCGAGGTCCCCATGTCGCCTGCCATTGCAATTAAGGCTCCTGAGCACGACCATGATCACAATGCAATGAACTGCTTGTGGCCTTGAACTGTTACGCCTCACTATGCAAACAAGCGGCCTGAGTATAACCCCGATCTCATCCAAAGCCGGCGAAACCTAAAGGCCCCAACCAGGGCTAGTGAAATGCATCTGAATCCGATAGTCTCTATGTGCATGATGCCATTTCAGGAGGTGCTGAAGCACTACCTACATATCGAAATATTGTTTCTCTTTTCCACCCCCGGCTAGGCCAAGAACCGGCAGGGAATCCCAGTCAAATAATCCGGCTACGCGACAACGAAAGAGAATCTCGGCCCATGACGCCACAGATGAACATCTTTTGCACAACCCGACCTCTGAGCTCAGAGCTCATCCCTCACTGTCAGGGGGAAGCAAATCCCGAGAAGTGGGTTCGGCCTCGCTTTGAATGTGTTTAGAGACTTGCAACACTGCCTTGATGTCATATACACCTGATAACTCCATTGTTAAATCCCTATTCGGCATGACTTCGCGGCAAACGTAGCAGTCTCCGGTCCTAATCGCCGGGTTCATTCCGAGAATTTCCACAGATAGCATGACTACTACCAACCTCCAAGAAAGCAGATGCAGTTCTAGATGACATCTCAACGTTCGTCACTACGACGGAGGGACCGATAAGCCGCCGCGTCCAGATGGACGTGTCGAGTATATAAATCCTCGAACTGCCCATGAGCCTAGATAGATCATCATCCTCTCAACTATTGTCGAATTCGTCCTCAAACTATAGACAAACCATGCACGTGTCTCTAATTCTTTGTCTCACTGGTGTGGCCTGTGCCAATGGCTTCTCCTTCAGCAGTGGCTCCGACAACTTCACCGTTGCTCTCGTTCGAGCGCCTCCGGCAATTTATCCCTATCCTCAGCCGAGTCTGGACTGGAAAGGGTTGAAACATGATATAAATGCCAGCGTCGAACTTGGAGTTCAATATATCGAGCAGGCTGCGTCACAAGGCGCAGACCTCGTAGCTTTTCCTGAGCTCTGGTTCCCAGGGTAAGCGCATCATCGCGGACTTTCTGTTCCTCAAGAATTGAGAAGCACTTGAAATTCTCATTTGGGAGTATCTCATTAATTACTTGCCGATCAGGTATCCCACCGGTGTTTTAGAAGGCAACATCTCGTGGCTTGGTACGCCGACCAGTCTCTCAGTATCAATAGCACACAATGAAACCGATTGGTGGGAGCTGCTCAGCAAAATGGGATTTGGGTGGCACTTGGATTCTCACTGAGAGATGAAGACTACATCTATATGGCACAAGCCTCATCGACTCAGGCGGACAGGTCATCCAGATCCGCAGGAAGCTTCGCCCATCCGGGGGCGAACGTACAATCTTTAGCAACGGAACCGTCGACGAACTCAAGGTCTTTCAGACCCAATTTGGTCGACTTGGCCTCCTGGAATATTGGGAGTAAGCATCAATCTCATTCCGCATCGGCGCCAGGAGAGACTCGAATCCTCGAAGCCTTCCCTGCCCACCAACCACGCAGCTGCAATGTAGCAAATTCGGACCCTGAAGACCCTGCTGACGCGCGCTAAAACTGCCAGGCATATGCATCCGCCCATGACTTTTGCCATGCAATCCCAAAATGAGAACCTGCACATAGCCGCCTTCCCCTTCACTCCGGATCTCGGCGTGGACACCTCCCTCGAAAGCACCGAGAACAGCATGGCCGGAGCTCGATACTACGCCATCACCGGCCAGACTTGGACCTTCGTGCCCTCTGTCGGCACCGCTGCTGTGTTCTCACCAAACGGAACGATCGTCACGCAGATTCAAGCCACTGAAGAGTACCCTGCCCGGCCCATCATTTATCACTCGGTCAACACGACCAGCTTCAGCGACACGCCTGCGTACAATGTCAACGGGGAGTTCTCCTGGCCGCAAATGCAGCAGATCAGCGAGACCTATCCGGACTACATACCTCATGTTGTGGGCAACTTCACCCTCAGGAGGCTCAACTCTGTCGAGCAGATGAAGAAGACGGGTCCAATCCCGCTGAACTATTGAAACTTGAGGCGTATTGGTAGTCAAACTTCTTGAGTTCGCATAAGCCCTTTGGAAGTTTTAAACTCAGTTCCTACGAATGTTTTTGGTATTGCCACCTGCATTGAGTCATCGACCGAACGTTATGGCTTCCATACGCGTGTGACGGATTTGTCTTTGTCTTTCTGGACGACATATTCTACTAACTTCAAGTAATGTCAGCATTATCAGAAGCAAATATGGCTTCAATTCCAGTAACGTAGAGAAAATTCATTCCAGGTTGTACACCACTAGATTATATAGCATAGAATGGACTCTAAATGAGTTGTCGGGCTCTACATTGGTTTTGACGACAGATCACTTAATTGCCATCTTCCAACACCTTCAATTAATGCCATGTCACGTAATTCACAGATATGTTCGCCTTTGGGAAGCGATATGATCTTGCTGCTATATTATGCACCACTTGGGTCATCATCGTATATCCGCACACCACTAAGTTAAGGTGCTTCTAGATTTGAGACCATATTTGACGAGATCTGCCTGACTTAGTGAATAACATATGATCTGACCCTTTTGCCCACAGCATCCTTGTTGCATTCCTCGACTGCTCTTCCGTCCATATATCCGTGAATGTAAACGTCACCAATGAAACGGTACTCGTCGCCCTCGCGCCGCAAGACCACAGGCGTGCTGCACCCTAGCGGTACGACAACAACATCGTCTTGTGTCATGAGCCCCGTGCCCATACCAACTCGTTTCTCATCGGTGATGCACAGGCACCGGCACATCATCTTCGACCCGAAGTTCTTCTGTAGGAATAGCCGCCGCTCTCCAGGGTCCATCTTGAAGCCGCTGCGGATGTCGACGTACTGCTCTAGCTCATCATCCATGTGAAGCTTGGGGAGGTCATTGCGTATTGTGGACGCGAAGATGTGGTAGCAGGTATCCATCCAAGCCTCTGTCGTCTCTTCGCCTTCTGGTGTGGGGCGAAGGCTGAGCGCTAAGCAGAATCTCTGTTTCACCCACCTCAGGAAATGCTCTGTTCCACCATCAAAGAAGTGTGAAAGAGAGGCTCTCCACTGTAAAAAGGCCATGAGGTAGTCTTTCACGGTGCATTGCGTACCCACAGCAGTTCCGTGCTCCTTGATACTTCCCAACGGTATGGCCGATATCCTCAGCTTGCCCCTCTCCATGAATTCGACATCAGCTCGTGATTTTCCAGATGCCGAGAAGGTATTACTTCTTGCAATTGGCGAGGAACACCAAAGGTGAGACCAATCAGGTACCCAACTTGGCAAGTTGTTATTGTTGGTGTAGGTTGGGAAGTGAATCGCTTCGAACAGAATATCCAAAGATTTGGTCTTCTCCACGACGGTCCGGAAAACATTGATGTACACGTCTTTAACCGCAATGCTATAGTCGACCTTGATCTCATTGCGAATCCTCTCAGTGAGGACGCCAAGTATACCAAAGACTTTGTCCTTGGGGTCGGAGCTCCGCTTTCTGCGACAAGTGCGCAGGACCGCGAGAAGATCTTGGAACACCACACGGTCAGAGAGACTTTCGCTCTCTGTGAACTTGGCCGGAGTTCCAACACCTTCGAGGCTGCCGGGGCCTTCATCAACCAAGGCCTTGGTGTAGCTTCCAAATGGTGTGGAACAAAAGCGACGCCGCAATTGCACGGCAATTGTGGTACCTATATAATTTAATACACCCCCCATTTTAGGCAGAATCCAACTGGCCGAAATGTATCCCAAGACGCAGTTAATATTACATATAAGGGTTAAACTTAAAACCTTTTTATAAATTAATATTACTAAAGTAAGAGAATATAAGGCTAGCGTGGTTATTAATGAAAGATATCCTAGGGTTTTAACCGCTAGGCTAATAAACCAGGCTTATAATTATAAAAGGCTATAAGTATTATAAGGGGTTTAAAAGCATAATTATAAAAGCATTTCTTTCCTAAGAATAGTTTAAAAGAAGGAAATAAAAGAAATTTAGCTATTTAAGCATTTTAAAAAGTAGTTATAAATTAAAGTTAGGGATATATATGCAATACACCCCTTAGTTAAAAGGCAATTCTTACCTTATTAATTACCTTACTTTTTTAAGCAATTAATTTATACTTAAAAATATTAATTATAGCCCATTAAGTAATTAATTATTTAATTTTTCTTATAATATATATACTTTATTACTTAAATTTTAATTGCTTATAACCCTATAATATAACTTATAATTAATAATTAAACCTCTTTTTTAAACTTTTTAATTAAATTTATATTTAAAAATACTTATTTTTATTTATTTTAAATATCTTTTTAATTATATTAAAGATAATTAAAAGTAATAAAAAATAAGCTTTTAAGCCTTAAATTATTTTACTTTTTTATATTTTTAAGGTTTAAAAGAAGAAATATAAATATATTTAAATTAATAAAGAGCTTATTAATAAAGATAACAAAAGCTTTAATGCTTTTATTAAAATATTATTAAATAATATACCTAAAAGTAAGTTTCTTAATTAATTTAAAAATTAATTTTAAAGCGTATATTAATTTTTAATATAACTTTAAAGAATCTTTAAGTATATATAAATAGCTTAAAGCTTAAGATAAAATGCTTTTTTAAGAAAAAGGTTAAAATAAAGTATAAAAAAAAAAGAAAAATATAAAAAAGCTTAAGAAAATTAATAAGCATTATATTCCTTATCTTTTTTATATTAAGAGTTTTATATATAGCTATAATAATAATTTTTATATAAATTATAATAATAAAGGTAATTATTATTATTATTATATTTAAGGTAATTCTTATAAGCTATTTTTAATATTTCTTTTATTATTTATACTTTATCTTTATTATATTTAATTTAACAATTCTTTAATATTTAAAAAGTTTTAATATATTTAAAAAGAGGCCTTAAATATATATAAGTATAAGGAGTTTAATTTTACTTGCATTAATTGCATTTTTATAATTCCTTTTAATACTTAAAAGATCTTTACCTTATAATAATAACTTTTAAAGATTATAAAAAGTAAATATAAAGATATAATAAAGCGCCTTAAAGCTTAAATTATAATTATTTTAAAGTAGCATAATAAGGTTAATATAAAAACTTAAAAGCTTTAAAATTAGGTTATTAATAATATAAAAATTATAAAAAAGTATAAAAATTATATTATTATTATAATTAAGTATTTTAATTTTAAGGGTAATATTAAAAAGTAAATATTATTAAATTTTAATTTAAAATTATAATTAGGAATTTAATTAAAGATTAAAAAAGTTTTTTAAAAAAGTTAAGAGGTTATTGCAATAATTAAAAAAAGGTTTTAAATTAATTAATATATTATTATAAAGATTAAAAGGTAATTTTTAATTATAAAATAGTTTTTATATAAAAATTGCATTATAGTTTTTAAAAAGTATAGTTTTTAAGATTTTTAATAAAAACTTAATAATAAAAATAATTAATAAATAAATTAATTCTTTTTTACTACTTTCTTTATATTTTAAAGATTTAAAAAAGCTTAAAATATTTAAATTAAGTATATAATAAAATTTTAATAAGTTTATTTATAAGTATTTTTTTAATTTTTAAGTATATAATATTAAAGGTATTTTTTTTAAATTCTTATTTTAATTATATTTACTAAATATTTATATACTTAAGCCTTATTTTTAATTATTTATGCTTATTAATAATTAAGTATATAATTATTTAATTATTGCAATAAATAATTTAAGGCTTGCTTAAATTTAAAGTTATGTTTTTAAATAAGCATTTTAAAGCCATTATTTCTTTAGCTATAAGCTTTAAAGCTAATAATTTAACCTTGGTAGTTAAAGTAAAAATGGTTACTTATTTATATGCTTTTTAATATATAGGGCTCTTAAAAAGGGTTATTATATACCCTTGGAAAGATCTTTAATCCTCCTTATTATTAATAAATAAAGCATTTTTAGTTATTAAAAGCGCTTAAGCTTCTTAATTCTCTTTAAATTATAGTTTATGGAATTAAGTAGCATATAAATATTAAATCGCATGGTTTACTGCCTTAAGGTAACTTAAACCTAGGTTTATAAGGAATCTTAATAATATAAAGTAAAGGAATGCTATATTTAGGCATATTATAATTATTATATAAAGAATAGAATTAACTTTTTCCTAAAACTCTTAAATTTTTTATTTTAAGGCTTGTTTAGAAAAAGGCTTAAGCTTTTTTTAAGTATTAAAGTAAATGGTAAGAAGTTTTCGCTCCTTAATAAGTTATATTTATCTACTATTTTTTTAATATATAAGTTGTGAAAAAGCGTTATGGTATGCTTTTCCTAGTTTCTAAGAATTTATATGCTTAAGAATTATTAAGCCTCCCCTTAGTCCTTTATTTTGTATGCGGACTTAATTCCGTTTTTAATCCTCGTAAAGGATTTGCGTTTATCCTTGGGATATGTGGAATAAAAGCAATGCTGCAATTGCATGGTAATTATAATACCTATATACTTTAATACACCCCTTATTTTAAGCAAAATCTAACTAGCTAAAATATATACCAAAATGCAATTAATATTATATATAAAGATTAAACTTAAAATTCTTTTATAAATTAATATTATTAAAGTAAGAAAATATAAGGTTAGCATGATTATTAATAAAAGATATCTTAAGGTTTTAACCGCTAAGCTAATAAATTAAGCTTATAATTATAAAATAAAAGCAATATTACAATTATACAATAATTATAATATTTATATATATTACGGTTTAGGCTTTGCCCATTGTAATTAGTTAATGAGCTTTGGCCTTATAAAAATAGGCTTTGGCGCGGATGCAAACAGGGAGTAAACCTTTTCCTTTATACTTTAAATATAAACCTTATTTAAATACCTTATGATAAATAACTTAAGGCTAGCTTATAATATATATTTAAAGTCCTTTTATATTATAAACTTATAATGCAATTATATAAAATTTAATATAATAAGATTTAAAAAAAATAATGGCAGCCTATTAAGCCCTTCCCTATTTAAAGGAATTCTTATTTTAAGAATACTTAGCAACTTAGTTAATAAAAATAAAAGCTAAGTTTGCAGTAAATGGGAAGGTAATTAGTATTAAAGGGGCTTAATTCTTTTATATATTTAATTAGCTAGAAACTTTTTGTAATTACTTTTTGCCTTATATTAATTTTATAAAGATGTTTAAAGGGTAGCTAAAAAGCTTTTTAAAAAAGGTTTACCTTGTGTTTAAGGACCTTTTTAAATAAAGGCATGCCGAGCTTAGCTTAATTGCATTATAATAACGTTATAGGGAGGGAATGGCAAAATTTCTTGCTTAGTTTAATTAATTAATTTATATAATAAAGGCTTAAAGTTAGCTAAATAAGTATAAAATATTATTAATAATTAATAGCTTAATCTTTATAGCAAAAGCTTAGCTTAATTATAAAAAGTAGTTAAATATATTTAAGGCCTTTTGCTTTACCTTATGGCAATATAAAGGCGTTTTTAACGCTATAATAAAGAAGGATAATACTTAACCTTAAAATAATAAAGCAATAAATATTAATATTGCGGTGGTTTTAATAAGCAGAATTAAATATTTTATATATAGCTAATTTAGCTATTATAAGTATAATTATTTTAATTATTATAAAAAAATAAGGGTGCAGCTTTTATTAATTAAGGCTGATAAGAAGGAGGAGTTTATTTAAGGGGGTGTAAAATTTTTTTTATAGGGTAAAGTTTAAAAGCAATGCCAGCTTAGCGCTAACCTAAACTTAAAGCAAATTAGCTATATGTTAGCTAGTTTAGCCTTATGAAAATGCTTAAAATTTAAGAAATTCTTGTTAATAAAGCAAATTGCTTGTAATTAAGCGCTAATTAATTATAAATTATATAATAAATTTGCAGTCTTAAGGTTTTAAGTAAGGAAGCTTATATAAAAGGCTTGTATTAAAGAATTATAGGAATGCTGTTAGCTTGGCTGCTAATTTATGCCTAAATAATTATTTTTTATTGGCTTGCTTTAGCTAATATATTGAATTATAAGGGCTAAAGCATATTAATTATAAATAATGAGTTGGGCCTTTAGCGTAATTAAAAGGCGCTAAGATATAATTAAATAGCTAAGTAAAAAGTAATGTTTAATTTATAATTAAACTATAGTGTCCTTTATTTTTTATTATATAGCTGCCCTTTAGGGCTTATTATGGGAACTTGGAGAAGAAGGATATGTTATAGTTTGGGCTTTGCCCATTGTAATTAGTTAGTAAGCTTTGGCTTTATAAGAATAGGCTTTAGCGTAAATATAAACGGGGAGTAAATCTTTTCCTCTATACTTTAAATATAAACCCCATTTAAATACCTTATAACAAATAACCCAAGGCTAGCCTATAATAATATACTTTAATACACCCCTTATTTTAAGCAAAATTTAATTAATTAAAATATATTTTAAAACATAGTTAATATTATATATAAAGATTAAACTTAAAACCTTTTTATAAATTAATATTATTAAAATAAAAGAATATAAGGTTAACGTAATTGCTAATAAAAGATATCTTAAGGTTTTAACCGTTAAGCTAATAAATTAAGCTTATAACTATAAAATAAAAGCAATGCCATAATTACATAGCAATTATAATACCTATATACTTTAATATATAAAATAAAAGCAACGCTGCAATTATACAATAACTATAATACT